AAAACTTATTTTTTAAATTATCTAATTATATTTAATATAATAACTATTAATTATAACTAGTAATAACTCTATATATAAAATAAATTAAAAGAAATATAATAAATACTATAAAATTATTAATAATTAATTATAGATTAATCTATAGTTATTAATCTAACTGCTATAATTTAATTTACTCTAGTCTACAGTTAACTACAGTTAAGAGATTAATTAATCTTAACCTAATCTAATCAGTGTTGGTTAAGGAATTTTATATCTTAATCTAACCGAGGCCGGTTAGGTTAGGTTATGGCTAGGTTACAGCGGTTAGGTTATGCCACTCTAATATTGAGCTCGCAGAACAGCTTTCTAACTATTTATTTTACTAGAATTAGGTATTTTGAACAATAAGATAATAATATTGAATTAAGATTTTTAATATCCCGTTACTTACAAAATTATATAGGTAATTAAAATTATAATTGTAAGTTGCAGATTATCGGGGTTTCTACAAATTTGTATAGGGAATCAATATAGCTACTGTGATACTTGTAACTAACAGGGTATTGTAACTAACGGGGTTGCAACTAACAGGGTTTCTCAGTAAGACCATACAGACGTATCAAGCCAAACAAAGCAAAATCTACTAAACATATCGGGCTCCAGATGCCATAACTAGTCTCAGCATGCTCCATCCTTACTCCTTGAGTCGTTAAGGGAAACTAGTGCATGGAACAATTCCCTGATGGTGCCGATGCGTCGGCAGCCTGCCGGCGGTTCGGGAGGCTACCGACGCTTCGGCCGATATAGTAGGCTCGTTCGACGAGTCTGGGTCTCAGCAATGTAACATAACATAACCAGCAAATTGAACTCAATCCAGCCCAAGAGCTAGTCTAGCGATAAGCGATTCTCGGGAGAAAACAGTAAGCTACTCCCTGCCAGATTTCGCGTATGTCTGCATTGGGTGTTTTATGTTAACGAAGATAATCAGCAGCAGCATCGGCGCCTTCGACCTCGAAGCGCTGTGGATTGTCAAACTCCATTGCACATCCAATGTCATGCAGAGTGTAGCCAAACACAGAGCAGACTTCGCCTGTCGGCACTGGCCCATTCTGACTGTTCGCGTTGGGTTAATGTCTACATTAGTCGAGTTGTCTTTCTATAGCTGCAAGAAGTGGAGGGCACATTATAGAGACTCAGATGTTTGGTTTCTGGAGTTGATTTGGCTGCGATGGCATTACTAATACAGGGGGCTTTCTATCTTGACCGCCTGATCCTATGACTAGACTACGCTCTATGTCATTGTAGGGTCTCCACGTCCACGGTGATCTTCCGCTGTGACTTTGAATCAGTGAATACTTTCATTCAGCTTGAGTCCAAGATGGATGTCGGGTTCTTTCGGCCAGTCAGCACCAAGTGCTATCATGAGAGCCTACGGCTAGCACGCACTAGGGTATATGGACAGGTTGAATCAGAACAAGAAGCGGCCCTGCTCTCGAAACGTATTATTAATACACCGCAGCGTTGCTGAAATGAACAGAGCATTAAACCGCACATGATCGAACCCGTAAAGTTCATGCATGGCTCTGCTGAATAGTTACTACCATAGTATTCCATCACGTAACAAATCTGCATAGATACGATGCTTCCTTCGTACTCGGAGCAAAATATATCACCGGATGTAACATTCAGTATATTGGGTTACATCGCTTTTAATGAATGCTGGGTCTGACCATCAATGGCAACAAAGATTGTTAATCCATGAGATACCAGAAATGTAGACGGGAGCTAATGGCCGTTGTAGTGCTGCAGTTGGATATAATGTATGTTACAAATTCTCGCAAGGTGATAAAACATATGATTGTCATACTACTATCAGGCGGCCCGTCGGCGGGAAGTCTTATCCTCAAGCTTAGTGTGAAAGCAGTTCTCTAACTTATTCTGGGTGTTAGGCTCCTGACTATAACCTATAATCTGTATCGGTAACCTATTGTGTACCCATTTATATATTAACAGGGTAAATACAGGGACTTATATAGAAATGTATACTTAGTAAACAGTTTTATAAATGCCAAGAACATGTTTATAAATGCCAAGACTATGTTTATGTAGAACTAGATTTAGATGGGCAATCTATACAGGTTACCTACATTGGTTTTCGGTTGGGTTGGGTTATACGAGATTCAGGATAGGCTCTGATGAAGTCTAGGGCCCCTGTAGTACATACAAGTCCGACAGAATACTACGTGAGACACCGTCTGCGTGGTTGGCTATATTCGCTCTCCTATCTTTAGGCAATGGATTTGGGAGGCCTCGCGCATATACTAGTGTCTCTGTGTGTATCTGATAGGCCACAGTTACATTATGACGGGTCTATACACTTTTGTTTATAGCGGGCTCGAGGAAAGCGAATATTGATGAATGCCACAGCAGCTCAGGTATATAAACCCCTTCTTTCGCTGCTCTACATCTGCACAGCTCATTAATCCTCGTCTTTTAACCTCGTTCTCTATCATTCCAACTTCAAGAATCTCTCCCCTTTTCAAGATGCGTTTCTCCATTACCGCCATCGCCGTCATGGCTGGTCTCACTGCCAGCGGATCCGCCTTTGTCATTGACACCTACAGTGATAATAACTGCGGCAGTGTCGTCGAATCCGGTGTTAATATCTGGGATAACACCTGTGCAACTTGGCCTAAAGGTTTCAAGTCTTTCAAGATCAAGACCTGGGGGGGTTCTCATCAGAAGGGGTACTTCTTCGCGGAAGGTGGCTGCGGGAGCCTTCCTGGGGCTATTCGCAAAGGATATGTGGATTCCACAACGAACGACTTCTCGCTTGGAGGATGCAATGGTTTTAACGGTGCATCTGCCAATGCGGTTGCTTCGTATTCTGGTTGATAAGTATAGGAATTCAGCTAGGTAAGTCCCATATCACAATGGTTGAAAAAAAAAAGCTAACTGTACCCTAGGAGTATTGTGGTATTGTGAAATGCCACAGGGAGGGGAGACATGGAAAGAAAGAAGGATTCACCGACTCTCACTCATCTTTCCTTTAATCTGTCCAGTATATCGGATATATATCGTCCTGGAATAGCGACCAAGGCAATTATAATCTCGCTGTTTCTTTGGTGATTTCATATTATCCAGAAGAATAGATCTATTAAGTTTTACCGTAGTAGTGTGTGGTTATCATCCTGATAATTACTAGAATTCAAAGAATTTCAATTGTGTTAGTGTGGCCGCTTGTTCGCTTCGTATCCTATGTGGCCTTCAGAAATCTCATGTTCGGATATGACCCTCGGGGTTTACAGAGAGAACAGAAGTCTTGTAGTCTTCTTAAATATATCGTTTTCATCATAACCACAAGCATATATATTGTCTTAAAACAGGATTTACTGCAGAGAAAGGCTCTGTTGGCAACCGAAACCAGACCCTAGACAGGTTATTGCCCTGCGTACCAGTCCTGGGATCGCAGAGCGTAATACTAGTAATTCTCTTGCCCATCTGGTGCGTCCAGGTCCATTGGGATACCCACTAGCGGCGCGAGGTTTTCTTCACGCGGAACCGCAAACTCCGTAGTTTCCAAAAGGCTCGGGGTAGAGGCACAATGTATGCTAATCTTAGTAACAATCCATAGTCATGGTAGTCAGTACAGGTATCTATTTCTACATCTATAGGACTGGAGCACTAAGATTAGATTTTAAAAAGAACCCGCTCACCCTTGGGCCAATACTACTACATATATTATGAATATTAGCAAATAAAGTAAGTCACATAGTAGAACTAGAAAGATAAATCTCAAACATGAGTAAAGTATTAATTCCCTTCTATAGCTCCAATATACTTCCGGAGAAGCTCTCTATTCTGTAAGACAATCTAAATACACTTTCTGATCTTTTAGATAAAAATTATTCAGATCCCTAAGGAAGACCTGAAGGGCCGCCCAAAACTGGCCTTGGGTAAGCACCGTCATACTAAAGCTGTTGTATGTTTTTAATATGGAAAGATATCTTTTTAGATGTTGAGTAGTGTGAGTTGCCATTGCCGCTCCCCTTCACCTGAAACCATCTGAAAAAGGTTCCGGGAAGACTGCTAAGTGGCGAGATGCCTACAGCGAACCTTGAGTAAAAGTACAGCCATCCTAATGCTTGTTGTATGGCTTTTTATCTAATATCCTATATTCTGTTGCCAGAAGTTACTACTCTATTGTTTAACATATTCTGCAGCTATATAGTAACCATTATTCCTCCCAATTCGTAAAGAAAGTACGTTTAATCCAAGGGGAGACGTTGCGGGAAGGAAGAACGGTATACCGGGAAATTCGACGTCTCTATTGGTAATTATGCAATGTAATCTAGACCAATGCTATCTGAGCTCTTACCTTTTACCAGATAGCCCAGCACCACTTGTATCTAAGGCTTTGCGCCACATTCTCGCCTTTTGAAAAGAGTAGCAGTATCAAGCACGGTTCCGTTGGAACTGCTGATAAAGTCATGGGTGAAGTGAGTGCAGTTGTGGAAAGTGAGCTTGCTCCAACCATATGCCGAGTGTTGTGCTGCACGCGAGTAAGGCTGGAGAGGATAGGTCAAGGAATCGAGTCCATCATAGTGACCAGCAGCACCGTTAGTAATATACCATGGGGCGCTGGGGTTGTTCAAGCCGTTAGGGTCAGCATTGAAGATTTGGATTGGTGCATTTCGCTCGTATAAGTGCGTGTGGCCAGACACCACGAGGTCAACACCATGTTTCAGAAAGATCGGCTCAAAAACCTTCCGGCAGTCCTCGCAGACGGTGCCGCTCTCATTTTTCGCGCTGATGTACCAGGGACGGTGACCGGCTGCAACAATATTGGTCAGGACAGATATTGTAGTCCTCATGCCAACTGATCTTTCCCTTTGTTTTTTGTTTGCAGAGGGGACTTTACGGGGATGATGAGATTTTTTAAAAACCCACCAGCAATAATCCATGGGGTCTTGGTTCGATCCACAGAGCTCAAGTCCTTCTCAAGCCATTTGAGCTGGGCGTCGCGAAGCGTGCTAAATGGGCCGCTATCCTCATCCTCGCTTCCTCCCACCTCATCCGGACCGATGTAACCGTGTCCGAGGTCAGTTTCAGTGTCGAATTGAATGTAATGAACCATACCGCTGTCGAAGGAATACCAGAAATTGCCTACCCCACCAGATTGCTGGCTGGGCATGCGAAAGTGGTGACGATAGCCGGTGAAATTGGTTTGACCGGGCATACAGATGGAGACATTGTAAGAGATATGATGCGTGGAGTCACTTGTACCACCGTTGTCACCTAAAACTTTTATCAGACTGTTTCCGCTTTATGGTTACCTCTTCTTAGTCGTGGATGAATCTTACAGTTGGCCTCGTGGTTGCCAGGGCCTACCATATATGGCTTCTTTGAAGTGATGACGGACATTTCACCATAATATTGGCTCAGTAAAGATTCGTAGACTTTGTATCCATTGGCAATGGTTATATTCGGAAGAAATCCTTGGATTTCCTCTTTGAGCCAATAGTCGGCGTAGGCAATGTCGTTCGCTGCAATAGGAACATGGTCAATCTGATATTCCCCGTGCATCAGAACTTAAAATGAAAACATACGGTGCCATAAGAAATCCGTGTTTGCCCCCTGCGCTTGGAGAGACTGCATGGTATTGTTGTCTCCAGGCTTCAAAGGGTGGTCTGCACCTTTGCCGACATGAGTGGTTAGGCCTTCAGGGCCCATTACTCCCATGTCAATTGCTACAGCGACCGAATATGGTGTCTGATCTCCCCGACGGCGACTGGTCATGAAAGAGTACGGCTTGGTAGCATTGCTATGTTGAGGCAAGTAGTACAAGCTCCAGATCCAGCAAAGGAACATGATTGAATACATTTTAGCATATCACAGCCTCCGAAACGCGGTACTTTGCTCACGAGTGGACTGCAAATTAGCCCAACTTCCATATTACCGAAAGTAGACATGGGGACCAGGTTGTTGGCCGGTCCAGCTCCGACCTGAACGCATGTACCGCGGCGCTGGACCATCCAGATGCCAATTTGGGCGCGGAGTTCCGCTCCAGAGCACTCGACAACAAGATCGATGCCTTCGCTTCGCTCGCCGAGTCCAAATTGTTCTAGGATATGCTTCCCCTGTACGGCATTAGAGATGTATCTGGCACTGTGTATAGGGCAATGGCTTACACGACGCTTGGAGTATGCCATCATCTCCTTTCCCCCCTCTTTTGGGATTGCTAAATGAATGTCAGTTGCGGCATATTGTTTCGCAAACTCTAAGTACGAACGAAAAAGTGATGAAATTGTTGAAGGGGCTCTTGCCCTGCATTGAGAGCGAGATTTGTGAAGGTTCTTGTTGGGCCTTTACTCGGTGGTGTGTGGTGGGCGAGAAAGCCCTAGTAGGCAGCAAGATCCACTGTACCTACTTGGATGGGACCAACAGGTGCTCACTCTCACATATAGAAATTTGTCTTATGTCACTTTGTCCACTCAACAATCTACACATGGTAATTCTTCACTGGCTGCTGAGTACTCCGTATCCATATGGCGTTTGATGTGGATATCGCTGGTTCTTTGGCTCCGCAGTCAATGCGGTGACGGTTCAACAGCCCTATAGAGTATGGAATGAACCCACGATAAAGTAGTCGAAAGGTACAAACTGTGGGGCTATAGGGATTTGATATCGGTCGACGTCAATGCAACCCTCATTCGTGTACAGGTAAGCAAACAGTGTGCAACAATAATTGGACCAAAGCTTTGCATCATGTTTTAGGGCTGACGATGACTTTTGGCTTCAACGTCTACACAGCTTGAGAGTGGGTATCATTGTTAGCAAAAAGGCTAGGGCATAGACACCTTGTTCGTTCGAATCCCATCTTTGGCATTGGGATTCTAACCGTAGGGGTCCCCTAACTGTATATAGTAAAGGGCAACTCGCCACAAACCCCGATCCCGGTACGGAGAGGCGTTAAGAACAGGAACCCCACCTTCTAGCGCTTACACTATACGTTCTATGGTCTGCCCTGTAGGCTACAGCTCGAGAGATAAGAAAGCTTAGCGCGTTGTTAGAACAACTTGTATATGTTCATACACTGTGACAGATCCCAACAAGGTAAACAAGCTGAAAAATCACACTTTTATGGCGTTTAGGTAACCCGCTATTCTTTTCCACCTGCGGCGGTAACACTCTCTTCATCCAGGGTTGCATCTGAGACTCCCTACTATTTCCCACTATACTGAAAAATGCCTGCGCCAGATGGGATACCAGACAGACGGATTGACACCGTGATATCGCTGAGACACACCTCGTCATAGGCAGATTGGTATATAATCATGATAAACAACAGTTTACTAGTTGTCTAATATTTACTCCCTACAAGCTTGAAGGACCATGCCTAGTTGCGTTAAACCAAGCATGACCCTAGACCGATATATATTCAAGATATACCTTGTTGGCCTGCCAACTATGTACAACCCTCACTGAATGAATATATGTACTCTATTTGCATCATGAAGTCTAGGAAATAAAGGTATAATACAGCATGGCTGGAAGGTTCCACTGAACTGTAATAATATCATGTAATACTATATGAAGGAATTAAAAGACTCAAGGACGCCTATTTGACAAGTGGTCTTCGGAAACCAGGTACTGCTCTATTGAATAACACGGAAGCCGAAAGCGAGAGTCGTGAAGAAAGCAATGATACGCCACAAATACAGATAGTCGACGGAAGATAACCCGCTGAAGTGGTCCAAGTACGCCTCCAAGATACTACCCGGAGCGCTACAATACTGACAGCGGGCTCCTGTTGCCTGAAAGCAATGCCGTTTCTTGGGCAATTGGGTCCCCAGCGCGGTCTTATATGCTTAGCAGGATATTTCCGACTTGTGTAGAATAATATAGTTGCCCTTTTTATTTCTTTTCTTTTTTTTCTTTCCTTTTTTTTTTTTTTTTTTTTTTTTTTTTTTTTTTTTTTTTTTTTTTTTTTTTTTTTTTTTTGTTAATATTAACAGGCCTGCTATGGATTGGCTGTAGTAGACATAAATCATTCTATGGCTAGAACATTTTACGTAGGGACTTGAAAGATAAATGTATAGACTGAACTAGTTATGTCTAATCCAGTAGAAAGCTCTGGGTGTACTTGATTCGTGGATCTGGTAATTCCATTGTTAGAAATATATAACCCTAAAGCTGCTGCAGAATGCGCCTATTTCAGATGATGACCGAATGCTTGAGGACAGAATAAGGAGTCAGATGAGAGTTGAAGCATGTGTCTTCTACTGCTGCCACATGGCGGCATCATGTAGATTCCTCCAGTTGGGCAATGTATTTGGCCTTCATCTTCTCTACCACAAGAGTTCCTAATCTCCCCACGGTCCCTGCTTTCGAAATTTCTGGGATAGCCACATCGACGTGAAGTCGGCGCCGGGTCCAATTTCTGATCTCAATGGACATAAGTGAATCAATTGTGATATTGTTAATCTCATTATCAGTCATATCCTCGTGGTTGGATATATATGTGGCGATCAAACGTCCAACTTCTCCCCGTATCCTCTTCTCAACTTCGGGATCCTTTAGCGTAGCGGGGTTGGCTTCCACTTCGTCCATCAGCTCCTGGAGGTTGTCGGGTTCAGCATTGCTGTCTGATTGTTGAAATGAGTCATAGTTGGCAATGGCACGCGCACGAGCATCCAGTGTCCAGAATGGAAGGTCCTGTACCTGACTGAATGACTTTGTTGGACAAAGCCCAATGCCCAGACCCGCAGATTGAGGTCCTTTCTTATTGTATAACTCAGGGTGGGACCGCAGAATCGCCAAGTGCAGGGTGTCCATTAGCTCTGACTCCTCGATAAAGCGCGCTGATATCGCTCGCATTCTCTGCACAACATGTGGTGTCTGTTTAAGAATCCCGATACCCTCCACACAGCCAATATCTAGCACTGACGCTGGCATGCCGTTAGCATGGCGGTATTGAACAAAGGCATCTAAGAATGTGCTTGCTGCAGCATAGTTTGCTTGGCCTGGGTTGCCGACTTGTCCAGACATTGAGCTGAAGACCACAAAAAAGTCCAATGCGACGTTTTGCAATGCGGAATGCAGGTTCCATGTGCCTAAAACCTTAACCCTGTTCGGTACCGTCCATTGATCATGGGACATTTCAAGGTACAAATGGTCCTATTGGGTTTGTACACATAAATTAGCGGGTCATAATCCACATGGCGCAACCGATGGATGGCTTACACTGAGGGCCAAGGATAGGTTGATAACACCGGCGATGGGTCTAGCGCAACCCTCCACTGCCCTTTGAACGTCTGGCAGATGAGTAACATCTCCACTCACAGTGTGGACATGACATCCAATAGCATCCAGCTCCCGAATGAACATTTGGTGGTCATCGGATTGACCTGCTGAACGAGAAAATATTACAAGGCTTCGAGCTCCGTGACAAGCCATCCAGCGGGCAACTGCTTGGCCTATCCCACCCAAGCCACCAACAAGCAGGTAGGACACGTCGGGGTTGAATGCTATGGTCCTTTTATCCTTTACCCGGGGGAGGTCACCAGGTGACTCGGGCATCTTTACGAGGATCTTCCCCATATGTACCCCCTGCTGCATGTATCGGAAGGCACTAATGATATCGCTCGCTTCGAAGATGGTTCTTGGTTGAATTGGGCTTATTTGGCGTTGCTCGACCATCTCCAGAAATCTATCCAATACAGTGCTGACTCATGTTAGCCCAAGGTTTGGTGGCTGGGAAGTGGTAAATATACTCATGGAATTCATCCGGATATTCTTCAAAGAATTGATTGAGGTCTACCCCAAAAAAGGACCTATTGGATATGAAGAGGTCCATGGAGAGCATACCATGCCCAAGGAAGTCTCGTTTACCGAGCTCAAGCATCTTGCCGAAAGGTGCCACACATTTCCAAGATGTATGAAGCAGATTCCCTCCCAAGGAATTCAAAACAACATCCGCACCCCTATTGCCTGTGCAGCGCATAAGGTCCTGGAGAAATGAAGCATCCCTTGAGTTGAATATATGATTCCTGGGTATGCCATAAGTATCTATCAGGTGCTGTGCTTTGTTCCCGTTCCCAACAGTAGCGTATATCTGTGAAACCTTTAGCAGGGTCCAGGGAAGCAGATGGATGTATGCGTACATTTGCCCCCACCATTTGGCATATTTGAATGGCCGCGAGGCCCACACCTCCAGTCGCAGAATGGATGAGAACCGACTATCCAATTGTTAAGGTTAGGTAACATTGATGGAAGGTAGCGGGCGTACCTGGTTCTTCTTTAACCTAGCTAGATGTAGCAGAGAATAGATCGTTGTCGCGAAGACTGCAGGCATCGTGGCAGCATCTTCTAAGGAAAGGCACTCAGGAACCTTCAGACACATCCTGACAGGTATTACCTTTCGTGTCTGTAAAGAGCCAGAGGCGACGAAGAGAACTCTGTCACCATTATGAACATGTTGGACGTCGCTTCCTGTCTGGACAACCACACCGCTTCCTTCAATCCCCAGGTCTTCAATCTGCCCCAGTACTCCCATTGAAACCATTATGTCCTACATAGTTAGCTTTCTTGATAACTATCAAATCGCATAAGTCTTCCACTTACCTTAAAGTTTAGCGCGGCGAACTTAACGTCGACAATAACTTCGTCCTTCCCGACTGTGGGAAGATCAACAGACTTCCAGTACATTGTATCAAAGACACCGCAACTAGTCATTGAAAGTTTCTTTGGGGTCTCGTCACTCGACATATGACATAATTCAGTTGCGAGGTTCGTCCAATGGAATCTGGCTATGTTGACCTTCCCATCCTGTAAAATATATTCACTGTCAGGGATGATGTGACAGTCTTTATGACGTTGAACCTGTTTGTAGACTGGTATGATGCTGTCAGATGCCAATAGGCTGTAAGAATCAACCTCCAGGGTGTTGAGATTCAACTCTAACTCCCTTCTCAAAGTACGAGCCAATCCAAGAACAAGGCTATAACGAGGGTCATGGCAAACTGTTTGACATGTTGATGTAACCCAGAGCATAGTTGCTTCCCGGTTCTCTCCTAAGTATCTCTTGAGACGTTCATGCTGCTCAGCGGAGACATCATGTAGAAAGGGTCCAGGTCGGTCTAAGAGGAAAACAATCCCTGAGGTAGCAGGACAGGTCACCTCATCAAATGCCATCCAGCAGACTGTGTAACCAGCGGCAACGAAGTTTTGGGCAACACTGTTCTCCCATTCTCCGACCTCAGCGCGATGTACAATAGTAACATCAGTTGCTTGAGGGGGGTGACTTGGGTTCCGTGACAGTATGTTCACCATGAGTCTGCTCATTCCTTCGTCATCAAACTCTGCTGCCTCAACGCCTGTGAAGCCTGCCCTGAGAAGTTCAGTGTTCCACTGCGCTGGAGATATGTAGGGCCTTGCACCACGACCATCCTTTTCACCTATCCACCAACCGGGAAGCACACCCTAGATATGTCATTAATGGAACCGTTTGGGCAGTTGGACTGAGATTACCATGATAAAATCAAATATCGGCAGCTCTTTGGTCGGTTAGACTTTAAACATTAAAAATGAGTGGAGGATATACTTGCCTGGCCAGAGTTCCTGAAGGATTAATCGACCACCAGGAGCAAGGAGCTTCCGCACATTTTGCAAGGTGGTATTGAGGCACTCTGTTGCATGGATGACCTGGCGCGGATTGTCAGCGTGCCCGTCATTGTCTCAGGTATGGGGTCTATACATTGGAAGCAACAATAATATCAAATGACCCGTATTCAAACCCTTGTAGAACTGGATCCTTGCTTATGTCCAGTAGGCGATACTCCATGTTTTTTCGATCCTTGTATTTCTCTTTTGCACTATGCAAAAAACCAGGAGAGATATCTGAAAATACGTAGCTCCCATACATTGGCACTCCATCAGGGGAGCGCAGATGATCTAATATGACTGTAGTACTTCCTCCTGTGCCAGCCCCAATTTCCAATATCTTGGCCCGGGGATTAGAGTGCATCAGTAAGTTGAGTAGCTCATGCCAACACCCCCACAGGGATGGTTGGTAATACAGATCCGCCAGCCCATCCTCATCCACGAGAACGTGCAGGGGAGATTCCGAACCAACAATCATGTCACAGATGTGCAACAAAACAGTTTTGACCATACTAATCATTGCTAGACAGTCTGATTCCTGCGTCTGGGCTTTTGCTGAAAGCTCATCAATAAGACACATCCTTTGTTGGGTGTCCAATTCAAGAAATCTTCGTGCATGCGGAGGAGTCGGAGGAACACCGTTTCGGATGTCCTCCACCCACCTCGCAATGAGATCTTTATACTTGCTGAGATGTTCGGTAGCTGGAACCTTATCCTTGATGCGATAGTGGGCTTCTGATATCACGCAGAGAATTATATCTGCATATAGGCCACCATCCCTTCCTACGGGACGGAACGAGAGAAGCTCTTTCGGCGGTAGAAGATCCAAGTCCGGTGCCCAATTGGTGTGGGTTACTAGCGGGAAACCATGTTGCGAAGTCTCCCCACTATCAGTGACAGAGAAAAATGCTGCACCTTCAATAGACAATATAGGAGACTCTCCGGACACCAATATGGCGCTTCCTGTCGTTATACTTGTGGATGTTTTGTATGCATCAGCCTCGACAGCAAGTTTCCCGTTCCCGGAACTGACGCAGATCAGTTCAAAAAATGAAGGCACTGTCAATTGGTCAAATACGCCAGCCATACCCGAACACATCGCCACACTCATGATTTGTAGACATTGGTCAATGATGATCGGGTGTAGCGTATAGTGGCTTTCATGCGCGGTATGATCTTCAATCATTGTTGCTGTTGCTATCTTCTGCTTGGGGTCCGATGTTATGTCTTGTAGACCCTTGAAACGCTGCCCATATCGTAGGCCATATGTTGCCATAAGTCGGTACCACGTCTCGGAGCACACTTTGCGACTCAATGGGGAGATCTTCTTGGATTCCATATTTTTTTCAAAGCTAGCACAAGCCTGTCCCTGGCAATGCTTGACCCAGTCCTCACCGTCGTATGCAGAAATAGTGAACTCATACCAGTGTGAATCAAGGAAGTCTGATACCTTTACAGGTTTTAGACTGGTAACAACCTCCATCGTATGGCCCTCTGCCAAAAGCAAAGGAGCCTTTAAAAGAACGTGGTGCAGGGAATAACTTTCAGAGCCGTCGACCTGGCGGATCGCTTCACCTATCATCGCTACGAAACCAGCCGCTGGGAAAACAATTCTTTTAGTTAGCTCGTGGTCGAATAGCCAAGGAACATCATCAGGGCGAAGCAGGTTTGACCACATAGGCTCTAGGTCACTAGCGCCGAACATTCTAGAGCCGAGAAGCTCATGATGTGGAAATGCACGAAATCTCCAGTTATGTACCAGACGGCTTTCGTGAAGTAGTTTTGCTCGATGGTCCCACGGATATGGTGGCACGTTTGTCAACACCTGACCTTGCCCTACAAGACTTTGGAGATCAACTGTTGGAACACCGTGGGCCCATAAACATCCCATGGCTTCCATTAAGCAAACGTTTGCTTTTCGTTTCCTTATTAGTGTGGGGACGTAGGTGGCTTTGGATATGTTCCCCGTCTGTATGATTTGACGGATAGGTCCCGATAAGGCAGAATGCGCTCCAATCTCGACAAACACTTGTCCTGCCTCCTGTTCATGTTGTAGAATTGCTTCCATAGCTTGGCGGAATAGCACAGGGGACTCCAAGTTTTGACGCCAGTATTTAGCCGATAGATCGCCCGGACATTTGAGAAACGAACCTGTAACTGTGGACCAAAAAGGCACCATGTTGCTGTTTGTCTCGATTTTTGACTTGATGATTTCTTCGTAAAAGGCTCCCACCTCCACCATATGGCCTATGTGGACACCAATGGATATCAGCATGAATTGACGGGCCTATACATGTTCATGGCTTCAAAATACTGACCGGAATGATATGCTTTGTCAACCCGCAACCGGCGACAGAATGTGTCCGCATTGTCCGACTGAATTTTCTCAATGACTTCGTCAACCTTCTCGCTATCCCCTGATATTGTGGTGCTTTGGGGACTATTTTCACAAGCTATCCCCACACCTTCAACCAGATATCGCTTGACGTCTTCAGCCATGAGGCCGATAGCTGCCATAGCTCCTCCTTGGGCCATTTTAACTGCTTGCCCTCGATAATATGCCACGACGATAGCTGACTCAAGCGACATTGCCCCAGCGGCATATGCAGCCGCAATCTCGCCACTTGAGTGGCCTATTACCGCATCTGGCTTTGCACCCCAACGTGCAAGAAGGTTGACAATTCCAATCTGGACCGCTGTACAGAGTGTTTGGGACAGTTCTGCTTCATGTATTCTGCAGCAGTCCTCGCCTGCTATGAGCTCATCTACACGACCACGCTTAGTCAGTAAGGGCTCCAAATCCTCGGTATCTAGAACCAAAAACCTACCTTCGATACTCCAGTTCGGTGGCTGTTCTAAACTTTGGATCACCCTATCCATTCTTTGTATATCCTGCTGAAATATGGGAAAACATTCCAGAAGCCCTTTCCCCATGGCGGGCCATTGGGCTCCTTGTCCTGTAAACACGAATGTCAACTGGGTTGAATCGAATCGACGTGCTGTCCGTTCGCTTTTGGTAATACTGCCATCTGCCTCTCCAACAAAAAAGGTGCGGTGATGCAAATGCTCCCGTTTTATTGCAAGGGTATATGCCAGGTCTTGGAATTCTAGGGCTGTTCGCTTAGCATATTCTGTTAAGTCATTTACACGTTGACTTAGCGACGTTGGACTTGCAGCAGACACTAGGAACAGAAACGATTGGGTATTCTCGTGTTGAGATGGGTTCCGATCTTCCACCAGCCCGTATGATGCAGCGGAGTCCAAGATTGCCTACATACCCCATTAATGTAAACTTCCCTTAGGTGTAATTTCCTCGTATAACTCACATGCGCATTGGAACCACCGATGCCAAAGCAGTTAACGCTAACTCTCGGATGCCTGTCCTGTGGCCATGGAATTGGCTCGAGCGGGACTTGGAGCATGGCTTCCTTGAATGGTACTATATGGAATAGTCAATTAGCAAGACACTTCACTTTGGGGACCGTGCTGGAAACTAACCTTTAGGATTTGGTTCCTTGAAATGGATATTAGGTGGTATCACATTCTTTTCAAGGGCTAAAACTGCCTTGATGATGCCAGTGATACCCGAGGCACCCTCTGAATGACCGAAGTTTGGTTTTGCCTGGGAGGTTTCAGCGATTGCTTGACTATAGACACAGCCTCAGAATTGTAACACCGACCGCTCCAATATAGACACCTTTCTCTTTGAACAGATCTGCAACAACTGACAATTCTGCTGTATCACCAACAACGGTCCCAGATCCATGACACTCGAAAAAGCCTGTATCAGTTATGTCGCTGATACCTGCCTTTTGGTATGCCTTCCTAATTAATTGCTTTTGCGTTGGTGCTCCAGGGGTCGTGATCCCCACTGTCCTACCATCGCAGTTTGTGGCAGATGACCGGATAACCGCTCGTACTCTGTCGCCAGCTGCTAGTGCGTCTTTCAGTGGCTTTAGATACACCGCATTGATTGCCTCGCCGCGTCCATAGCCATCAGCTCCAGCATCAAAGGTTTTACAGATCCCGTCAGGAGAGAGGACCATATTCTCCGACATAGTCGTGGTCATCGTAGGGCTCAAAATCAGACTGGTGCCCGCCACGATTGCCGAGGAACAATCACCGGTGCTGATGGCCCGGCAAGCTTCGTGCAGCCCTACCAGTGACGATGAGCAGCCAGTTTGAACGGTCATACTGCGCAATGTCAACCTGGGTAAACGAAGCCAAAAGGTCTATCTTCCGGGGTCTCTAACCTTGGCCCGGTAAGGTCATACTCGTATGAGATACGGTTTGCGAGAGCATAGTCTCCAGCCCCTAAAGCATGTAGTCGGTCAGTGTATTGGATATTCTTGGCGCATAGATCCATCCAGTCCTCCCCGAACACCCCAACCCAGCACCCAATATCCCTGCCCTTCCAGTTCACCTGTCCGGCATTTTCCATACATTCCCACACCACCTCTAGCAGCAGTCTTTGCTGAGGGTCAAGTCGACTTGCTTCATAGTTGGTTATGCCGAAGAAGCCAGTATCGAACTCCGTTGGATCTTCCTGTAAGAAATACCCTTTTTTGGTTCGAATGGCATTTGGTTTCGCCTGCTGATAGAAGGAATCGACATTATATCGTGTTTCCGGGACCTTAGAGACCGCGTCTTGTTTGTTCATGAGGAATTCCCAAAATTGATCTTCCGACCGCACCCCGCCCGGTAGTCTCATTGCCATGCCTACCACGGCGATCGGCTCACAGGGCTTACTATCCCGACAAAAGCTCCTCTCAGCTGTTCCTTCATTGTTCTTGCTTTCCGAGGTTTCGGGTACCCTAGCGGCCGCGATGTTGTTCATAATACTGCTCAGCTGCGAGTCAAGCTCCAACTCTGTCAGTATTTGCTCACTATGTCTTCAGTTGTCTGGTGCATACGCACCACGCTATCCGGCTTTGACTCCATGGCCGACATATCGACAGAAGTGACTGACATCCTGAAACCGTTGAGCTTGATCTTGTCGCCAAGGTACGGAAGTAGGAAACTGCGATACTTGGGTTTGAACAAAACGAGTATCACCAGCAAAGTCTGGAATAACACGCGTGTCAACAGTAAGTACAAAAGTCACGTTCCTGGCTTGGGTCTTATATTTCGAACTGTGTTATTACTGCAAGTATGGGTCCAGACTACTTACTACACCGCCATTGCCTTCCTACTAACAACCTGTGGGCAGAAATACCACCGGTACATGCATACATACATACATACATACATACATCCATACGTATCACATTGCGGACGTGTCATTGGAAGCTTGGTATTCTCTTGCCTTTCAGACTGGTGGCGCTACCATACCATTCGCCATACAACATTCTCTTTTGTGGTTTTTTTTTTTTTTTTTTTTGACTTTGGAAAAAAAGATAATCATATTAGGACTTCTTTGTCGGAAAGTAGCCAACCTACTAGATTCTAGCGCGCATAGGCAGTCTCACAAAATTAGAGCTCTGGACAGAAAGAAAACTCATTATGAGGCATCATTACTCAGCCCCACTCACGTCGATCCCTCACATTACGATGGATTCAGGAGGTTGGCAACCAGCTATCTAGTGGTAAAGGAAGATATACTGCAGAGAAACATAGGGTAGAATAATTCAAGACAAAGCCTTGGTATTCAAATCCAACATAGAGCCTAATTGTTGTGCTTCCCGACTAGTCTTCATGAGTCTTTTTACACCGCGTCGGATTCGTCCCCACACCAACACAGCTTCAATATGGACAAAAAGACTGTTTGGTCAGGCGACTTTCATCTCCAATGTGGAACCATGAAGGTGCGCAGGTCGGCTCGTACGGGAAGTATGTTAACTAGCAGACCTTACGTGAGTGATCCGCCCAAAGGAATTTGACATGTCAGGAGAGAGAGAGACGAGTAGCTTCCTGCAGATGTCGAAGTGACACATATAACCCTGTTGTCAATGGACAATCCCAGGGGCGAAAAGTTTATGAATGCAGCTAATATGCCGGTGGAGTTAGTGACGCAGCTCAAAATGTGCAGGCTTGGATAAAAATGTGGAGATATAACCGTCGAGTGATTTGGCTGAAGAATTTGTGAGGAAGATCATGGGCCAGAACCAGGATGACAGGGTAATATCATATGAGGCAACGATCTGCGCGCTATGGGATGACTTCTCCCTGTTTCTTAGCTGCTGGGATCCTCGTTGTCCGAGTCATTCACTGTATCAAAGAGTTATACGTTATTGAGAAGAAAGCAATCTTCACCACAATGGTTATGATGCCAGACAAAGTCCCCTACTTGCATATCGTATGGGCCCAGCTAGTACAAAAGCATCCGCCCAGGACACTTGAACTCGTGGGAAGTGTCTTCACGCAGATCACCGTGTTTTGGTCTCTATCCCTTGTTTTTCTACTACTGGATTCGTTCGGTCCATCCTATGTCCAGCGGTACAAAATACAAAGGTCCTCTCGGCAACCCCGTCGAACACTGCTCTGGAAGGCCGCTCTCATTGCTGCCCTAAATCAGGCATTCACGATACTATTACATATTGGGCAGCTTTTCATCGTTCGCCCACTGGTCCCTCAGATCACCGGCTTACGAGTGGAACCCAAGCTGCCATCGGCGGCTGAGATCATGCATGATATTTTGTGGTGTACACTGGGCCGTGAAGCTCTGTTTTACTATGGTCACCGTGCCTTACATTGGCCTTGGCTGTACAGACGGTTCCATAAACAACACCATCTGTTTACTACTCCTGTAGCGGTCGCTTCGCTTTATTGTCACCCCGTCGAACATGTGGTCTCCAATATATTACCCGTTGCTATCCCTGCACACATTCTGAGGATCCATATCGTCACATTCTGGCTATTCTCTTGCGGAGTCATCGCCCAAGCCTCCTTGGCACATTGCGGATACAGCTTTTTTGACTTGAGCTTCGCTGGTTGGAAGCCAGAGGTTCATGATTTGCACCACGAGAAGTTCAACGTCAACTACGGATTGATCGGTCTCTTGGATGCTATCCATGGCACGAGAGACACTGGAAGGCGGCCTTTCTGCACGGGGGCTTCGGACAGAAATGGTCAAGGTCTGTCCAAAGTGCAACAGTAGAGAATGCTCGAGTGTGGGATAAGGGACGCATGGCAGACTTGGAAGGCCTTTATCAATGCAGCTCAACAGTTCAGAACGCGCCATGCAGGTACATGCAGTAGTTATACATTAAAAAGACTAACCTCATTTTAAAGTTACGAAAGATGAACAGCTGCCAAGCCCGGACCAATGGTAGTATTGTACAGACCTTTCGAGCAGATGGGGTTTTACAGGCCCTCGGAGCACACTAGAGTGTAATTCATACATATTCTAACAGACAAATGCCTTCTCAGGTGTGCAAAAGTCTGAGTGGCCAACAGCGTTTAGTTACCAACATAACAACGCACCAATAAGCTACCATCAGAAGGCCTGATCCGAGCACGATTTGCATCAAGGCTCCCTCACCACCCCACCACATAATTAGGCGGACGATTGATTTCAGATAAATAGCAAGATTGCGTTATCAAATGAGTTTGCAAGGCTATCAATCGGGCCCTGGATACTTGTATGGTTATCTACAGGTATCTTCGCCTTGGTTGCCTTCTCATAAGCGGTTCTGTCAGCAGCAAAGTTTCGCAGAAGCCCGGTTGCGAACATGCGGACTCCCATGGAGTCTATGGAATCGATCTAATATGCAGAGACCATTGTTAGCCACGGCCAGGCACATGCGGATTGCGATGCTCTCGTACCTTTGCCGGGACAGCCTTCAGGGCATCATCGACTGACTTCCGGACTGTGTGGTAGTTCTCCAAAATGTCGGGTACATCGTCATATGACAGCGGGTCAGCATCCTCGAAAGCTTTTCTTGAGAGCTCAGCTGCTTTTGTAGTCTCAAAGAGATCCCTCGCTAGCAATAGACCCTTAATAAAACTGCCATCGAATTCCTCTAGCGATTGCCGTGCGTTATGGGTTTTCTCGTTAAGATTCTGCATCCCCTGGATAATCGTGGGTGCATCCTTAGCTTCCAAGAGGGAGCCAAAATTTCCCATCATCCCCAACAAGACAATGAGCGTCACGGAAAACCTTGGAAGCATCTTTGCACCGTCTCTCAAAGCCCTTGCATTCGCTTCAGACTGACAGTATTACGAGGAGTGTGGGATGATTGCAGTATTTAACAACGTTTCTCCTGAAATCCCGTTATGCAACTGCAGAATGGTCACGGGAATGTGGATCAAGACACCGTAAGTCCTTGCCGATTCCGTAGTAGTTCATAAGTAACCAACTGCATCTTGCCAGATGGATGGACCCCGAGCAATACCCAACACGCGTGTGGCAACTGTTAACCACCGAATTTACTCTCCCTGGCTTGTTTCGACGATGAAACACACCAGCAAACTGTGCCATCACGCTCATCTGATCATGTTCATACGTTATCGGTTCAAGGTTCGAGAATGCAGCATGTCAATATCTCCATTGGGAGCACGATGGAAACACTGGTGGGTAAATTATTGGGAGTCCCTTGCACATTTCCCGACTCATTCTTTGCAAATCGTTGCCATACAGGGCGCATCCTAGTCTTGATTCTAACAATCGTCCCCTGATTTACTCTCGATACATGGAAGTTTCATGAGTCCCCAGTACCTCACCGGGAAGTAAGGGGTAGATAGGTATCGTGCTCTGCAGACGGGCTCCAGAATTCAACAAACCAATGCCTATTTGGACATACATTTTAGATTTGTCACTTGCATGATGTAGGGCACGTCAGAAGTGCACTAGTAGGCTTGGCGTATTGGCCTGGTATAGCCATGTAAGGCACAGTGTACTTTTTTCTTTCATGCAACAAACCCAGCGAACTAGTCTCGGAGTACCATCCCACTTCAAACCGCATGAAATGGCTTCTAAAGACAGACTCGGCAACTCAGATTACTTCCCAGTAATCATTATAGGTGCCGGCCTATCTGGGATTGCTGCAGGATGCCAACTGAAAACAAAACTTGGCCTGGGCCGTTTTCGTATATATGACCGGAACGATGGAATTGGGGTGCGTTCGCATTCTTCCTGTCTATGGACGAGTACTAACAGTGTTCTAGGGGACATGGTGGATTCATCGGTATCCAGGTGTAGCATGCGATGTGTCAGTACATGAACCTCCCCTATATTCTACGACTGCGGTTCACAGTATCTCCTAGCCCTGCAAGCCTGTACTCTTATTCCTTCGCGCAAAATCCTTCATGGTCAACTCTCAAACCTTCGGGGGAGGAGATTGCGGCATACATACAGGCAACATCTGATAAATTCGGGCTTTCGTCGCATATTCAGCTGAATACCGAGGTTAGCAGTTTGATATGGGATGAGCAGAAGGAAGAATGGCAAGTATCCCTGTATCAGACATCATCGGCCAAAGGAAAGTCAGTAAATTGTCCCGTGTTGAGATGTAAGCGCACTGTGAGGGCCAAGATAGTCATCAGTGCCACAGGGAAGTTCGCCGTCCCTCGGACAGATTCCGTCTGCGTTCCAGGTATTGAAACCTTTACGGGAATCGTATTGCACACCGCAAGATGGGACGCCAATGTCAACCTGCAGGATAAACATGTTGTGGTTATTGGGGCTGGCTGCAGCGCAGCCCAATTGGTCCCAGCTCTTCTTCACCAATATAACGTTCGCTCTATTACACAACTAGTACGAACAGCTCCTTGGGTATCTCCAAACTTTCTTTCTTCCAGGCAGCTGCGAGCATGGGAGACCTACATGCCGTGGCTAATGCAGAAGGTCCCTGGCCTACCACAGGCGGTTCGCCTGGTTATGTTTCTAATAGCTGAACTTTCATTCTTTCGGATATTTAAAGCTGGACAACACTATAGTCACAAGAGATATGAAGATAAGCTTCGGGGTTACATGGAGCGCAGTAGCCCCAGTCAATATCACGAAATACTTACTCCCCGCTATGAGCTGGGGTGCAAAAGACTTGTCCATGATGCAGGGTGGTTCAAAGCGCTCTGGGATCCTAGACTGTATATCACGGACCGTCGACTTGGCAGGGTCGAAAAGAGCGCGGTAATGCTAACCGACATGAGGGACGATTATCAATGTGCACATCCACATGAGAGCAAAATACCAGCAGATGCGATTATTATGGCAACAGGATACGATACCTCCTCCCTCCTACCCAATATACACGTTATCGGCAGTGGAAGTGCTACGCTTCATGACTACTGGAGATCCGAAGGGATTCAGGCATACCAGGGGTTGGCGGTTCCTGGATTCAAGAACCTGTTTCTGCTACTGGGGCCTAACTCATCGAATGGTCATACAAGCGTTATGATCGGGGTGGAAAATTCCATCCACTATATTTTGAAACTTATTAAGCCAATTCTCGATTCTGAAGTGAGCTGTTGGGATATCAAGAAGGAATCAAGCAGAATATGGACAGAGAGCGTCCAAAAGACATCTCAAGAGAGCGTGTGGGTAACTGGCGGATGTCACAGTTGGTATGTTGATGATAATGGGTGGAATAGCGCTGTATACCCGTGAGTACGGACCTGAATTACTGCATCCATGATCACCTTAAATAACCAGGCCACAGATATTCCATGATCTATAACACTTATCGCGCTATGTTCCCTTACTGGGATGACTGGATACCGCGGTATACAATCGAGGGCATTAATAATCAACATCAAAAAAGGCTTAGATTTGGTATTTATATTGCCCTACTTATATTGCTTATCGCACTTGGAGTTTTGCATAAGTTGATGAACTAGAATATATTCTCCATCATGCAATGCCTCCGTGGTCGTAGAGTTTGTAATGCAATTTATTCAGAATAGTATTTCTCTTTATGCCTAGATACGTGGGTATTGTACCAAAATGATGAACCCTAACTTGATGGACAGGGATTCTATTGCGCCGTCTAGACCTGTCCTAGGACTTAACCAGAGTTGAATGACGTTTTCTAGAAGCTCCTCTCCCCTGTTGCTATATCCTGGGTGGGCATATTCTTACAAGTGAGATATTCTTCACCCTTGCGGCTCAAAATGATATTCAAGAAGGGTACTAACAACATACAAGAGTCGTGGTTCACTAATGGTCACACTCAGTCAATGGCAGGGAAAGGGTAGATTCCTGGTCATAACTTTCTGAAACATAGTATCAGCTGTTCGATGCCCCGCTTGTGGCCTGTCATTATAATTGAATATCTTCATTTGATATAATTTTCCTTATAGAACTATTACGCGCATAGTGTCTCTACAAAAAGTAATATGATGGTGGATATAGCCTATGTTACATCTAGAGCTACTAAGCCTGCTAATGTATCTTCCGTATCCCTTGCTCCCTTGGTTGTGGGTCGTCCATTATCCGAGGGTGGCGAGGGTCCAATGCCACGATGAGGAATAGGTAAGATTATACCAACCTATATACAATATCAAAAACAAAGTAAGCTTGGCCTGGTCCTTGACAACGAGACTGACTCGATTGACAACAGTGTAGGGCTTGAGGGAGCATATCTTGTCTATTTGGATTCTGTCTAGTCTATTCTAGAGATAGATGTTGTCTTCAAGCTCTTTGAAGTACTCCTTTGTGTGTAACGGTTCGCTTTATGAAATACCAGCTTCCGTTTCTGAAACACTGCACATCGCTGGAAAAGGTGACGAACCTCTAATGGATACTTTCTTATTCATCACGCTACGGATCCTCTGAAAAAGGATATCCATTCAGCATAATTCCAACACTTTCAACAAGATACGCTCTTGGTAATTTGGGACACAGAAGAGGTGGAAACTCCCGCATGGATGGCCATTACTTATATAACATAAACTAGCGGCATCACCATCGCTTAAACCCCTGATGGACTAGTTGGATATGGCGTTCGACTGCAATGGCATGTACCAATGTAACCAGAAGGTCGCTGGCTATTCCGGCTCGGGGGAGAATTCTTTTTTTTCTTCTCTTTTCTTTCCTTTTTTTTTCCCTACTTTTTGACCTACCTTGCTTAACCTTTCTTGAGATTTTGCGGTGGATATACGAAGATTCTCGCAGCAGATGTAGGCGTGATTTTCCCAAGCAGCTACGGGAGGTCACTACCGATAGATGTGGTAGTTAGTAGGATCCTCACACAGCTATACTAGTGCTGATCTCTTCAATACAGTTGAGGCCTTGAGCAAACAATGGCAAGAAGCATTGAGGGAAACTATATATCTATGGCCTGATCCAAGGTCTTCCACGAAACTACGTATCTATCTACTCGAAAGAGGAGGATTTTGGCAGAATCTTGTAATTCAGGTTCCCTTGGCTGATTATATATGAATTTCAACAAGAATTATCTATTAAACCTAGCGAAGTATGGGAACTTGGAAATCTCGCTGTCCCATCAATCTGGTGGAATGTGGGTCTGGAGCTATGCACACTTAAGCATACTTTCTGCATGAGAGACAGACAGCAGAATAAAGTTGGGTCCGATGAATGAGTTGGTATATGGAAACTTACGTGGCGATCTATCATTTGCTCGATGAATGATCGTCCACCGCTGATCTTCCTTTGTTTGGGCTACCATTTTCGTATTGCTCTTGAAAAACCTTAATTCGGGGCTTCCACTCTCTGGTCAAATAAAGATTGCCTTCCTCGTTCTAGATCCGGACGTGGTGCTCCATCCTTTTAAATAAACAAGCCGCTATTTTCCAAAGAAATGTCTGCCCCTCCTTTTAAGCTCCCCACTCAGCCATTCCTCACTGAACTTTTCCAGTGCTGGCAGGAAACTCCCAAGAAGATTTTAGTTCGTGATTTGTCGGGGTCCTGCCCAGAAGCGACGCTGGAAAGATTCCTGTATGATGTCGTGACCCTTCGGATTCGATTCTGGGGTATTCTTGATGAGCATGCCCGGCAGGCTCTACGCGATCCCAATGCAGACGATGTCTATATCGCGATTCTGGCGACTCCGGGATACGAGTATACAGTGCTTTGCTACAGCATCTACAGTCTTGGGGCGGTGATCGTACCTCTCTGTGCGTCAGGTCCTATCGGTCTCATCCTCTATCCGGTCTGTCTTTCTAACCAGATACAACAGCACCCGGGGTTCTTGTAGAAGAGGCCAAGTACTTCCTTGAGCTCTGCAATGCGACCCTCCTCACAGCAGGGATAGCGGATATCCAACACGCCCAAGCTATATCCGACCAGGTCGGCGTCCAGTGTTTCACATTTGACCCTATGCAATGCCTCTTGAAAGAGGATCCGACATTCGTCCTGGAGTCAGAGGGCCCATGGGAGTCCTTTAGTATGGAGAAAGGATTCATCCTATTGTACACCTCGGGTACCACGGGCCCACCTAAGGGCGTCCTTCATTCGCGCCGAGGTGCCGTCGCGGGTTTCCGATCTCTGATGAGCCACATGGGCATGTCGCCCCAAGATACATGGCTCTTGCATTCTCCGGTACACTGGATGGGTGGGGTCTGGCAACTTTTCATCACCGTGTCAGCTGGAGCATGCGTGGAGTTTTGTAGTAGAGTCTTCAACCCGAATTGGTTGATGGAGCGCTTGTCGGTGAGCGACTTGTCATGCATGGTTATGACCCCGATTCTGCTCGATACAATGAAGCAGAAGCTACATGCGGCTCAGAACGCATGGCCGTCGTCCAGGTATGAGGCCGTAATGGCTGGTCTTCGTGGGCTTCGCATCTTAGCCACGGGCTCTATGCCTGTCGGCCCAGTTCGACAGGCTGTTTGGAAGAATTTCCGTGGGGGAAAGCCAATTGTGGAACTTTACGGGATGACTGAAGAGCTCGCAATGGTCGCCAGGTCTTCATGGGAGCCAGATGATGGTACACCCCTGGTAGGGTTCCCTTAGTCCCGTGGTGAAGAATATGTTTGCTGAAGATAGCGTGTTCATGTAGGGGTCCTGTGGGAAGCCATCAGAGCTGGTGACGTTGAAGATAAATGACGAAGGGGAGCTCCTTATAAAAAGCCCGGCCCTTTTCACGAAGTAGGTACTATCCGCAGGCGTATGCTGGGAGAAGAATATTGCAATTATAACTCTAACCCGTCGCAGGTACCTATCGCCTAATCCTGAAATAATGAAGGGGGTTTTTGACAGCAACGGCTTCTACAAAACGGGAGATCTCGCGCGGCTGGAAGGAGGCTATATGTTTATCCACGGTCGCGCATCTCAGGATGGTCAGTCGTCCCGAAAATTCGGATTGGAATAACGCCGTTACTGACAGGTCTGTAGTTATTCGCTTCAGTGGATGGAAGATATTTGCCCCGGAGGTCGAGGAGGCGCTCTCCAGCCATCCATCCGTGTCCCAGGCGATCATTCTGGGTGTCTCTGATCCCCACACCGGACAAAGAGTTGCAGCATTGATCGTTCCCAAGACAGGCAACGCCACTAGTAACGCATTAGATTTGGCGGCCATCCGAAGATGGCTTTCTCGAGAACGAGGAATCCTCGAATACAAACTGCCCACGGTCCTGCGTGTGCTTGACCCGACGCAGAAATATCCAGTGACCTCGAGTGGGAAACCCATCAAGCCACGGATCCGAGAGGAACTGTTTGAGGCAGAGCTGATCCATAACTGCCTCGAGGTGTGGGATCTAGCTGTGAAGGAGCCTGGCATGGCTGCGCGGCCGTTCAACTGGGCTGGGATCTAAGTGTAGAAATGTAGATCATACAAGGATTCGATTTTTTACTCATTGGAACGGCGTCCTTTCCGCACCAGTTTACTCTCTCATCCATGATACCCGATACCCTGATCTAGTCAATCCCAGGTTTCTGCTCTATATTCTTGACTCGGCCCAGTAACGGACCTGTGGCGATGTCGTTGCCTATGTGAACAAGACGACGCGCAACGCACTTAGATTCACCTCAGCTCCGCCACCAAAGGAGGTTCCTAGTGTGCGGTATAGAGGACCCATTCGTCATTGTTGAGATATTGATTGACACCATGGCCAGGCGAGAGTTTCGCCCAGAAATTTTCGATCCGCTTGGTGACAGAAAATGGCACCTCGGGTGCAATCAATTTAAATCTAAAGAGAGTGGAAGATATATTTGGGAGACGGAGTTGCGAGATGCTGTCACGGTACATGTTATACCGCTTTAGGCCGAAAATCAGACGCGTCCCTGGAGCAGTTGATACAATATGAAACACCTGCTTAAATACCACAAGAAACAATAAGGAAAAAGAAAAACATACAACAGGAGGGATTCGCTGGTGGTCACCCACCCAACTACTAACCTCCCGGCGTGTGGCTTAAGTACGGCTGAGCGGACGGGAAGCCCTGTTCTCCACACCCTGTGGTCGTATGTACCAGATTCTTCTGGACAGCAGTTGATATAATACAACTCTCTTCAAGTTCTGAGACTCGCCCCTCTGTTGGCGCGATATCCGTGGTCGACGGATCCCTGCAGTCTGTCGGGTCAGATTGACTCCGCGGCCTAAATCAAGCTGACCCGACAATACATGAGACTTTGATCAATTTCCGACAGCTTGATCTTGTATGAACAATTTCGTGTCGAGAAACCAGTAGTTCGCTGAGACTTCCGGATACCATGGTATTCAGCAATTATGAATGGAAATTGATATCAACCCCCGAAGGAATGGCTGACAACGTATATAAATCTTAAATATCAAGGCTACTCATGAAAGGGTTTCCCCAGTTACTCATTCCCATTAGACAAGCCACGATTATTGGTAGATAATCCAGTGGCACCCCAGATATAAATCTAATTGGTTCAAATATATAGTGCGAGGGTGTTAGTAAATGAGGTAACCTTTTAGATCGTCGGACTCTCCATCGGTCCTCCGGATGGACAATTCCACCAGGAGACCCTAGTCCGGGTCGAAGGATTGCTCGGAATACGAGAGCGGGTCGGAAGCAGCCGTCCTCTAGCCACTTACAGTGCCTTCAGCCGGAGAGCTCTCAGTGCATGAAAGCTTAGCGTCTTAAGACTAAACAACATTTTTAATATGCACCGAGGCTGTGCCAGATCCCAAACAGGCAGACTACATGCTCTTCCTTAGCCTGCTCTGGGACTACTGCATCTTCACCTGAAGAAATTTGGGGCTCGCAATTATTTCCCCAGGTACTGCAAATAGCCTCCGCTAGCGTGGTCAACCCCTAAGTACGGCTGACGAGATAGGCAATCTTGTTCTCTAAACTTATGATCAGAGGTTTCATTCGATTGCAAAATCTGCGGGTCATATCGTGTACAGCTCTGTCCCATTTTATACCTGGTGAGCAATTGAATGGTCACATGATCAGGAAATGTGCACCCGGTTTGATACAAGTTGTCCTGGTGTTAGATCGGCAGGCCAGGATAGGACCATGGTCAGCAAATGCCTGTACTCTGTCGGGCCGGACCGAATCGGAGATGCAAACCCATCGATGTAACGGGAGTCCACATTAAACCGGCTCGGGGTGCCATGGTCACGACCGATAGTCACCGCTGACGCCCAGGAAGACTCCACAGGGGAGCCCGAGAACAGCCTTCATGTCTTGAATATACTGATATATAGCTTTGCACGAGGCGTTCTCTAACTGGCTCAAATCGAAGGTTGCGCGGGTCATGGCCTGACTTTTCAGTCGGAAGGATCCACTAGACAAGGCCGGTATTCCTGCGCCGGTCGCGATGGCATCACTTCTGGACCATCACCAGTCTTTCCACCCACTTATGATTCCTTTCCTCTTTTGTGTTCAATCCACTCTGGGAAATGTTGACCCTGATTGAACTACGGAGCAAGGCGAAGCATGTCAGCAATGAAATTTGCCAGAAAATCCCCACCCGACCGGCCCGCATCTTGATTCAAGTTGGATACATTGGTTCTTTTTCCTGTTATAGCAGTAATAATCCTTCTGCTCCTAGTTCTGTAAGCCTCGGGCGAGCGGTAAAGCGAAATTCTCCAGGAGAAACTGATGAGGGAAAAAACTATATAAGTACGCCTATTCCCCAGCCCATGGTTTGATTTCTTGCTCATCCTATCATCAAAAAGCTTGCCACTGCAACTCTGTTCTAAGGTATGTACTGAATGAGCCATCCTTTGAGATTCTTTTTCCAAGAAGCCGTCCGCTTTGAGACATTAAAGACCGGCTAATGCGAGATAGCTGCGAGTTCGATATCTGCGCTCTTTCACACAGGACAGTTGATTGCTGTCCGGCTTATGAACGCATTTGTATCCATTCTCCTCGTCGTAAATTGGTTAAGTTTGGCATTGGCAACATGCGGTTATCTTCCCTTGGATATCTACTTGCATGTGTCAGCTATGGCGCTGGCCTTGCTCACTCTAGCGCTATACCAAATGAAGTGAAGGACGAAGGCCAGCCCTACTCAATTCGCTCCGTCGACTCAACCGACTCCACCGATGCAGCACTGAGGAGGATCGACTTCAAAATCACCAGAGGCGGCCTGGAAGCGGCTCGGGATGTGATTCTAGTAGCATCCGGCGCAACCTCGGCTATTGCGGCCGTGGTGGGTTGGGTCCAGAGGGACAGTTCTGCGAACTCATGTGCGCCTATTGGAGGAAGTGGGCAATCGGATAAGGGTGAGCAGAAGTATCACTTTAAGTACTGGGTGACCACGACGGGAAAGAACTGTGACACCACGGCACAGACCAAGACTGTGGCTGCAGCGCTCGATGATGCTTGGGATCAGGTGCATAAATACAAGTACAACTGGGCGTGCATCGATCTCAGTCACGGAGGCACTTGGCATGGGCATCTCGCAGTGGCTACAGTTGGCTCAGGCAAAAATGTCGACACCATGTGTAACTAGGGAGGCGAGTGACTCTGGTAGTATAGCAGTCCGACGCTATTCATGTCATAATCTGCTTCATATGTGACCTTGGCTATTGTGGCTTTAGTTCAGTTCACCACGCGCATCCTCTAGGCCGTGCCGCACCATTTGAGCTTATCTCAAATACACCCTTCTTGGAATAGTTTATAGATTCATTACCAACCACTAATTGAATTGTAAATCTGGGGCAGAAAGTGAGGTAATTTGGAATAATCGTAGGTCCATCGCACCAATTATAGTTCAACACATGATCTCTGTAGCGAAAATGAATGGTCACACGTAAGATCGCTGAATCTCAGCTAGAATTATAGCCAGTAAAAACAAACTATTGATACCGCGACCCAGAAGATCACACAGATCGACAACCCAATGCTGTCGATCGACAGACAAAGATTCGCTTACGTAGCCGAGAAAATAAACTGCTGATCTTTAGAGAACTATTCACTACTATTGAATTGAATCCATTTTGGTTTATCTTCTAAGACCCTTGTAGTTGATTCCCAGTTCACTAACATACAAAACCCAACAAACATAATAGCATGGTGTCTACTGATAACTGTATCGATCTCATTATTACCTAGTTGGCCATAATATTCATTATCTGCTATATTTTATTCCTTTACTCAAAATGAAATTCCAGCTCCTATTCTCCCTTACGTCTCTCCTCACCCTCTGTGAACCAATCCCTAAGAAGCGCTCTAGCGATATGGGTTCCGCCAGATATGAGACGCAGCTGGCAAAAGCATTACAGGCGGTCAGTATACTAGTAGAGAAGCATCAGTGATCCCACCTTACTAAAATTTTCTAGAGAGATGAAGCACGAAGGGCGTATCACAGCGACAGATCGGCCGCGAACTTGAAAAAGCTGAGGAGTGGCAATACTGATGTCCAGCGACTCCTTGCCACTGGGTAAGTTCTTAGGTTTACCCTGTGACTAATGCTTTAGTTGATGATAACAGAATTAACGGCGGCTGATACGATGTTTCACACTTTGATGCTGCACTACCAGCGAAGCGTCTGCGTAGCTGGATATCCAATAGTTAGGCCAGCACCGAGCAATCTTGTCGCTAGGCCACTATCTTCATTCCTCGCGGCCCACAGGAGGGTGGAGCTTCGATGACGCTCGACATTAAGCCAACACAGAAAACTACGCAAGGCCTAGTATACGGTCTTATTGGGTTGCAGAAAACCATTGATATCTTTGTGGTTGTGCAAGTTTTGTGAGCACAGAAGAACCAGTTCGCTCGAAAGTTCATTTTTTGACCGGGTCATAGGATTGGAAGGTTCTAAACGCGTTTCTTTTGAAGAGCGTTGTGTTAAAGATGCCAAGTACAAGCAGGTTGACTGGCGATACATGGGAGAGAGAATGTCGATGCAGCGCTGGTCACCTGTCCCGATGTTGCCCTACTCATTAGTCGTAGTTGTATTTGACCCCCCCGAAGAAATTAATCTTGAACAGCCTGCATTAATGGAAAAGGAATGTGTACATATCCTATCACCTGATTGTGATCCTGAGTTCAGAGAACCTTGCTATGTCAGATCTTCATTCTTCAGCTTATGACAACGGAAGAGCAAATGTAGGGGTTTATGGCGACTAGAGACGGTCGCGAAAGTTGTACATATCAATAAAACGACGGTTTACAGCTAATACGGAGAAACTATGGTGTTTATGCTTCGCTACCTGTGTAGAAACTATGCCACAACCTTAACCACGGATTTCTCTGCCTCGAAAACTATGCAATACTCCTGTCTCGCCTAGTGTCTAAACCCTAAAGACTGATCGTTTCCGGATGAACCTTTGATTTCATGACCATGAAGTTTGTCCAGCACTTGTACATTGCTCAGTTCGAAGTAGAGCAATATGGGCTCTTACAACCCCTCTGTTGCTCCCTTCGAGTGCGCCGAACGAAGAAATAACGGACCATTCGAACTATTAGTCCCGGGCCGAAAAGCAGAGGAAAGGAAAGCATCAAATCAGTTTTCATTGGTTAATATTATAGAAAGGCAGGCAGCTGCGAGTAATGTCGGAAATGAAAATTACTGAAGGGTGTTCTTGAGTACATTCGACAATCTTGGTGTAGATACTCGGATCGCCCCCAAAGTCATATACAAAGACAAAATATGTTGCTGCATTAAATTACAACTCATTATAGTCCATGAATGTCTACCAAGACATCAGCCTTAATTTCTATGGCATGTCTAAAGAATTATATAGAATCAGGAATAATACGGATATAGTGTGGCGCAGTCTTGGCATGACTACATTTAGACTTCAAATTTCCCCCACGTCGACGAAACTCCATCCGTCCGCTTACATACCCCAAGCGATACAGACTAGACTTCCTTACCAATATGGTCAACACTGGTTTTCCGAGCAAAGCCTGCCACACTTGTCGGCGTCGTCGGGTGAAGGTGGGTTCTCGACTGGTCATGACGATGTCGATCACTAACACTCCGCAAGTGTGACCTTGGACGCCCCGGCTGCTTGCGCTGTAAGAAATTCGGCTATGAGTGTCCTGGCTATAGAGACCTAAGTAGGCTGGGTGTTAACTTCCGGATTCTAACCCCTGAGTCCTACCCGCGTCAGAAGAGACAGGATTGCGACTGGCAGGTGACGCGGAACTCTGCACAAGATGGTCGATATTTCCAAAGCGCTGTAACGAGACAGGCACAACTAGTGAATTTATATACGCCGACTGAGCAATGGGAGGCACATGCTAAGCCTTTTCTTCTCAGCCAATTCACAATAGTAACCTTACAGGGGGCTCGTGTGTATGACTCGCTCAACTTTCTGCCGCAGCTACTTGAGCGCGCTGGCACCGGATCTACATTGTACAAGGTGTGCGATGCTATTGCCTCCGCCTACTTTGCCAACCGGTCATGTTCCGATAGGGTTGAATTCGGCCACCGAAAGCTCTATGTCAGGGCCCTGCAATCTCTATCAAAGGACGTCTCTAACGTTGAGAAACAAAACGAAGACACAACGCTGGCGGCCGTGTGGCTGCTGTGTTTGTACGAGGTATGTTATTTCGGTTGCTTGCACCGGCAATTTAGAACTAAGACGTATTTCTATGTATAGCTCATAGTCGGGACCCGAGGTCAAGAACCTCGGGGCTGGAGGACTCATGGCGAAGCATTGATCGGACTATTGCGATTGCGAGGCCAGAACCAATTCCAGACCAGGACAGGTTGTCAACTTTTCCAGCTAGCGTACCAAACTGTTGTATGTTTCCTGATTGACTGAATGAAGTCCCCTCTCGGTTAATTCTTACCTTCTATGCTATAGCAAATACAGACGATACGAACAGGCCGGGTGCCGCCACCAGAAGCAGTCGCCTGGCTGCAGTCAATGCAGACATCTGCCATGGCGAAGAAGCTGCTCTTTGTGCCGGCATTTCTGTACAGTGACTTGGCCTCGCGAATTTACAGCACAATTTGCGATCTACTCGACCAAGGCTCGCACGAGAAGATGCTCGAGAGCATTAACGACATCACCATCGCTTGCAACACTCTGGAATCGTCAATAGATGCAGTGCTCACTGAATGCCCAGCCTCACAATCCCGGCCAGGTCCATCAGACGACCTAGTAACAGGACAAAGTCACGAATGGTTAATGAAGCAGCATGCCTCGAACTATCTCGGTGCATGTCTCTTTCAAGTTTATCAAGGAGCGGTAAAGTTGCTTTCTGAGACACTGAAAGCTAATGTATCGCCGAAGATGCACGCTACGCTCCTATGTCTACACGAGTCCAGCATTGAACGATTAAGGCACCTGTCAGACCGTATCCTAGTGTCTCTCCCGCTACTTATGCCGGCGAAAGCGGCCAGTGTTGACAAACAGGGTCCAAATATTCCAACATGGGGACACGCCTTGAAGCTACTCTGGCCGCTAGGATTAATTGCATCTTCCGCCAATGTGCATGACAGCCAGCGTGTTGCTGCGAACCTGGGCCTACTCCGAATAGGCTACGAGGCTGGGATTATGCAGGCTGTAGGGGGATAATATCAAGGGATGATGAAGGAATCTAGAGAAACAATATCTATTCAAAACCAACTTCTAAAATTTGTAATTACACAAAAGATTGCATCCAGCGATAACACTAGCAATTCAGCTTTACCTGTATCAAGAAGCGATGATAATCACACAACAAAAGCCACCATCCTCGCCGAGCAACGCGATTTCCACAACAAAGTATCCACAGATTGTAGCTATCAAGAGGAACGCGACGTCGGGTTCTCAAAGACCTCATCCAACCAGTCCAGAGTAGCCATCGCCAGCTGGGGTTCAGCCCCAATAGCACAGTGCTCTCCCGCACCAACATTATTCTTGAAAAGATGATAATAAGCCTTATCGCCAAGCATCCGCGCCATCCTCTCCGGCTGACCAGGCGCAATATGGTCGTCTTGACCCGAAGCAACAAACACCGGACAGGTGATGTTGTCCAGCATTGTCTGGGTGATTGCCATTTTACTCATTTTGGTCATCCACTCGAACGGGCTGCTGGTCTTAAACGACCATAATCCCTGATCAATGCCCCATTTTTGACTCGTGTCAGTGGTTTCTTTGTATGCTTCCCAGACGATCGCATCGAAGGCCGTCTTGTTCCCATTTTGATAGAGTTTTTGTATCGAGGCTGGAAACTGCCGAAAGGTTGCCTCATAAAGATCCAGCATTCCATCAATTGCCAGGACAGCGGCAAGACGGTGCTCACGGGTGGCTGCTAAAGGCGCCAACTGACCACCGAACGAGATTCCTCCTAGCGCGATCCGATCTATGTCCACGTCGTCACGGGTTCGTAACCAGTCAACGACGGGGGTGACCACACTCCACCAGTCGGGGATGAAGCCGATGTTTGACTCACGACGTACTGTTGGCTGTCCGGGCCCCTCGTAGGTGACGAAGTTCCACCCGCGTGCGAGGATCTCTTTGCCCAGTTGATGGTAGGTATCTTGCTGAGCTCCATCATAACCAGATCCGACCAGGATCGTGGGAAGTCGTTTGCCTTTGCCGCTTGTTGTGTTGGCGTGTGACGATTTTGGCGGTGAATAGAAATACAGAGGAATCTTGAACTCGCTCCCTTCGAGCTCCACCTGCACCGGCGGGTCAGGCAGCAGCTTCATGGCGGTGTCATAGTGCTCCAGCACGGAATCCCACAAAGTTTGAATGCGGGGATCGGAGGCATTTCCGTGCAGGAAGAAGTCCGCAGCGCGGTAGTATGAGGATGCACGGAGGTGCGCCTCACGAGCCGAGACGGGAAACCTCGTGGTATTGACCGACGTCGCCTGGTCGGCAATTTGGTCTGCCAGGTACTTAAACTCTCTATAGAAGCTTTCCATGTCGCCTGGCTTTATTTGGGAGGCTGCGCGAAGGATCTCACCCGTAGCAGCACCCCCGCCATTGGCGAAAGAGAGAAAAGTCTCCAAGACGAAGGCAAACTCGGAGTCACTACTCAGCTGATGGATCACAGATGTGGAATTGGAGATGGTAACATTGGGGATCAGTTGATTTGCTGTCTGTTTTTTTGTGTCAGTGACTGATATCCCAAGGAAGTAACTCTGCAACGGTGCAACATACCACTAGGGTGAACAGCGCCCCAACACAGAGAGATGATCGAAATCGCATTGTGATGAATTAGTTTTCTAAGAAGGTGTAGGATCTTGAACTTAATTGAAAATGTTTTAATGTTGATAACAGTAGACTTGAAAATCAGGGGAATTCGGGGGAGGAATGCTACGTTTATATATTGCACAAGGTGAGTTAGAAAAACTACTTTGATTTTGGTGTTCAGTAATAGTTGGCAAGTATATGCGTGGCCCTACTAAGATGTGAGATACGAGGTCTGTTCGCCTGAATGGCTTGCCTATTTTGGCAACCAGTTCGAGCGGATGAACATTCAGATCCTAATTTGTCGATCTCGTGACCTCAAAGCCGCCGCCACGGAGCAAACAAGCAACGCCGAACGTTGCCACATCGGGTAGTCCATTCGAGCCTAGCCTTCTTTAGGAAAGGTGTTGCGGGAGGTTGTACTACGTAGTAAAAGCTTGGTAAATAATGTTTGGGATCACTAAACCTCATTCAGTTAGCCATGCGATGGAGAAGGTCTGATTGGCTTCCTGGTGACCCACCTGCAGTTCGACGCTGACATTCACAGCCTTACTCCGTCGGCGGGGCCCATTTATCGAACAATGACAAGAATATGTATAGTAGCGGAGTCCTAATCGTGGCGATGCATCACACCCCACCCTGCCCTGACGATATGATTAGGCTCACCGTTTGTTGTCAAGAGATTCGGAATACCAAATGGAAGTGTACAAACCTACAAACTCTTCAGTAGTTCGGTGATTCGTGGTCAATCTGCAAGCCCACTAGACAAGGCTGAAGCAGATAGTCGACTCATCCTCTTTAGGAGAACCATATACGTTCATTGTGAATATCCGCAGCGGTATGCGAAAGGATAACAGCTGTGACTAGGTGAAAAATTCAAGTATATATATTTTCTAGAGGTAGTTAAGGATTATAAATAATACAAGGTTATATTAATTGTAAATTAGAATCATTCTGATACATAGAACAATGTAGAGTACTCTCTAATCAGTCATTTAGTATGAAAGTACTTTTCACCAAGAACAGAATTCTAGGACTTTTATTATAAAGATTAGGACTTTGACTGACTTAGAAACATAATTGGCCCTAAAATAGTTGCAATTCTCCGGAACACTGTATCTCGGGAACCGATAGTATACTGTTTATAATCCCTCGCCCCACCCTGGAGACGTCACACTAGATTCTGACATCGCTAACACCCCGTTCAGCTGCCCGATGAATCATTGGTTCTCATTCAATGTTTGGTACCATGACGTCTATAGGGCTACTGAACATTCAGCCTGATCAGTTCACAGCTACCAGTATTTCATATTCGATCCACCAAGACCAGAAGGGCGAAGATTTGAGTCATATCAATGCTATACGTTATTGATGTTTGGCATGTTATTATCGCGTTATGCGTGGTTATCATTTGTAATATATACATAACCCATACAGGCTATACACGTTCAGGTGCTGAGCCTGATTTCTCCCATCTATTGTCCATCTTTATCAGGTGAAGCATGCATATGGTCTCAGTGCCAAAGGAGGTGCTTATCCTCCTGTCACCTGTCGTAGAGCCTCATATTATTCTTTGATTTGCTAGGCAGTCGATTATCGAAACTAGCCATTGTTCGCTTCATTTTGCGCCCGAAAGCCGCAGGACATCCCTGTCGTTAGACTGACATTTATTGCGGACGCAGAGCGCTGATGTTGGCGAAAATGCACCACACACCGCCATGTAAGCGTGCCAGACAGACGAGCAGCATACAAGTTATCAAACGGGTTAATAGAATTTTGATTGATTGATTGATTGATTATCAAACGCTCTTATGTCGTTAACTAGTCTGCTTGATAACTGCTGTTCGCATAATTTTGTGATATAATTCGATCAGAAAAGTCACACTTGATATGTCTCTGTTCCGAACACGAGCGTTCGGAACAATAGACCATGTCTAACTGAACGCGTTTAGTTACCAGCTCAAGTCGTGGAATTCGGCCTGTTATTGCCAACGGACTAGCCCATCATGGTACTAATGTCGTAGCGAATGATTCCACCACTGCCGGTTCCGCGGAAAAGGTGACCGAGAAGATACGCAGCCACGGCGTGAAAGATATCACCATGGAAGCCGACATACAGAGCGAACAGGAGATTCAATACCTCTGCCAGTGTGCAATAGCAGTGTTAGGCCAGCTGGATACTGTCCTGAGAAATTGTGGCATTGAGTATTTTGCCGCTCACCCTGACGTGACCTCCAGCGGAATCGATGAGGTTTTTGCTGTGAATCTCATAGCTCAGTATTTTGCTGATTACGGTCGACCAACTTTTCTGACCTGCACTATCTGAGCTTAGAGGCTTCTAGACATCCATTGCCGTGCAAACCCTAGATTCGACTCATCTCCTTGGCCTATTTAGGGCTTCCGACCGCACGCTATCCATGCTGCTTCCGCAGCGACCACTCAGGGAAGAAACAGAGTCTCTGGGACATGACTTCTCTCCTTAAAATGTCTCAGTGAATTGCATTGCCGGGGCTGTAAAGACAGACGTGTACGTGCAGCCCGCTGCCAAGTACCTACCAGATGGTACCAGGAGGAGTGTAGAAGAGGTCAATTCCTTGTCTTCCAAGCGGTTACCACTGAGCCAGCCTGGCTTCCCTGATGATATTGCTAGAGTCATTGCGTTACCCACTTGTACTATTTATCAGTGACTGACTGGCCAAGAGTTTCCATCTGTGGAGGAGTTCATATGGTCAGAAGGAATCAGTTCTAGCTGTTGAGCATCGTATCAGTATCGCCCGTTTCTCTGAATATATTTAGTCCAATGTTACAGCATACTAGGCCAGTTTTTAGAATCCAATAGCTTTAGGTATCCCCCATGGAAGGCTTAGCCAATCATTTATAATAATAAGCCACAGTCGTACCTAGTCCGATTTTGGTGAAAGAAAAGAGAGCACCAAATAAGTGGGGAAACGGTCGGACCTCATCCCGTTACTGACGGCGGCATATGTGATGATCGCCAAGGATAAGGGCGTTTGGTATAAAACCTATTCTCAATTGATGCAGATTTCTCTCCCCTATCATGTACATTGCATTTATAACAGTCATTAGCACTACCAACGGGGCCAGTACAGGATATGGCAGCATGGTTTCAGCTAATATTTCCAACTGCAGCTGTCCGAGTGATCGGACTTCCTCAGGTGCCAAGAGGCTGTAGCAGTTGAAGGAGAAATGGTCCAATCCATTCCCCTGACAGTCAATTAGGCTCAGATATCCATCTCGAATGAGGAGACTAGGTAAGTCACAGGTGGGGGGTGACAGCCTGCGGGTTCTTCAGGAATTACCTCCTTACTTAGGTTATTACACCCGAGACGCTGTGACCTGCTTTTCGGCAAGCCAAAATCTACCACGGCAATATTTCAATGGCATTGTGGAGCAAATTGAAGGTCTAATTTATACCATTTATATTAGTTTATTCTCTCGTTAGTTGGGCCTTTTAATCCGACGGGACTAATTGTCCACTCCTCTTCAAGCACACTGACTAGGTTTGCGATGATGCGGCAGTTGATCCGATATACTACTAAGGATTGTAATGGAGCGAAAGTATATAAAACTCTCTCTTCCTACCCCATTCCCCGCCGAAACTTAGCTTTCCTTGCCTAGGTTTGGTACCTCGTTTCCAATCTTCTCTAACATTGCCTTTAACTACTCGACGCTTCATTTCATTACTAACATGGCGTTGTCACAACAATGCATCTTCCACGGCACCTCTTATGTTACAGGCACCGTCTCAGCCACACTATTGGCAGCAGATCTTGAACTGAGTTTCTGGGGCGGCGTGAATCCAAAAACAGGCGAGGTTATTGATCGCTTTCACCCGCTGAGCGGTCGCTTTCTGAAAGATACCATTTTGGCCATACCTGGAGGCAGAGGATCCTGTGGCGGGAGCGTTATCATGATGGAACTGATTCTAAATGGCCTGGGTCCCAAGGCACTGATTTTCGAGCGCCGCGAGGAGATTATTACACTAGGAGTTATAGTTGCCGAAGAGCTGTTCAATAAGTCAGCCGCCGTGGTGACACTCAACCCAGAGGACTTCCGTCGGGTGCTGGGTTGGGATGGAAGGACAATTCATGTACAAAGTGACCTAGTCTCGGATGGTCCGTTGAGTGTCAATATTACCCATGAGGCTGTGGAACCGGCGGTTGACATCAACAAGTGTAATGTTCAACTTACCGATTCCGACCGGGCGATGCTGGACGGAGCCCACAGTGAGGCCGCTAGGATCTCGCTCAATATTATTATTCGAATGGCAAATATGATGGGAGCCCGAGAGCTAATGGATGTCCGCCAAGCCCATACAGATGGCGCCTGGTATGGCCCCGGCTCGGTGGCCTTTGGAAAAAGACTTCGTGACTGGGGCGGCGAATTCAAAGTTCCCACCACTATTAATTCACTGAATATTGACCAAAAACGCTGGCGGGCGCTCGGAGTGAACGCGGAATTTGGATCGTCCTGTGATGAGTTGGCCAAGGCCTTTGTCGACATGGGTGGCAAGATTTCATTTACCTGTGCCCCTTATCTACTCGACACAGCACCTAAACTAGGTGATCCAGTTGCCTGGGGAGAGTCCAATGCTGCTATCTATGCAAATAGTGTGCTTGGTGCGAGAACACTCAAAAACCCTAATATGCTCGAGGCTCTAATTGCCTTGACTGGCCGCGCACCGAAAGCTGGAGCCTATTTGGACGAGAATCGCTTTGCGTCTATCTGGCTCAAAGTAACACCACCAGAAGCGACGGACGACTCATTCTGGCCTATTTTAGGCTACGCTCTTGGCGCCATTGCAACGGCTCGCATCCCGGTCATTACTGGACTCGAACATTTGAAGCCCAACAGTGATGACTTCAAGGCGTTCTCAGCGGCGTTTGCTACATCCTCTAGCGCTCCTATGTTCCACATGGTCAACCTGACTCCAGAGGCTCCTACGCTCGAGGCTGTGTGTTGCAACGGTATAGCCCCCCACGCTATTGACGTGGGTTGGAAGGATCTAGACGCGATCTGGGATGAGTTCAATCATGGCTCTGAGTCGAGAGATATTGACCTTATCTCATTTGGCAACCCGCACTTCTCCTTACGGGAGATCAAAGAGGTAGCGAAGCTCTGCCAAGGAAGAACCAGGAAAGAGGATGTTGCCGTGATAGTCACCTGTGGCCGTGCTCAGTATAGTCTTGCCGTACAGGCCGGCTATATCGGAGAGCTTGAGCGGTTCGGGGTCCAGTTCTTACAAGACACTTGCTGGTGCTCTATCGAGGAACCGGTAATTCCCAAGAACACCCGGACAATCATGACTAATTCTGGCAAGTACATTCACTATGGGCCTGGACTAACGGGCAAGCAATTTGCCTTTGGCAATCTGAGCATGTGCATCGATGCCGCGTGTACTGGGAAAACTACTGGTGACCCGCCTTCGTGGTTGCTGGAAGCTAGGTCAAGATAGTGGCTATTTATTTCTAATTACGCAATGCAGATTTGATCGTTCAGTGAATAGCTTCACTCCAAATATAAGCCGATCCTTGATAAACAAGGTTCGTCAAGAATATGACCAGAAGAATAATTTTAGTCTGTGGATTGGGCAGCCGGTGGGATTTGATAATAATTCTCATGCCTGAAAAGTGGAACACCGTCCCCGTAAATCTATACAAACCATACAATGAAGCGGTACAACATAGGTACAGATGTTTAATGTATGTATTCTACTGGTTAGAGAGCTTGTAACCAAGACGTCCATAACTCTTCCAGCAGAGTAAGTAGGGCGCTGGAAATGGAGCTTTAGCTGAGAAACCAGAGACTTCTTGGCCACTTTATAACAGGGACCCTGTTTATGGCATATATGCGTTAATAGTGCAGCACTAATTGTGAACAATGCTTCCTCCACAAACTCATAGTGTGCGTGTATCCATTGCTGGGATAAATCCCAAGCCCATATAATCTAGGGTTGTTATCCTGAGTGGGCCATGCCCCAGACGGGTTCCAGAATCGGACAACTTGACCTCGGCACCTGGAAAGCTGTGATTTATGTGTTATGTACAACTCTGCTTTGACGTGGTCAATAGTGTATACTGGGAAAACAAGGTCGGACAGTGGTCAGCAAAGTTCTGCTTGATCCACCAAGACCTATACAACATAAGACTGTGGTCATCAGTTTCCTAGGTCTATTAGAGAAAATAGTAGCTGAGGTAAAGTGATCACGGTCAAGAACGTGGGGCGGGAAATCCCTCAGCCTCATGGTGGGAATTTATCCAAAGCTTTGCCTTATCACACACGGCGTGCACCCCTCGGTTCCAAAAATACAACCTAGTAGATTTCTAGATCATTTGATCGGCTCATCTAGAGCCCCTGTCTTCGTAGGTAAAGTAGGTGGCACATATAGGCAATTTATACAGTACACTCGATTGGGACTATCCAGGTAATTTAGATAATGTAAGTAGGGTTGATATCGGGTCGGGTTCAGGACCCGCCCTCGACCCCAAGCCGGGTTTTGCGGGGAACCTGACCAACTCTAAATGTCAGGAATCTAGATAGTTAGCCTAACTAATTTAGATTAATTTAGTAATTTAGAGAATGTAATAAAAGCCTATGTGATTCCGGTGCCCAAGTAGTCTGCCGTGTCCTTGAGCTGGCAGCCTATAGTAGTATTGAATTCTTAATGCGCAGACCTGGGGTCTAAATGATATGACAGTTTGGGATACGGTTCAATGCTGCTATGGGTATATTATCTAGTTAAATAGAATATTAGAGTATCTCTCGGGAAATGCAGGATAGTCAACCGGTAAGAGGAACTAATTAAATAGGTCCAGGCAATCCATAGTACAGCAGGACATATCCGACTCCTCCCACAAAGTCGACATTCCGAGGATGTTGGAGACCAAGCTGCAAGTGCTACAGTGGAATAGCATGAATCAGGCGTGTCTGGGAAGAGCTATTTAACGAGCTCCTAGGACCGATTGGTCGACGTGCACCTGTCAGTTGCATACTTAGTTTCTTTACAAGACCTACTACCTACTACAGCCCATCTAGTGGTAGAACCGACAATATTCATAGCATGCTATTCCGTCCGCAGCTAGCAGGTATTGGCTAAACCTAGTCAAGGTAGTGCGAAAAACTAAATTTATGCGCTTTCTAGACAGACCGACTAAGGAGCATCAAGGTCAATCCAGACTAGGAAGTCAATCACCCCCCCAATTAGGCAAACCTCAACAAGCCGTATCTTCTAATAACTGCAGTCCATCGCCTACGGGTGCTTTGACTAGAACATGAAAAGCTCAATAACTTTCGTAACAGTAGCAACCGCCCCAACAACTAGAGCAAAGCCCCATCACAGTACATCAGAAAATACGTCTGTTCAGTCCGAGTCCGGGTTACATTGGTAGCCGCTTATGTTGTTGATGCAGTAATCAGGGAGTCTTTTGAAGCCAGGATATTTCTTGCCTGAGCACGTGACAGTATTTCTGAGCACTATCAGTCCATCTCTGCTCATGTACTGAATATCTAACCAGGGGGAATACTCACGGAGTGCCGACAGTACAGAAAAATCCCTTTGTATCTACTGCAAATGAACCAGCATTGTCCCTGAACCCGTCCCTAATACTATGCACTTCCGATGGCTTGAGGCATTCATTGTAGCACGGGCCCTGGAAGTCAAATCCCTGGCATACTCTGATGGCAACGCAAGCTCGAGCCTGGAGATTGGAGGGATTGGTTTCAGCTAAGGCGTTTTTCCTTGAGTCAGTCTATGGATATCGCAGAGATGGGAGTGGACTTGCCTTCGCTGGATGCGACGGCCTGTCCAGCCAAGAGTGCAATGGTAGCAGCAAGAACCTTGAGGACATTCATTCTGGTTGATGAGATGGTTTCCAGGTGTTGGTGATATTGGAAGGAGAGAGAGTTGCGGTCAATGATTTTGAAAGCATCGACGAGTGTCGGGCATTTATATGTTGGCCCGTCCCTATGGAGTATTCTCCGTTTTTTGACTCCAAGATGATCGCTGTCCATTGAAAAGGGCATGAAGGCTCTAGTGAGAATTCATAGCCTGGTTTGGAACAAGCATTTGTCAATCTTTGCATATGCCAAGCCTCGTAATGGGTGGCCTTAAAAGTAGGTGGCCCTGAGGCGCCGTATTCAAATCAAGGCAGCGCCACATGGCTCCAAATATTGCATAGTTACTCAGAGATCAACATTCTCAGCCGTCTGGAGAATACTGGAGGGTGATTCTGATTGGGAGTCATACGAGGCTGCGTGATGGATTGTCGTAGGCGGTGCCCTTCCCTGTCACTTGTAGCCCTTCAATCCTGGCCGTGTGGAGTATACGCCAGAATAACATATCCTGGGAGTATATTTGCTTATCTCGTATTGTGCCCCTTCTGAGACGCCAACCTTTGGGCACCAAAGACCTACATTAACTGACTTCAGCTATGCTAACCCTCTAAAGTATCCATTTCCCACAACCCATAACACTAGGACCAACTTGGTTAGCACAATAGTAGTAGCTCTTCCCAAAGATCCGAAGTCATCGGGGAATGTAATTGAATTATCATTACCACTGTTATAGTTTACCGCTAGCGATATCAGTCATTCATATACCTCTCCGTCTGAGTCCTCTCCCTATACTGGAATGTCAGATCGGGAAACCATTTGAAATACAGAAATGGCATCATATCTACCGGTATCGAATGTCCAGGTAATCTGGGATACGGCAATAGTGGTATGCGTCCTGGCTGCACTGTGATCAAAGTATCGCCAGTTACTTAACGGGACCAAGCGCGGCTGCACATCGGCAACTTGGTATCCAGTCCATAACCAGAGTTCTCTCAGCATAATGAACAGAGGCATATATCACCATGGTAGAGTTGTGTGCTGGTCATATTCTACAGTCCTAGCTGTTTCCCGTAGGACAAAGGCGCCTATCGAACTTTCAGATCCCTAGAAATGATATGGGAATCCGGGTCATATCAGGACGTACCTAGCATTGTTTATGTACGGTGGGATGTAGATCATTGGCCCAGCTAGGATTCGAGAAGATTACGCCTTTAGTATATGCATGTCGTTCTATCTCATGCGCAAGCAGTAAAAAAACCATAAGTCCCTTGTATTCCTGACAGACAGGTACTCTGTAGATAGCTCGTGGAAAGCGCGGCTTCATTGTGTGTACATGTTTTAGATCCCCTTGGGAAGTACCCCTGTGTCTACCTTGATTCGGTCAGCTTGTCTGGTCGATGGACAACTCTATATGTTATATCCTCCAGATATCTAGTCACCATCATCATTAGGCAGGGAAAGGAGCAAGAGCATCATATGAATGGCTATGCCCTGCTCTCTGCCCCCTGTCAATCGCCCGCCGCTAAGGAATTAGAATGAAGATGGCGTCTCACTCCCCACCTCGTAATTTTAGATACTCAATTTGCCATAGAAGTAGCCCTTTGGAGGATTATTGCCTGAGTTTAGTGCCGTGGTCAAGGATAGAGCAAATAATGGCGTCCGGCCATCTTGCGCGTAGCCAAATTAACAATGTGGAAACAAAGTACATTGCATTGCCTCGGCACCTTTAGTTTCAGAGCTCAGGAGTGACTGTGCCGCAATGCATTAGCGCCGTGACTGACCCCGCTTCCTACAGCTACAGGCCCTGCTGGCATAAGTAACAAAGTGGAGTAACTCCTTCGAGGCTGAGGGGGCGAGGCGTCCCAGGGTTCTCCGATCGCCCATTTTTTGCTCCTCAGTAACGTCACGCTGACTTCCCTAGCTCTGAGCGCTCTCTACAGTTCCAAACGGCAATCCACTGTGCTCCCCAAAGTATACGGAAAGGTAGCACCCGGTATACACGTATGACAGTTGATGCAAAAGCAAATCCAATGCCCTATAGCTCGCCATGCTCTGCTCAGCTGTCACCAAGAAAGACATGCGATGTTCGAACAGAGCAAGGCCTGGCAGCCGCCTTTGTGGGACCCATCAGAAGTCAAAGACGGTTGCTTTGGTGAGCGACAATCAACTCGCCAACGATTCATTAGAGGAAGATGAAGCCACACCGGGAGTCAATGATTTGATCAGAGCAGTGAAGGATATGGGATTAGAAAGCGGCTCTCCAAACATGACTGGTGGTTATGAAACACCGTGGGAGTATGAAATTATGGTAAAGTTCGAAGGAACTGCCGTAATGAGGAGCGGAAATGCTAAGCATCTGGTACATGATGGAGGCCGCTGTAGAAGCGAAGATCCCGAACTTATAGACCTGCGTTCCCCAGGAAGGGTCATGCAGAAGGACCTACCATCTACACAATCTACACCATCTCGGCCTCCCAAGCCGAAACTACGTACGACAGATATTGTTCCAGATCCTCATGAAGCATTTTGCGAGACCCCGACCAACGACATTCCACCCGAGCTCGATGAACGTCTACAGTGGGAGCTATCAAGAATAATGGTGCAACCACCTGATACGAAGACTGGGATAGTCTACATATGTGATGTTCAATATGAGCCACGGATAAGCTCGGGAACTAGGGTCATTAAAATTGGGGTGGCATCTGATATCAACAAGCGCTTGAAGGCTCATTTCCATAGCTGCGCTAGCTCTAGGCTCCGACTAATCACCTCGTATCCACGGTCGAAGCTGGAATTGGACACGCACGAGCTGATCCGAAATCTTTATCAAGTAGAGAGCCTAATTCATAAAACGCTGGAGGAGTTCAGGTATGACAAGAAGTGTGGGTGTGGCAAGAACCATAAGGAGTTATTTGAAATTGTGGAGCATGAACTGGAATATATTCTAGGAACCGTCGAACATTGGGTTTCCTGGAGTGAACGGAAACTTGGCCATGCCTTGATTCCTCATGGCAGATGATAGTCTATAAACATCTATGTACCAATACTACCTTCTAGCAAATAGGAGGACTCATTCATGTACTTAGGATATCCTGTGTTTCGTTAGTTATATTCAATGCAATGATTATTGGGCATATTTGTTCCTAGTGGTAACATAGTCCTTGTGCATGGCCTGAGAGGTATATCGGCTCCATTAGCTCCGACTCATCTAAATTCAATTGAATAGATCAGACTTGATCGCTTCTGCTTTTGCGGCTACACAGCCTCCATATGTCCACACGTCTGACCATTTCTGTCAGACCCCAATAGGCTGCTCCATCTCGATGGCCTCATATGCCGCGATAAGATCTGCTTCCGACTTCAAATCAATCTCATGGGGCCGCAACCAGCTGGTTCCCTTGTTAATCTGCGAGCCAATGAATGCGATAGGTGCCAACAATAGCATATTATAGCTTAAGAAAAAGTTCGCAGTACTCCAAGGTGTAAAGCTCCGGTAGCCAAAGCAAAGCGCCATCATTATCATCCAGGCAAGTGCAATGTATCCACAAGAAGGCTGGAACCGGCCTATATATGGTAGTTTGGATCGATCGAAACTCTGTGATTGCAGGCATTATAGAAGGAGATATATGTAATTGTGATAATGATATAGTCAATGAGGATGGTGGCAGTTGTTAGGTTAGTAAGCTACCCTAAGACTTGTATGGCACTGCCGGACAGTTGCATTAACAAGAGAGACGCAAATTCCACGACCACGATGAAGCTATGCATTGGAACACCCCATCGATCAGTCTTGGAGAAGATGCGTGGCGCTTGACCTCCAAACGCCATGTCACGCAACGCACGGGTCGCGGCATACGTATAACTGTTGCCGGCAGAGAATACTGTCGTTACCATCAGGGCACTGACGATGTGAGGGAGAACGTTGATACCAAAATTCTGCATAGCAATAATATTGGGCGATGCAGCAGCAGATAACTCCCCGCCTTCTAAAGCTGCAACGAGGATGGGGTCACGGCGTTCCGGTCCAAGTCTCCCCTGGTTCGCGACGAGATGGTCCGGACTGGATCCCGAGCCATCAGCAATTAGTCAGAGCTTTACACACTGGGTACACTGGGTACACTGGGTACACTGGGTATAGAATGGAGCTTTTGGAGGAACGCCTCTGGATCACGACGAAGGGGGAGGGGGTGCGGGAAAGGTCGAATAGGCCTTTTTGCAAATAACGATTGATGAGCTCATGGCGATCGAGGATATGAATTGAATTTAATTGGTATATCTCTATGGTTGCCCAGGCTATTCACGTGTGTTCTCCGATTGGGGACAAAAGCCAGAGCTTTAGTTGTGAATTATCCGACCTCTTTAATTAGATTGTTAAAACCGATTTCATCACTGAAACCCCCTGAAACAAGAAGGATTGCTACGGTAGAATACTCTGCCAACCGGAGTGGTGTGTAATACGTTTGGTTCCTGGTGTCGAGCTCTGGAGTCCTTGTATATAGGCCGGCTGGCTACGACATATTTCCCAATAAGCAATACCGCCATGTCCAATTGTTAGGAAGGCTATATAGAGATTGAGATTGCTATGATATCGGCCCGAGACACCAGAAATATATTAGATAGACGATAGAAGGAAAACAATTGAAAGGCCCCTCTCATGGACTGCAGCTGAGCACATCACCTGTAACACTGAGTATTAAGAAGAGTACAGATGACGCTTCTTCTTCTTGGGTGGATCGGCACTGTCATCGTTAGTAAAAGGAATTAAACAGCCTGGAAGGGAGTCCTACCCATTCCAGTTCAAATTGACTAGCAAGTCTCCCTCTTTGCCCCAGATGGGATTATTCATCAGATAGCTGCCTTTTCCAGGGAGGAAGAGTCGATGCTGGTCAGCTAGGCCGTTCAGGAGTTTGTCCGCAACTCTGTCCAGCGAACTTCTTAATCCCCCCTTGATCCTGTTCTTCCAATCTTCCGCAATTTCTTCCGGGGGTTGACTCCAACGCATGCCTCCTTCCTTTTCATGAGTGACCTCCACCACATCAGAGTCCTTGACAACCTGAAATTGCAACCCACCATCCTCAACCGATGACATGGCCAGTGAGATTGACCATTTAATTCCAAAGCGCATTTCCGTGCTGTTTATTCCATTAGGCATGTTTAGTTCGCGTTGTCCCTGGCAGGCGGGATCTTTAAAACGTACTATGTAGGGCGCTTTCTTTCATGATCCGCCCGGAATTTAAACGAACTTGATCCCCGCAGATCCACCTGCTCTCCACCAGGAATGAATCTGATCCTAGCATGGGTATCGCTCGCTATATAAGTCAACTGTTAGCGAGTTACCAGTCATTCTGGGGATGAGGGGATGAGGGGGAAACGTACTGTCTTCATTTAGTATCATTTTGTTCTTAGAATCATGGGGATTGGTAGCACTAGCTTCGCTGTGACGGTTTGGGCCGGTCAAAAACCAACGGAAACCTGGATAGAATGGGTTCCAACTCTCAGTAAACTGGTATTCACTGTCCTGAGCATCGTCATCTCCGGCGTGGAAGCGAATACCACTACGCCAAGGAAGGTCTGGGTTTTCTCCACTCCATTCGACAAAGGGCGTATCGGGGTAAGGGGTCATAGCAATGACCATCTGACGCACCAGTCGGTTCATCCAAGGCCAAAACAAAGTGCGGTTCATAACAAAGGTACCCTGCCGATCACTATCATCAACCCAAGGGCCGGTGTATTCAATTGACCCGCCAGCCGGGGGTTCCTCGAAGTTGGACATCATCAAATACGAGAGGGCGTTGGTATCCAGGTCGTCCTTTGGGGCCTCGGAGCCATCCAAGCCCTTCCACGGATAGCAGTAGTAGTCAATACTGGTTGGAGGAAATGTGGGTGCATATTCGTTTACTGCCAAAGATAATAGATGAGCACTGGCAGGTAGACAAAGATAATGCAGTATAGACCTTACACTCGTCATCTTCCTGGCGCTCTGCGGAATATCCCAGAATGCTTTGGCCCTTTTCATTCGTGATATTTAGCCACTTTGTAACCCAAGTTTTAATTGTGCCGCGGGCCTCAGGAGTTAGGTTTCTCCACTCGTCCGCCTTGTCTCTGAAGTCACTAAGCTCGTCATTCCAGGTTGTGGTTGCTGTTCCAGGACGTAGATTAGCGTTATTCCAGCATGAAGCCAGTCAGAGTCCCCACTCACTTGATGCATCAATGAAAAGCATCGCCAGGGTGAAGTTGGAGTTGGGGAGTCCAGCGCGGTCCTTGAAGTCTTTGTACTCCTGCGACTCTTTGGTGATCTCCTTTCTCCCTGTTCACCTGGTGAGCCACGATAAAGGACAAGAAACGGCAGATGACCTTACCAATTCTAACCGAGAAAGCAAATACAAAGCCCGCAATGTCCCAGTCAATGTGGGTGTCGTCATTAGGGTCTTCTGTGGTGAAAACCCATAGTCCGCCGTTATCGGTGCGGAGCCGAAAGTATAGCATGGGATCTCCACCCGTAGTAACCTGCAACCGTACCTCGGGCTTTCCAGTATTGAACTTGAAGTATTCCTGTGTCCTGCTAGGGACGCTGAAGTACTTGAGGGGATTCTGGTTTGGGTCTGGATTATCCGGATCATCCGGTATATCCTGCGCAGCCTCCCACATTGCGCTGAAACCATTATTGATCGATTTCTGAGAGAGGAAAATGGCCTGGTGATAAGGAGCGGGATCAGTCTTGTCGACGAAGTGGTCGCTGATAGTCGCCATGGCTAAAGGGCAGTTTTCAATGTGTGGAGGACGGTTTGGTTGTGTTTACAGAGCTGGAGGAAATACAGTGCCTTAAATCTTGTAGCTTCCCAGCGTACCTCAGAAGTATTATTTCTTCAATTTGTTAGTATTTGTCATTCTATGACTGATGGATACGTCATTGGACGAAAATGAGGGAGAGGCTGCTATACAGCCTCACTCCTAGCAGATACTGGGCGCATATGCACCATCCGCTTAACACGTCAAATCCCTCATCAGAATACACGGCTATCACTTGCGCGATTAAATATCCCCCATCTGGGCAGTTCCGTAACCTGATTTTCATGCAGCAATATTGCTCTCAACCAACACACCAACAGGGTTCTCGGCCCCAACTACTGTGGATAGTCAGACATAGGACCAAGTCTAGCCCAGGCAGGTGCATCTGATTCCTCCCATCATGATTATGAGACATGCCGAATAACTACCACATAAGGTATTACCGCAGCTGAGCACCTGCCAGCCCCTCCTCTGTCACCCAGTCGTTGACTGGATGCAAAGTCCTTATGCATGGCCGGCGACACAGACCGCCATCTCTGTGGGCCAATCAGGATGTGACCTGCAGATCTTTGTGCTTGTTTTTCGTGGCAGAGCTGAAATTGAACGGCACGGCCCGGCTGGCAGATATCGCTTAATGTGGGGACAACGGTGGAGAACCAAAAGCTAATAATAGAGGATAAGATAGTGATAGATGTTACAAACACTATTAAATCAAGGTATTCAAGAAATGGACAATCCTTGGATGGCCGGGTTATACACTACTGCACCATAGGATCCAAATATTACTAATATTTATGCCTGGTACCATGCATGTTTCATTGCTCAGCGACTGTCTGAAGCAATCCTTTCAGCTCAGCCTGCGTATGCATATAGCCATAATTGTAATAGGAATATCATGTAGGTTAGCTGAATGATTTTGCCATTCCAGCTGAGATACAACAAGTGACTAATGGCTGTTGGCAATAACCAATAATATACCCATCCGGATTCAATACTGATCCCACTAGTAGGGAGGTTGCAGTGCAGATGGATGCGGTAGCACTCTACATCTGGTCATGCTTGCGGCTTCACATGGTCCAGCCCTCAATCACAGGTGTATACACCCCTTGGGCACATATGCATTGCATTTGATCGTCCCTTTGGCACTGACGAGTACCCGTGATATCACTGATTCCGAAATATTTAACCACAAAGGTGCATTGTGCTTGACACATCATTTTACCCCTCTTTGACTAGCAATCATCATAGAGGCCAATTCCTTCATCCTGTAAAGGTAGACCTAGTGATATGAAAAGGCCATAAATAATCAGCCTATGTGTACCAGGTAGATCAGAATCAACAGGTCTTTATACTTATCCTTGGGCACACAAATCGACATGATCGACGTCGCAAAAGATGGGGAGTTGATGACCAATTATGTCACAATCAACCCAGTCCCCGCCGGTGAGGTCTTTGGGGCCTTCACCGATCACACCAAACAGCCTGCCGTCATGAGTCTTAGCGAGGACAACATTCTGTACCTGATCATCAGTGACCCAAATGACGAAGGCAAGGTTACCCGTGTTGACTTCGGTAGAAGCTCTGGTATTGTCAAAGGAGAACAGAGAAAGGTTCTTGCCTTTGCGGTGCAGCAAGCTCTGGATGGGACTTTGGACATCTGCATGGCTGTCGATAAACCCACTTCCGGATGTCGCTTCTATTTGTTGCATGCCATCAAGCCAGAGGAGCTTCTCCAAGAGATACCTTCAAGCAAGATCATTGATGCTGTGAACTTTCCAATCGTTGCTCACATTTTCATGGTAAGTGGAAATATAAACCATATCACGTGCCTCACTGATCTCTGTAAGGGCAACAAATCCACAGCAGAGTCCGAGGCCTTCCCGCTGGTGATGATCTCCCTCCAGCCAACAGACCGAATCGCCACAACGGAAGACCTGAAATTCGTCGAGTTCAGGGGAAGGGAGGCCAAACTCAAGGAGGAGTGGGATCTACCCACGAACCCCAAAAAGATTCTCGCCGTGGAGCTGGGAATTACTTCAACCAGAGAGGGGGCGTTTATCTTGTACGAAGACTTCCGTGGGGACAAACACCTGCTGTTCCAGGCTTTCATCAGTTCTACCCCTTTCGCTGTGGAGCCCGTATGTCCTGATGGTAGGTCATTATCTTAGAAGAATCAGTAGACAAGCAAGATGTTGCTAACTCGAACAATAACAGGAGCGGTTGGTCTCAGCACGTTCCTTGACCCCGAGACAGAAAAGACAACCCTGCTGGTAGCGGGGGCGGCCATTACCTATTTTCTACCTCACGAGTATCAGTCACCCAAAGGCAAGGGGACTGTAATGGATAACCTAGACCATGTTGCTGGATTGAAGGATATTCATTGCTCCCAGGCACAGGACAACCTTCGCCTGTGGTATACCACGGTGGATGATGCAGTCTACTACTATACCACCACCACTACAGACTTGTCAAAGGGCATCCATATTCCGCTGCTTTCCGAGGGACAGGGGGGCCGTGTGTCGGGGCTTCTTTGTGCCCAGGCGAGAGGAGAAGACAGTAATCTTCTTGTCAGCAGTCTTCTTTCGGTGGACCAAGATGCAAACATCTACCTTCTCCAACAGGATTCAGCCTCCAAAGTCTGGCAGCAGTATCCTTTCTATTTCTCGTCGGATAAAAACGTCAAGGAGGTTGAAGGCTACATGCTCCGTTTCCGGGCCATTCAAAAAAATGACCCCGAGGACCCGGACAACGACGATGAGCAGGAGATGATTGTAGGCTCCTGGTTGTATCTGACTTCTTCTGGTGTTGTGCGGTGCTTTGTTAATGGGAAAACTGCAACTGTCTCTCCTACAGGCGACTGGTATCAGACCGATGCCAAGGGAGTGTTGAACATCTTGATGCAAACCGAGGATGCCACCTGTCACCAGTTCGCTGTCGAGCGCTATCGCCCGGCGGAAATACCTGGGAAGACTAGCACTGGCGAAAGACTTATCGAGGAACCCGTGTTGGATCCTTCTGAAAAGGTGGTCGGCCGGCTCAAGAACATCAAAACCGAGGAAGCCCTCCGAGCACTTCGGAGACAGGACGGAACTCCACTGATTGGGGAAGATGTGTCACCTAGAGACGTCACCTTGGCTGCCGAGGCATTTCAACATTTTTCCGACGTGGCAGATGAGATTCATCTCAGCCAGAAGCAAAAGCGGGAGGCATATAAGATGGCCGTCCGGGAGCTGAACGGTCGGGCTGCTGATGGGGAGATCATCCCCCTTGGGTGGTGGGACGATGCAGTGGACTGGATGAATGGCGCCTGGGACTGGCTCGGCGACAAAGTATCGGACATCATTGACTGGGGTGTCGAAAAGATTGGTCAGTACCTATCCTCATCTAACATGGCTACTGCTCGTTGCTCACCACTCATAAAGGAGAGGTCTGGAAATTCATTGCCAAGATCGCGGGGGAGGTATTCGAGATCGTACTCGACACCGTCACTGCAATTGTCAAAGGCATCGTCTGGGTTTTCAAGAAGGTGGGTGCGTTCATCAAGGACGTGATTGAATTTCTGGGCTGGCTCTTTGGCTGGGGCGATATCCTGGACACCACCGATAGCATCGTGGCCGGCTTCAACGCCGCCCTGGACCACGGCAAGGCGCTCCTGGACAAGCCGCACGACACTGTTCACGACTGGCTGGAGGAGTTGCGTGGCAAGCTTAAGGACCTGCTGCCGGAGCTGCAGGACCACGACTATACAGAAATCTTGAAGAATCAGGAATTGAGGAAACTGTTTTCGGGGAACCGCAAGCAGTCTGACGATGACGAAACCAAGCAAAGTGTCGTATACAACTGGTCGGCTTACAACTTTACCTACGGGGGTGGCACGAGCAGCGCAGTCTTAGAAGATGACTCCTCGTCCTTGACGGGCGTGGAGGATGAGCTGCTCCGCCTGTGGGATACAGTCGTCGACCAGATTCAAGCAATCTTGAATACGGTGGTCAAGGTGGGCAGAGAGTTTGTCGACTTCTTCAAGCCTGGCCATTTTGACGTCAACACCTTGATCAATAAGGTTGGCACTATTCTCATCGATGAGTTCGTCGATGCTCTCAAAAGGTTGGCCGACATCATCTTCTACGCTCTGTCTGCCGGCATCAGTATTATAAAGGAACTGGGTAATAAGGTCATCAAGATTCCCATCATCTCCTGGGTCTGGGAGAATATTATTGCGCGGGGCCGTCCGCTGACACTATTGAACTTCTGTGCCCTGCTCATTGCGATTCCCACGACCGTACTATACAAGGCTGTTACCAATTCCGCGCCTCCGAAGCTCAAGGGCCGAGTCACCCAGGAGACGTTTTCTGATCACGTCACTGGCAAGGGCAACCCTAGCCTCTCCAAGGACATTACCAACTTTACGCTCTGTGCGTCATCCGGGCTGGAACTAGTGTCGGAAGAGTTCAGCACTCTCGGCCTCCTGGCCGATGGTGCCTTTGGGGGAATGGGACTCGGTGGAGTCCCAGTTGGTTTTCTGGACCAGTTTCTAAATGTCTTTGATGCGGTCAGTGTGTCCTTTGAGGCTATCAGCAACTTTGTAGAGTGGCCAATCATCCGCGATAAGACAACTACAGGCGCGGACCCCGCCACAGTGGACCTGGCCACATTTAACAAGTACTCAGTATGTCGCCAGGATAATGTCTACATGCTATCAAGCTAACCGAAACAGGGATGGGCTTTGAAAAGTGCCAACATTGGCTCCTCCGTGATCGTCAGGGTGGTTGCGAAGGTGCAAAAGGCTGATAAAGCTACCGTCAAGAAATGGCGGGCCGTGGTGGCGGCTGCCTTGTCTCTTCCAACGCTGTGTCTCTCCTTGACCAACGGCATCCAGGACGCCCGAGAGGGGGAGAAGAATGAAGTCTTGATTATTAATGGATTCCTCAAGGCTGGGTTCACCCATGGAAAGACGTTTGGGACCTCCATTGCCGCGCTTAACGACAGGCTTGAGAATGAGCTCTTGTATGTAGCTTTGGTGGTCAAGCAAGTCTGTGCAATTGCCCTCTATGGCCTGAAGATTGTGGACTTTGGGGTTGGTCTTATCGAATAGGACATATGCCGTCGACCACCCATACTCCGAGAATAAGGTTTCTTCGACTTGAGTAATCCAATGTTTCCTGCACAAATGAATCAGTATGTATTATTGAGTACCCTTGAATTGATTTCAATATTCAAAAGATAGATCCATGAATAATGAAATTGACAAGTCCGAATATCAGATAGCTATTTAGCCAAGACCCTCAGCGGGAGCTATATACAATGAAGACTGTCCCTCCAGTTCAACTAATTACTAGTAAGGAGTCCCTAACGCCAACAGAACATTACAGGCCAAGATCAAAATAGCAATTTTGCCATAGCCGCAACACAGCCACAACACATATCAATCTTCGCCGATTGTTGCCCGTGCGGCAAATTCTCCCGTGTCCTCTGCTTTGACATCCCCATCATCGAGTTGGTTGCGGAGGTGGCCTTGCACCATCTTGGAAAGTGGATGTTTGCCTTGTGTAAGTAAGTCCTTGTTGGCATCCCTACTGACATTGCTAGCGTTGGGAACCGGTGCAAAGGGATGTGGAATGCCGTCCCGAATAGGATGGGAGGTTCCGGTTTGAATTGCGCCCTCATCAGCCATTCTATGAGCTGCAGAGAGCGCGAAATCTCCGGAGTCAAAATATTTCTACCACAGCTTCAGTCAGCGGGGACACTCTTGCACGTATGAGTTAAGAAGGTATATTACTCTGGTCTGGTGTTCAAGTAAACTTTTTCGACGCGGCAGTGCCCCGTAGCGGTGCAAAACTTGTGTGGCGTCTTTAGAAAGGGGCTAATAGGCTCAGTCAGAAACCAAGTGCTGGTAAATAGACAGACTCGACTGCATCATACCTCAATCTTGTGCTCTTGGTGCTCTTCCGCATCCATTATGAGGTGTATGTCGTTTAGAAGATAGAGGGGGCGAACAGTGGCGAGTTTTTGAGTTCCCGCCTCGATGGCATATCTACACATGCAGAAGCCCCCTACGTCTTGTGAGTTCTGTTTGCATCATCAAAGGTTAAATTCGACGGCAGATATCTCCTCCGGATGCTATTGGGTTTCACGCTTTCTGGAGTTGCAGCCAGGCCGGCCTACATGATTAGGGTAGCCCAATCCCAAGTTGCTTAGTAAACAGGATTTATAACTAGTTAACTAGTGTTATATCTAAGTTACTAACTTTTTGATAATCATAATCTGCCGATTTCAAACGCCACTATTATCCGGAGTCGATCTCGGCGGTGGCAAAGGCACGACAACTGGGAAAAGAAAACTAACCATCCAGACCTCAAGACGAGGTCAAATAAGTAGTGACTTAGCCTGAAGGCAATCATGCAAGTGGATTCGACTCGGCCGGTTTCTCGGTTTGCCATTATATAGATCTCTCCACAATGATTTCTCCAAAATGCGAAGATAGCTAACGAGCAAGACCCTTTCTCCTAGGGCTAATTATTACTCAGCTGATACTAACTCTTCTGACATTGTACCTATTATTTTGTCTATAGAGTATTCTTTCTCTTCTGCCAGGTTTACCCTATCTCATTTTAAGAGAAGACCACTGAATCGGGATGGACTGGTGGTTGCCTTCCCGGCGTGTAAGCCATCGAGCTATAAGAGATATATATATTAATACCGCGATTTGGTAATGTGCAGGATACTGAAGAAGGTTGTATTGGGATTGAAGCAGAACGAATCACTCGAGGTCCTGAATTCTCTGCGGGATTGGAATTTATATACGGTGCTGGGCCACCATTACGAGATCTTGGATAGAAAGAAGATCCAAATTGCTGATTCTTCTGGCCCTCTGATCCAACACAATCCCGCCTTCAAATAGCCTAAGTATCCCAGTCGATAGACGCGATTGGTCGCGCAGAATGAGTGACAATATGAGTAATCACTTTGCGAAGGTTGCTTAATAGCCTCGTCGCATCTTGTTCCGAAAATGTGAAGCTCCAGTACCGCAGCTCGACTTCAATATGGGAGGGATAGACGAGAGCTGCAAGGCATAAATCATACTGGCAAGTAAAAAAACGTTAGAGGAAACAATCCCTTTTTTTTTCTTTTTGGGTTATCACCAAGAGGGGAAACGGAAAGCAATATCTGCAAAAACAAACATACCTCGGTAGGGTCGTGAATATCAACGATGCTGGCCTGCACCTTATCACACAAGTCTCCGTTTGGCTCTGCGATATGTGAAGAGAAGCTGGCTTGTACCGACAGGCAAGTGTTGAATAAGGGAATTGAGGTAGTTTCTCTCACACCACCAGTGATTTCACTGACTGAGCAGTGCTGGTGATCTATCCGGTGTTGCATATCCTGCTGATTCTGCTGAAGAGTCTCCATGATATTACGGCCTGGAGAGAGATCTAAACGGCAGGGAAGAACATTAAAGCAGGGGCCAACCATGTCTCCAATATTGGTGACAGGAACATCACGTCCCGATACCAGCGTGCCGAAACAGACCTTTGGCGATCTACTGTAAAAGGAAAGTACCAAGCCCCAGGCCACTTGAAAGATGTTTGTCAAGGTTAGACTGTTCTCTCTCCAGAAACCATCGACCTCGTCGAAGCCATCCAGGTTGATCCTTTTGGAATGCAGCACGGGGAGGGCGTCTGGGGCAGTGGGTGCCTCAGGGAGAGATCTCGGGATGAAGCTCGAGGTGACTCCATCCAGGGTGCGCTCCCAGTAACTCATGATCTTATCAAGGGGTTGTCCCTGCACGTAAGAGACAAAGTCCTTGTATAAAGGAGCCGGTCTGGATGGTAGGAGATGATTGACAGCAAGGCAAAGTTCATCGACCAGAATGGAAAGAGATGTCCCGTCGATCAACGCTTTTCCAGTCTCCAATTTGCAAAAGACCTCACCATCAAACCCCTGGCCGACTACCATCTGGTGCGCTGGAGAGGTGACCCAATCGAAAGACGGGTGAACATCACAAAGCTCCGCAACAACATTCCGTGACTGAAAAGACAGGGCAGCCGCGTCGATTGTAGGCTCCTTAAAGACGACATGAAGGAGTTCTCCGGGAGTTAAGGGATTATCCACAATGACTGTGCGGAGAATGGCATGACGCTGGATCAATTTATGCCAACATTCCAGGACATGGACTGGATCTACCGCTTTACTACCGTATAGCTTGAACACGGCTCGGACATGGTGGCGATCGCCATTTCCAGCTAACCCTTTGATAAGACCGGAGTGGGAACTAGGACACGGATAGATACTCTCTATTGTCGAAACAGACTCCAGGCCAAGCTGGCTGAGAAGAGTGGCTTCGAAGATTCCCAGACGTTTGTAGTCATCGATCGTGACTAACGGAATATCGCACATGGTTAGTTGACGACGACTCGCTACAAGTTCAGTTGCCGCTGTCTGTAGCGAGCTCTGGTACTCCGTGATCCATTGAGTAATCTGGTTCTGTCTCTGAGAGTGTTTGCTAAACCAGATAGAGCAATGCAACCGGCCGCTCCGGATATTTATCGATACGTCAAATAGCGCAAAACGTGGCGTATCCTCAGCTACATCCATCTTTTCATCCAACGTCCAATCAGGTTGAGTAAACACTGCATCCGGGCATTCCAGCTGTTGATAGCGACCAGCATAGTTGAAGATTATCTCTGCTGGATCATGGTCCTTGAAGGCTGTCTTACATTGGGGATTGTAGAATCGTGAGCTAAAGTACGGCAGTCCCTTGCCCGGAATGCGGCGGCTATTGTCTTTGACACGGCAGATTAAGTCCATTAGAGATAGGTTGCTACCTATGCTTGCACTCACAGTACATGGACACATGGTGGTAAACCAGCCAACAGTCTGGGATATATCAATTTCTGGGTCCCAAGGGTCTCTGCCATGGCGTTCAAGGAAAACGGTTGGCATAAATCTGTCGCTAAAGGTCTTCTGCCAAGCATGAAGAAGAGCTGCATGGAATATCTCTTGAGGCTGTGAATTCAGCGGCGTATTCGCCTCTCCCAATAACACGTTGGTGGTGTCCGCGTCTAGAGTAAACACTGACTCAATAGCGGAACCGAAAACGTTCTGGTCTCGTGTGAGGCCCCAGTATTCATAACTGGCTGGATGAACTTCAAATGGAAGAACGGACGTTGGACCATAGCCTTTGGCTTGATCATATTGCAAATGAACCCATGTCTGAAAGGAGAATGGACGGATCCTTCCAAGCGTCTTGCCCCTTAAAAGATCCTCAATGTCACTAAGAATCACACGCCATGATACCAGATCTACTGAAAGATGATGCGCAATGAACAATGCGTAGTCCGCGTCATCCTCTACCGAAATAATGTCCAACGACAGGATTGGCCCATGGCGGATATCCAAACGCGAGTGGGATTGCCTGGCGATGCCATCAACCTGCTCTCTCCTGTGTAGGTGATGGTGCTGGACACAGAAGGAATTATCAAGGGCTGATGATGAGATTACCTGTTGTGGCTCCTTGCCTGGAGGCTGGACCCATCGAGCACGTAGCATCGAATGATGCTGGACAATCTGGTAAAGTACATTACGCATTTCGTCATGATCAATTGGATATTGAACCTTGAGGAAGAAGCTCTGATTGAATTGTCTATTAGATGATCCATCAGGCCCCAGGATCATCGCTTGAATGGGACTCAAGGGAAATAGGCGATCCACCTCCTCGGCTGTATCGAACCTGGAAATTTCTGTCGAGGTACTCGCATTAATACAAAATAGAGCGACCGTATTGTAGGTGAGGAACGCGGACATGTTGAGATGAAGCTTTGCCTGACGACATAGAGTGAGAAACCGCATTGCAGAGATGGAATCCCCCCCAATAGTGAAAAAACTGTCGTCTATTCCAATTTCGCTTTCTGACAGTGAGAGAACTTGTGCGAAGATGCCACGCACAAGGACCTCCTGGTCGGTCGATGGTTGACGCTTTACAATAGTTGCTGTATTCATGTACTTGTCCAGCATCTCTCGATCAAGCTTCCCAGCTGCCACTCGCAAACGGGCTCGGTCAGTCTTTCCAGAAGCAGTCTGGGGGACTTCGTCCAGAGGTAGGATAATCCATGGAACCATATAGCGTGGCAGGTTGCGAGCCATGTGGGCCTTCAACGCGGCCATAGCGGTGTGATCTACCTTGCTTGGAGAGGAGAATAATGTTGAGGTCTTCTCAGAGGGAGAAGTGATCGTGTTGGCTTCTATTCCTGCATTGCTTCCCTTCATGAATAATACGAGTTCATCTCTTCGTCTCGTGTTTGTCAGGAATGAGACCACCTCCGCCACTACCACTGCATCTGGGGAATGGGAAGTGACACAATGCTCGACCTCCTGCAATTCGATCCGTTGCCCACGAAGTTTTACTTGGTTATCTCGACGGCCAATGAAGCGGATTGACCCATCACGCTGCTGTTGAACTAAATCCCCTGTGCGGTAGAGCCTTGTGGCGCCCACACCATTCGGCCGTATTGATCGTAACCAGACGGGAGCCTGGATGAACGGATCTGCACTTTCCACTGGGGCATTAATATAACCATCTGCGAGCACTGGGCCCTCGATGAGGAGCTCGCCAATCATCCCACGGGCAACCAATCGATCCGGATTAAACGGTTTTGTGATCCAAGCGTTGGCACCGACAGCTGGACCGATGAGGCCGGTTATCCAATTACTTGCTTGAACAACTCCCGCTGCCATAATGGTCGCCTCTGCTGGTCCATAGCCATTGACTAGCCTGACCCTGTCGGCCCACAGGTTAACAATCTCCCAAGTGAGAGCTTCACCGCCAAGGACTAGATATCGGAGAGAAGGCACGTTGTCCGGATGAAGCAACCGAACCACTGAAGGAGCCATGATTGCCAAGTTCACGTCGAAGTGGCGCATGAACCCAGCCAGATTGTCGGTACAGTCAGAGGCAGATGGCACGCATAGACACCCTCCACATACCAGAGTTGTGAAGACCTCATATATACTGGCGTCAAACGCATAGGAACAAAAGTGAAGGGTGCGACTTTGCTGATCCACCCCAAGTTGCGGACTATGGTAGGATATGCTCGTGCTTAGAGATTTGTGGGACATGATTATACCTTTAGGCTTGCCAGTGCTTCCGGACGTGAAGATAACGAATGCGGGGTCCATTGGCGTTACATTAGAAAGCGTCTGTGAAAGTGAGGCAGGTGTCGGTAGGGAATCCAGCAAGCCAGGTCCGACTATAACCAGATCCCGTGTCAGGCCATTTACTTTCCCCTCGGTTTCAACGTTACATAGAACGACATCCGCGGCAGTATCGCTGATAATACATTCCATCCTCGCCCGTGGATGACTTGGGTCCAGTAGCACACAGGCTCCACCTGCATACAGAACCGAAAGCATACTCACAATAGCCCATTTCGATCGATTGGGGCAAATTGGGACATTCACACCTGGGCGGATATCGAAGCGTGTCCGTAAGTAGTTTGCTAGCTGGATGGTGAGCAGTCCTAGTTTTTTATAGGTCAGATGACCATCCCATCCGCAAATTGCATAGGCCCCAGGCTGGTTGCGACAGTGGTTCAAGATTAATTCATGTAGGCAACTTTCAACTGGTGCGGGGGCTGTGGCATTCCACTCAGCAAACTGTTTGATGTCCTGTGGTCCAGCCAGCTCAAGTTGACTCAGTCTCGTATCAGGGTATTCACACAGCTGCCTTAGTAGATGCTCGAAGAGGTGTACCATGCAATTCGCTTCGTCCGGACTTACAAGATCAGGATCGTGGCGCAGTTTCACGCGTAAAGCGGTCCCACTACGGCTCAGCTCACATACAATGACTATGCCATAGGTGGAAAAGTCACTGTAATCCATCGAGGGACCGATGAAATGTTCCAGGACATCGAAGCAATAGTCCTTCGTGTCAAGGTCTGACGGTGGCTGTATCCCAAGTTGCATCTGAAAACTACAGGCTCTTTTACCGTCATCATTTAGCTTCCCTATGTTTTGCAGGCCGGCTTGTTCGTAGGGAATCATGGTTGTTAATTTATTTTGAAGAGACTTCAATGCAGTACGGACTGTTTCGTCTTCATGTATTCGGGTGCGCAGTGGTACTGTTGTTATTGTTGGACCAGTCAATTGCTCGATTCCTGGAACTGGTGCATTTCGTCCGTTCAAGGTTAAGCCGATTACCACGTCGTCGGAGTCGGTGTAGTTGGATACAAGTACGGACCAGGCTAACTTTATCAAAAGTGGTAGGCGCATTCCAGAATCAGTCATGCGGATGTTATGAATGGCGTGTTCTCGGAGAGATGTTGGACGAGGTATGTAGGCGGGTGAGGGTAATGCTGGATATATAGGTGCCTGGAGATCGCGGAGTTCAGAACCCCAGTATTCCTCCCACCCGTCAATGCTATTCAAATATCTGATGAAGGTGTTGAAGTGGGATATCGTAAGAGAAGCCTTCTTACGATATGCAACGTCGAGCTGGCCCAGAATCAACTTCAAAGACCATCCATCACACAGCGCATGGTGGATCTTCAGGGCGAAATGTTGATCTCCATTGTGTTTCACAAGGGCAACTTGGCACATTGGATTGATTGACGCACCTCTGCCCTGAAAGTCATGCAATTTCTCGAATGCTTCCAATGCGGCATGTTGCGTGCATTCGAAACTCACTCGTCGCATCACGACCTGTAGTAGCCCTTTGGGCGTCTGAACTATCTGCGTGCGCAGGATAGGGTTCGCTTCTACCGTCTCCTGCCAGGCGGACAACAGACGCTGGGTATTTATGCTACCTGGTAATCTTAACAGTATTCCTCCAATATATGTCCCTGGAGACTTGATCGACAGAGCAAACATGCCCTCCTGCAACGCTGTACAAGGATAAACGTCCTCAATGTTGTCTAAATTGGAAAGGTTGCATTGGTTTCGGACCAACGGCATTATTTCAGAGAGCTTTGCGGAAGTTTCCATTAGACCAAAGGGAAGTGGTGAAGAGGGTTTCTCTTTCGGAAACAACATTGCCCTTGCATAAAGGGCTACCTCTGATATAGTTGGTGTAGAGAGAAGCTGGCCCACGGTGAACTCAAGGCCTGCATCTCTCGCGGCACCAACCAGCCTTATGGCTGATATGGAGTCTCCTCCGAGCTGGAAAAAGTTGTCTGTTACACTAATGCTATGCTTTTCAATTTCTAGAATCTGCGAAAAAAGCAGTTGAAGTGTCTGCTCGACTTGTGTGGACGGTTGCTTTTTGAATGCAGCCTTGTTCCTGTTCCGATATAGTTCCAGCTGTGCTTGCGGGAGACTGCTACAAAGTTCCCGCAGGAGACGTCGATCAATCTTGCCAGTTGGTGTGGTAGGGCTATATGCCAACGGGAAAAACAGATCCGGGATCATAGATCGTGGCAACTTTTGTTTCAGCGCTCCTTCCAGGGTCTCGACGTACCCGAACCAGTGTTCATCTGGAATCGCAAAGGGCGCCAGGTCCCCGCTGGCTTGAACTCCATGTACCTTGAGGCTCAGGAATGCTACCAGGAGCAGCTGTGACTTGCCCTCAATATGGACTGCTTCTATGACCACGTCAGCATCGCTTTCCAAGCTCTTCTGAACTTGGAATTCAACCTCAGCGAGCTCAATCCGCTGGCCCCGAATCTTGACTTGCTGATCTTTGCGCCCAATATAGACGATGGAACCGTCCATCTCCTGGCGGACCAAGTCCCCAGTCTTATAGCCTCTGTCTATGGTTTCCGCCCCAGGTAGTCGCGCTGATATCGAGGGCACAAACTTGACGAAGAATGCTTTAGTGAGGGCTGGGTTATTAAGGTAACCCCGGCCAACAATTGGGCCCTGGACAAGTAATTCTCCGACACCTCCGATAGGCACCAGTTGGTTATGATTCCTCGGATCAACAACCCAACATGCGGCCCCAGTTCCAAACCCGATGTTGCTTGGGCATGCAATGGCATTGGGCTGCACAGTGGTGTTTATTGAACACTCTGCGGGCCCATATGCATTCATTAAAGTGATATTCCGTGACGCCCAGTGCTCAGCATCTGCCAGTGACATAGGTTCTCCGCCCAGTATCAGTACATCGAGAGATGGCAGCTTGGCGTGTCGCAGGGATCTAGCAAACGACGGCGTCAGAAGGGCGTGCGTAACCCTGAAATTGGATAACGTCTCCTCAAAGGCCTGTGGTGTGGTACGCTGTACATCGTTGAGTATACAAATGCATCCCCCAGCCATCAAGGTGCTGAGAATCTCCATAATACTGACATCGAATGCGTATAGCGCGAACTGTAGGACTCTTGCCTTCTTGGTCAATCGAAATGCCTTGATGTGCTCTCTGGCACCAGTGCAGTACGATCCATGCTCGATCACCGTGGCCTTGGGCTTCCCCGTTGAGCCAGATGTGAAGGCAATATATAGTGCATCATCCCGCCGCGAAGGCCTTGAAAGGTGCGAGCCAGGCCTGGCGCGGATTGTGCCCCAGCCCTTCTCATCATCAATTCGGAGCGCTTGCGGAACAATCTGGGATGCCAGCTCTAGTGTCATCTTAGAGCAAAGTATTGCCGTTGCCTTAACGTCTTCGGCCATTATCTGGAGCCGTTGCAATGGATACGATGGGTCAAACAAAGTAAAAGCTGCTCCAGATTTAACCACGGCAAGTATTGCAATAGGCACCCAACGGCTTTTGTCCATGCAAACCGGAATGACTGACTCAGCACCGCCCAGACCGAGATCCACAAGCCGAGCAGCTAATGAGTCTGACAAGACGTCTACCTCATTGTATGTGAACTTCCCATCCCATGAACAGATCGCCTCTGCATTAGGTTGCTTAATGCATATTGTTTGTATGATGTGATGAGCAGGCTCGTCCACAACGGGGACATGTTGGCTGTTCCAGTACGCCAGCTGAGCCTCGTCATATGGACTAAGCCTTTTGAAGCTTGCTAATTTTGTATCCCGGTTGCGATGCAGGGTCTGGGGAAGAACATGCATAAAGTGGTTCAGGACCCTTTGTGTCACCCATTGGGGAATCACGTTGTGGTCATAATGCGCCTCAACCGTGAGCAAGGAATCCCTTTCCAGCCGACAATCCAGGGTCAAGGCATAATTTTGGAAGGGATTTTGCTTGTCAAACTTCACAAGGTTGGCGAATGTCAACGGACGATGTTGGGTTATCCGACGAACTGACACGACAGTCTGTACGGCACCTGACATACCTTTTTCTGCTGCGCTTTGGGGGCATACAGGCGTCGAAGCTTGAGCTGAACGGCTGAACATAACTCCCAGTTCTCGGAGAATATCACTCATGGAGGCCTTGCTGTCCAGCACGAGCAGGGTGGGGTTAACATAGGCAGGGAACCCAGGCCTTCCCTCGTCATGTCGTGAGGCCGTCCCAAAAAGCACATGGTCGCTGCTTTGGTACTGTGACTGGGTAATAGCCCATGCTAGCCATATATGGGCGGTAAGCTCGTCCAGCCTACATGGCAATGTGCCCAATGAGACGGACTGCTGTAGGGAATGGCTAGCAGCAGGATACTGCACTGATGGCGGAAGCTCGGGAAAGGTAGTTGCATCGTAAAAAGACCTTTCTGTAGTGCAAGTCATTGAGGCCTTACCCCCTTCCAGGCTGTATTCCCCCTTTCTCTGATACACATGATCAACGGATTCAAACACAGCATACAAAGAACACGGGTCGCATATTGCGTGGTGGACTTTGACGACAAGCCGACGTTGGTTTGTTTTCGGCACCTTGATGAGACGAACCCGAGCCAACGAGGAACCTAGTACCCAAGGATCGTCCATACCATCTTCTTCGGTCCATAAGAGTGGCTCTTCTTTCAGAACGACGCGCACAAAAATTCCGGGAGAGTCATCCGCGATGATCCGAGTCCGTAAGAACGTATTTGACTGTACCATGTCCCGCCATGCCTTCTTTAGAAGGTTAATACTGGTTGCTTCTGAGATGTCCAAAGTCCATTCCGCAACGGGCCCTTTGTCCCCCTGAGACAAGAGCGCGGCATATACTAGCTGCTCTTGTGTACACGACTTGATATCCTCAATTTCATGCGTTTCAATCCCGCACTTTCGGGCAGCCTCTTCAGGGCTAAACCGAACCTCCCACTTGGTCCGACAAAGCGAACGTGCCATAGGTCTTTCATTTTTCCAGCTCATTCTGTGTGCTCAATGTGCAATGGCCTTTACAGTTTTTAAGTGGCCCTGTGCACGGAGACTTCAACTCGTGGCTGAGATAAACAAGCACACTCTAAGCGAAACACCCAAGTCAGAGTAGCAACAATTTAAAGGTTGTCTGTAGAGCACTGTGACAACATTCCAAATTCCTTTATATTACCCTTTGCAGATACTTTACCCGGTCTAGGTGTTTTCCAGTCAATCAATCCTTCTTGCGACTGTTATCATTGGCCGTAATTTACCGTAATACCAATGCTAGAAGGGAATGTAAATTGCGAGTCTAAATAAGCCAGGACATAACAGCTCAGCAACTTCCACTCAGATGACGAGATATTTAGCCATGTTGGTGTGATTTTGAATTCTTCGTCGCCTCTTAATACCGGTACTGTGCCCCTTCTACCTATTAGATTCCCTTACTGCTTGCTTCCTACGGAATATATCAGTGCGCTCCCTTGCGCATGCTGTACACGCTTACCATTCCCTTGCTCTACTGTCTTCTATAAATCTCCTGCCTACCTCTATTACCCCTTGCTTATACCTTCTGTGTGCTACAATGACAGGCTGCTTCCAGTATGAAAACTCAGTTCAGCTAGACCTCACTAGTACATGAATCAGCCAAACTTTCCCTCCCCTGGTAGCTCAGAAGGCCGATCACACTCCGAAGGTTTTACATGACTCGCAAGACTTTAGGCTTCTATTATACCAATAAGCCTATTAAAAGAATCTCTATACTCCAGGGTGCGTTAGGCTGAGAGCAATCAAGCAGGTGGTGTATCCATCCTTTAAGTAATACTATACCTTACCCCGCTAGTCTACAAAATCTAGACTTAGAAAGCCCTAGTATGACAAACCACCGACCAGAATTCTGCCTCACCGGCGAGAGGCTTGCATAGCTAGACGCTCAGTAGTTAGGCTCGAACACGTCAATAGAATTTTGATTGACTGATATGGCAAACCACCGCTGCACCACTGCAAATCTCGGTAGTTACAATACTAACTTAATTTACTGGAAAAGTAAAGTAAGACCAGTGTAAGTTGGGTAAAATCTCATGCTACTAGCACGACTTCAGTCTTTTTTTTTTTATTTTTTCGCCCTTGGTTGGTGCCAGCAAAGACAAAGGCTGGCTGCATTCTAGCTACCTACGTTCATAACATGGATCCTGTCAGGAGACGCAAGTACCCTCGATGTCAGAGCGAATATAGTTATGTATATTGAGCAATAAGGTTAATCCACTCCTCCTTTCCCTGTTTGTCCTCTGTCGAATAGATGCTGCGCGCTCCAAACCACGTCTCCAGTAGCGGTGCATTTCCGAGACCGAAAACCGAACTCTGCTTACAAGATCGAGCCGATACGATAGAAGGCTTTGGTTTGAATCCAAGGTTAGCTAGGCAAAGAATGCACCAACATTAGGGGGTTCACACAATAGACCTGGTCGCTGTCCCTCCACACGTCAAGCACCTGCAGACCAATTCCTTCCACCATGGACCGGAAGTATGGCTCTGGCCATTTCCCGCTACTTATAACTGCAACTTTCTCCCCTTTGGTGATTTTGCACTGTTGTGAATTAATGTGGATGCTAACGTCACGGGTGGGAGTGTAAAACACCTGGACCTGGTTTTGCACACGGTCCAGAAATGTGTCAAATGTCCAATCAGAAGCGCAAAATACATCCTGCCCTAGAATGCGGTTCGCGGATTGCAGCCCATTCATTATAAAATCCTTAAGCGGTGGAGAATCCTTGTTATAAGCGCCCATCACAATGTCCTCACCCGAGCAGCTATCAACAGATACCAGAAGCTGGCATTGGATCCCCGAGCCAATACAGGTATCAGCCATGCGAGACAGGAGTGACTGCGTTTGGCCGAGATGCATATTGGTCATGCTGTTTCCCATCCAGAGGAAGGTGATACTCTTGTGGGCGTTCAAAGGATGTTGATCTGCAAGCCACGCTATGCCGTCTTCGTATGTGCCCCAAAGGCCTCGCAGCTCGACATGATCAAGGTGCCCAAGGCCTTTATGGAGTTGAGCCAGACCGTTTTGCAGAGACTCCTGGGACACATCCAGGGCGTAGTATGTTACTGCCTTGTGGCTTTTTTCCAGGGCGGATAATAGAATTCCGGACTTCCGCAAGCTCCTAGAAGTGTGGTGTTAGCAAAGTATGAAATGGTAAATGTTTAACCTACCCACAACCGAGCTCAATGAGCGCACTTCCCTCAGGTATTGTCGCAGCCATATCAGAGGAGTGGTTCTGTAAGATTTCATTCTCCTTTCTTGTAAGGTAATAAGTCGAGGAATCGCACAACTCATCAAATAGTGTCTGCCCAGCATCGTCCCATAACAAGTCCTGAGGCAGCTGAAGACTGTCAAATTGAAGACCTTGAATGATCTGCATTTCCAAATCCTCCGACCGCTTGTCTCTCATGATCTCGATAACTGGAATGGTAGTCGTTTGAGTAGGCTGGTTCTTGCACATATTGAACGCGCCGACATTGTTCTTTCCCATCGTTCAGATCTGGAATGATAAAATCGTTGATCCTGTACCAGGACGAGGGATGGGGAGATCTGTGCTCTTTTTAGTAGCTACGGGGATTTAAAGGGCAGCTTACAGATGTATGTAAGTACCTCAGCAGTAAGGGATCTGCAAATCTGTCTCGAAGAACATATCTACAGTTATGTGGCATTTATCTCTCAATCGGCAGATGTACTAATGATAATTAATGTATTGTACTTCATTATACACTTGTAAATCATATATATGAAGCTCTAAATAGTGCTTAAATAGATTCATATCTTTCAGAACACCACCTTCATCATACGAACCTCCCTGATCTTGACTCACTATTGCTTGGTTTCGTTGATTCGCTGGTGCCGACCAGCTTCCTGAACATACCATGTATAGCATAAAGTTTTGTGAGACGTAATGGAAATACTGCCATTCATGGTCTTGGTGAACTAAGATATTTAAAGGTTTTCGCGGCCAGAGATAATATACAGCCGCATTCCAATTGTCAATATAAATAAATCCCCACGAAGGAAATGTGAAACATTCCCCTTGACTAACTGACATTCAGGACGCCCTTAGGATCACGAGCGGTACGGCGTCCCTTGCCTCGGATTCATTTCACATGAACTAAATCGAACCTTTGTCTGTAGGAGGCATTGTTTGGAAAAAAGCAAAGTCTAGAATAGATGAGTCGAGCGGTATTCCCAAGGCCTAGGCCCTGGCCGGTGTTCCCCTTACCTCTCTCTCTCCTTTGACTCTCATTCCCATGATTTACACAGAAATTCAAAGAGTACAAATATACTCCGTCATAGTTCTGGCCACTGAATTTGAAGCCTAACCCCGGTGGGTAAAAGTGGCGCTCGATAAACTTAATTTCTAATGCAGTCCATCATTCAATACCTGTAAGTTTTGATAACTGCTCCTCCCATACTCCTTACTGTATAGAGTATATAGGTAAAACCAGGCATATCCCATCAGTTCGCCATTAAATCGGAATAGAAAGAATTCTCGTAGAAGAGCAGAAGGTGATATAGTTGAGTAAAGAAGTTTTGTATTCATATAAAAGCTCTAGTGGATAGTCGATGGGCATGGGAATTGATGTAGATATCAAGGTATATAAGGCTAGTTCACTTTAGATGCTTGCTCTCTTCACATACATTTGAGTGTTAAAGTTCAAAAACATATTTGTCGCAGCCCATACAACCTCAGGCTGGCCATCTTCGACCTTTAGTCTCAAGTCATAGTTTCTCAAGACCTTGGAGAATAGAATTTGAGAGAGTCTGGTCGCTAATAGCCGTCCCGGGCAGGCTGAAGTTCCTATACCAAAGATCAACCATTTTGCGGAGGGTGTTATTGTCCCGCGGATATCACAAGCGCCCGATTGGGAGTCACAGAAACGGTAACCATCGAAGACATTTGGGTTAGGATAGTTATCTGGGTCTAGGTGAGCTTGTTGAGCTGGGAGGGAAAATAGGGTTCCCGGACTAAGAGTGCGACCTGTTGAAGGGAGTCGAAGTGGCTTTTCTACCAACCCACCACTTGCCACTTCAAAGATGACTGTTATTAGATTTCTTTCTGTGTGAGAGTGAGTTGATGGGAAATACTAACGTGCAGACGGTGTGAAAACACGGAGACACTCCTTAGTAAAGCTCTCCAGCTTAGGGGTATGTTTGAAAATGTCAAGGCTCCATGCATTATCGGTTTGTTTTAGAGCAGCCGTGAGCTCTTCTCTCAGAGGAACTAAGTACTCAGGGGTTTTCATGATTTGATAGAGGAAGCTAGTCGTTGCTGGTATGAGACCCCCTGTAACCTCAAAGAAAAGCAAGATTATCTGGGTGGCCATCATCTCAAAATACCGCTCGTCTTCTTTCTCGGCATCATGACTCAAGAGCCCTTTCTTCAGTACTAAATCGATCATCACATCTAGAAAGCAATTCGGGTTGCTTTTTATGATGCCCCTTCGCCTTTGTTCAACTCGGCGTCGGATTTCGGGAACAATTGTCTTCTTCAACGCCCCCATGCTAGATTGGACCTGACGGGTCTTTGTTGAGAATTTTCGAACAAAGACCTTAAAAAAAAGGGGGTAAGGCTTCTCTGAGCCCCATCGATCTGCCAACTGCATACCAAATAACGAGACCTGTTTAGCAAGAGCTGTATTTTTGGAAAACTCCGGGCCTAACGCGAGAAGGAGGGCCATATGACTGTAGATATCGAGTAAAGTCTTAAACAGGTTGCATAGATGCCATTCTATATTCATTAGCTTTCCACTGCTGGTATATGCCTTCGCCTCATACATACCTTTGGACTCGGGCAGAATTTCCATCAGCAAGCGATCAAATTCCCGGACGATTGAGCCCTCGACTCTCTCTGAAGCAAGCAATTAGCTCTCTAAAAGTCTCATAAAACCTTCAGGTTCCATACTGATAAATGCAGCTTGGCTGCACTTCTGCACAGTTAGAGGAGCGATATGCCAACTAGCATCTATCCCAAGATCGTAGAAAGAAGCTTCCTAGATGGTCACTGTTATTTGATGTATTTTATGTATTTTACCCCAATACCATGATGATCGTGATAGTGTCACTATTATGGTATATCAATGTACTCACCCCATTTAACGCCTTTCCCCAATTGACGTGGTCCCTGGAAACATTGTACCAATCTTGGTAGTGTTGCGGAGGAAGCAACACGATATATCCCGTCCCCGCACCGTCCGATATTGAGAAGGCTTTCCCATTCTTGGTGTACTGCTAGGACGGTTAGAGCTGCGAGGTTGACCACGAGATCATCACTCAAGTTGAGGAACTTGCCTTTCGATATGCATCGACAAACTCCTCAAGGTAGTGATCCATCGATTTATTCGGACGGTATCGTTCACTCAGTAGTGACTTTCCTGGGATACAAGGAGCCCATCGTACGGCCCTTGTTTTGAAGCCACAGTAGAGGACGTCCGACACAAAAATGATAAGAAATGATGCTAGTAGTGACAGAGCAGTTATTAGGCCCACAGTGGGGATATACAAGACTGTTCTAGAAAGTGCTTCAGGAAATATTGTCTCCATTGTTGTCGGGAAAATAGGAATGGCGCGATATGGTCAAGGAAGAGCTGGATCACAACGACCGACCACACAAAGATAACTAGAAATTGGACAAAAGTCATATCTCTGGAAGCGGGCTGTGTATAGAGAGTATGGAATGGCTCGGTTATCGACGCAAACTATACAATGCGTAAGTAGCGACTACTACTCCTTACAGTTAATTCTTGTTTATACCGCATTCCACCCACCTCTAACTTACTCCCCTCTCCTTCCTCATTCGGGATCTACCGCCTTAGTCACATCATAGAGGCTGTAAGGGGGTTGTTTGGGGGGGGGGGGGGGGGGTTCGGTTTCTGGATCTTAGGAATTGTAAAGACATTAGAGTTCCAACTATAGCTCTGGCAGGAGGTCTGACTCAACCTTGGATTTTTGGTTATGACAGGGATCCACCGACCTGGCGCCGAGTAAAATACATCAAGTTTTCTTTTTTTTTCGCGGTGGCGTCAACGCTGCAAGGGGTCCAAGGGATACCCATAATCTCAATGTCTCGATTGATGAAAATCACAAACCAGCCTTTGGAGGACATTATGATAACTCCAGAAGAATATCTGGTCGAGTCATTCGGGTTCGAAGCTCATCACCGAGGATTAAGATCTTTCTAGTTTCTTCGACATCTCTCAAATGCGTGGATATGCCCTATCAAAGTATTCATAAGGATGTCTATTCGATAGAGGTCTATTTGTGACTAAAAATATTCGGTTAGTCATAGCTAGGAGGATACGAAAATCAATAGACAATACGATCGACGTACTAGTACATATATATATACCCTGTAAACGGGTGAGGGCTGTCTTGTGAATTAATAAATATGTTCTATTCTCATTCTCCCACCCTTACCGGTGGAAGATTCGTTCGTTACAATACATAAATATTGATATAAAAAAAAAGAAAGGGGGATATAACCAACTGATAGGGATGTAGCAACCCACTCACTCACTCACTACCCAACCAGTACCGCCCCGAGGATACTATTGTCTGGCGGAGCATCTTCTATCTTACTCTTCTTACCTTATTCTGCTCCTCCCAGCATCTCCGAAATGTTGTTAAACACTGTCCCAATCTTCTGTCGCGCGTCTTGGCGCAGCCCCTTCAATTACGGGCATTCAATCAGTACATGATGGACTACTGTCTCTATCCCGCCACACTCGCATTGTGTGTTGTCTTGAAGACCGCGCCGTTTGCCATGTGTCGCGAGCCACGAGTGGCCCGTCCAGGGTTGCGTGAGAAGGTTGGCTCGGTCCCGAGGAAGAGAGCCGTAAAGTCAGCAGATACGACTTGCCGGCAGGTTCTGATTAATCTGACAGGGGTGTCCTCTAATTCAAGAGGTCCGCTATTCTTGTTTCTATTCTTTGTTGATCTTGTTGCGGATGTTTCCTTTCTCGCGCGAGAGAAGCCATCGGAAGGGGTGCTTCTTTTCCAGGCCTACTGCCTCCTTAGCTAAGCGGTCTGTGGTGTCATTGCCGGGGTCGCCACAGTATCCGGGGACCAGTTGTAGTCGCAGTGGGATTCTACGCGCCCTCAGTTCTTCCGCTGACCGGTGGATGGCCTAGGTAATGCGGTGACCGGACTTGTTCCATGAGTTTGCGATCACCTGCAGTGCCGACATGCGATCGCTGAGGATAGTTGCTGGGCCTCGGGCTGTTGTTGCAGCAGCAGGACTTTTCTGTACCAGGTGAAATACCGGCCCAATGGTCTAGTAGATTGCTATGAGTTCTGCCGTATATACTGACCAGTATTCCAGTAAACCGATACCGATTTGTCGGGATCCTAAGATCTGTTGGTTGTGGCCCAGGGCTACTGCTGCTGCGCCCAGTTGGTTCGGTGGTCCAGAAGCATCGGAGAAGACAGCAAGGTCAGTCGTTGCTTGCCTTGTCAGAGCATTGGTTTTGGCCTTTTGCCTACATCTCTATGTGCTGCGGCGACTCCGTCTCCAGGTCAGCCGAGCCTCCCATGGTACTGCATGTGATAGCATGATAAAATTCCTCTCCACAAGTCCCCATCCCAAGACTAGTAGTCGACTTCAAATCGTGTTTAGTTCCTCTACCTGTGTGACATCTTCAACAAATACAGCACCGTACTCTCTCATAATCTGTATCTTCTCCTCCATATTCATCGCTAAACTCATTCTCCCAAAATCACTTGGCAGTTGCCTGGCACTCTGAAATCTCAACACCCACACACCCACTCTATCTGTCGGCCAGCCGTACACCATCACCTTCTCTTCTTCCTCTGTAACCTCCCTCAAGCCTATCTGTCCATCGAGCCAATCCTGCCTACTCGGCCAGAACGTCGCACCAGTCCGTCGCATAAGATTACAGAACCTGTCTTCTTCGTCGGCACTGGGTGACCGCTGCGATACATGAGAGCGCGGGAGCGACAGGAAAAGCATATCAAGAAGATCAGCCTCTTTGATAAGAACCCCGCCAGTGGAGGGGTAACCATAGACTGTACATCCCAGGGTACCGAAGACGGTTCGTTCAGTTGTTAATGGAGGAGGGCTTATAGGGCATGAAAAGACCCGGTCCAGCGGATCGTCTATTACTGTTCGTTGATAAAATATACGAAAAATGTTCATGTTGATGGGAAGCAAGCGGCCCATGGTTTGTTGGCAGAGAGTTGATAAAAAGTTGAGGGTGATGACAACAAGCAAGTACTGCTAAACTTCATATTTCAATGACAAGGCTACAAACAGAAGACAGATGTTTTGATATCACGTGACTGGACCTCAGAAGCTCATGAGCGAGCTCTCAGGGTCATGCAGATGACGGGACTGTTTCAATATATAGGAATTTGGAGAAGCTCCCTCCAACTGATTGGGCAGGAATCCTGACATTACAAGTACGTCATATACGATGACCCACCGCAATTTCCTATATATGGCCGACTGTCTTGTTCTGCCGAGGTCTACATACCGATCGCTCACTAAACCCTTGAGCCTGCTTTTGAGTATGCCTTCAAGCAGGCATTATTCGAGCAAGCCTTTTTGGATCCTAATTCGGAAGGAGAACGCCCCTAGCTGCTGATGATCACATTGAAAGTCCAGCTCAAGTGGTGGTTCCGGTTCATTCGCGCAACTAGACCAAAGTAAAGATAATTGCAGCTTTCAGTTGCAGCAGCCAAAATATTACCAGATAAGCTGCGGGTAGTAGATCATTATAAGGGACAGTGGAGCGAGATTTCATCGAAGTTACGAGCTAATTACTGGGAACTTTGAAGCAAAAAAGAAAAGGGGGTCCCGCCCTGACCTCGCCCCACGCACCTCAAGAGCCAGTCATCAAGTTCAGGGCAGCTTCAATAGCTTCAGCGGCCTCACGAAGAATCTCTGCAGCAGAGTCCAATTGTCTCTGTCCTACAATCACACCACTATGTTGTTCAGGAGCCGAAAGATGTGTGCCGGGGTGCCCTAAAAGTGGGCCGACCAACTGCAAGTTGTTCTTCGCAGAATTGAGAGAATACACTACCTCAGCAACAGCGGCCTCGGCTTGGAGGATACAGCTCTCGGTAGAGTCTTAGAGATTAGAAGCAAGCCTCTATTAATGTAAGACACAGAGCTGTATACCTGACACGAGGACACCGGGATGGGATGAGTTCGATATCGTCGAAATCGACACGTTAGAAAAGTAAAAAAATCCCAAAGTAAGTAACACCGTATGCCCACCGCACACCATAACTTGCCGGAAAACTTGTCAGGATCGCCAAAGCTGTAGCAGATACATACAGGAGGATAACTTTAGTCGACTTGAGATGCCAAAATGATATTGAACATAGAGGTCAGCGGTTATCTTTGTGAGGAGGGACAAAAGGTTAAATAGAAAAGAAAAAGAGACTCGAATTACTAGAACTTGAAGAAATTTCCCAGATAGAAGATAAAAAGCCTGAAAGTGAAGTGAATAGTAGATTGAGATTTCACCGGAGAAATCAGGCCCTAATACAGTGATGTCAAACCGGTCACCTGCACTAAAAGAAGTAAATGACCAGAAAGGATCTATCACACATAAGAGCAGGAAGCCTCTGGAACAGCCATAAGGACAGGAGTCCGCAAGCTCTATACAGAGAAAAGCTGGATATACAGCAGCCTGCAATGTGCACCCACCGTTATAATTGGTTTCCCAATATTCTGCTGTCAGACTATCTGCTAGGCTTTATTTGGTTCGGTTTAACAGAACCCTCTAGGGTAGACAACAAGATAATGAATCTCACAAGTATTGCGGGGTGTTGTTTTCCAGGCCACGGATTCGCTCTCTATATCAGAAATCGCAAATCTTTCGTACTTCGCAAACCTGCTGAAGAAAAGTACAACAGTTGTGATGTTATTGTTGCACGATACAATTTAATAACTTAGCAACTACGCCTCTTGATATTGGCCTTCTCTGTAGCACCCTGTGGCTGCCGGACCTAAGTACAGTATTATTGAATACCACTACTGTATTGTGCAAGGCCAATGTGTACCTTTCATTGCCTATATACTTTGTCATAACACGATCTCCGAATTATGATACCCTTATTCTGCAAGACCGCTCTTCGTGGGGGCTGCTAACAGTCAATTTTAGCGGTGGGCAACATAGTGGAAAGTTCTTGCAGATTATCGGAGAAGACCACCTTTGTCTCATTCTGATCCAGCAACATTTTCTTTCTCATTTGTTCCTCGTCAATTTCAGAGTTATGTATCCTTTTCCTTTTCCGGGAAACACAGTTGCGACGTGGCTCTTCGATTGAGTAGATTACACGACCATTGTTCGTTAGTATTCTGATCATTGCCGGTGTGATGGTTGGCCCATTCACCAGCTCTCACAGTAAGGTCGGAGGTCGAGTTCATGGGTAAAACTCGACCGGGGCTGGGTATGCAAGAACCAGTAGGTCTCGGCGATCTAACTGCACAGTTAGTGGCAATTTTTCTCACCTAGGTAGATGGTAAAAGCAAGCTGCTTACCCAGTCGGGATCGATCTTCGCATCCGGGATGTCTTTTTTATATTCCTTCGTCTTCTCCGTCGCGATGATCCCGTCGACGATGGCATGAGCAACATGGATGCCCTTGGGACCAAATTCACGCGCTAGTGATTGGGAGAGCGCCCGGACAGCGAATTTACTCATGGCAAATGAACCCAGGCCGGGTCCCCCCTTCATGGCTGCCGTTGCACCTAGAACAGATAATCAGCACGGTGGCTTGTGAATGTGAACGGGATGACAACCGGCCCGCCTTGCGGTCTTCAGCATCCCGCACTGGCTCCAGCAATTGGTCAATCACGAACCGGTGAATATCATTGTCGGTGGATGACGCAGCTCTGCCTGCGATGCCGCGCGCAGCATCAAGGGCAATACCGCTTGGGAGAAATGTGAGGCCCCTCGCGCGGTCGCCTCCAAGCTATCCAGGAACTCTGCGCTGGAATCCAGGAAGGGTGCACGCGTGAACTTGCTGGCCACGTTGAAGATGGCCGCCGAAACGGTTAGATCGGATCCAAACTGCAGCTCAATTTGTTTCAGAGTGGAGTTCAGACTCTCTGTGTTCGTGACATCGGCGGGGATGCCAATGGCGCATCCTCCATCCTGATTGATGCCCTGGACCAGAGGGTCGAGGCTTGATTGAGTCCGGGCGAGGAGCACCACAGGATATGCCTTGGCAAACCGACGGGCGATCGATGCCCCGGTTCCCGGCCCAGCTCCGGCGATGATCGCAACTGGCTTGGACAGCATGGATGCCATTGTAGTATGGGGTGATGGGTTGTGCAATGGAAACTGTACAGCGTGAAAGCAGTTTTGAGCGCGGGTCTAAATAAAGCAGATGCAGCAATCAGGTATGTCATTAAATCCAACAGCTTAGGTGGCTCTTGGTACTGATTACAAATCGGAGGCCGAGAGTCCGAGGAAGCCACGGTCCTATTTCCCTGGCCATTTAATCCTCCTATACCCATCCTGCGTTGCCGAAGTAACCCTACATTCCTAGCATTGAAGAACTCCACAACATCAAACTGTATAAAAAGAAAAGAACTCCCCTCTCGACTATCCAACCCAGTCTCATGATTCTCAGCTATATATATTACAATGCTATTTCAAACCTCTATGGCTGAAAGAATTATTATACCAATTTTTTCCAGTGTTTGTACAGATTTATATGTATAAGTCCATCTAGATTACGAACACATCCACCAATTCAAGTAGTTCTGTAGCCACGCCACTCCACTCTATAAAGGCGCACTTCGCGCGCGTATTGCATGGCTGTCTATTCTTTGTATAGTCCCCTGACCACTGTTTGAAGCTGAGAAATCCTGTTGCGTAAATTTGTTTCTCTCGTAGCAAAGTCATCGGCATACACGGTCGTACCGGACTTCTACTTCGAATGTCCTTGGTGTCGTCTCCGTTTCATTCCAAGGGTTTTGTTTGAACGTATGCTCGAAGGCGAGGAATTAGTTCGAATGGGCTTCACCGTGTTCATTGGCAGTAGACCTGCTAGTTCATGAAGGTAAGCAAAAAAAAAAGTTGAGACTGACTAGGGTGATATTTGGACTATTGATGTATGAAATAGATCAGTTTCACCAACAGCAGATATCGGGTCTGATTGGTTATCTTGAACTAAATGCTTGTACTGTAATCTGATTCTCAGCCCCGCCTTGGTAATCCTGACGTGGCCCCCAAGGAGAAGCCCCCCCAACTGATATAAATCTGTCGCCGCCCATGAATCTGTTGAAATCACCCCTTCCACGAACCACGTACCGTAAGAAAAGCACAAAGCAACAGTCATGACGGCCCTCTTGGGAAGGGCAGCGTTCCATATCCTCTACGGAGATAGAAAGAAGAAAATCGCCAAGTTTCTTCGCAGTACGACACCTGGTTAGTCAGTCAATAGCTAGTGGCATCGAAGGATGAACAATGGACCTGACCAATAACATCCAGATTCCCTTCTTTCAGACCTCCACACCTGCCTTGTGCGGGAAGGGGTCAGCTCCATCACACGGGAAGCCGTCTTCTACGCGTCTAGCATCCGGGACTCTCCCCAGGAGCAGCCTTGTAAGTAATCCATACCCACACGAGATCTCAAGACTCCAGCGACAAACTTACTTAGCCCATACCAGGAGAGGCTGATGAGATAGTGGATGTTGTTTTAGACTGGACAAAAAAGAGTTTCCAAAACCACCTTGCTAGAACCCATCCGGACACTACCATCCCAGATACAGCTATCAATATCCTGTGGTCTTGCTTCTGCTTCTACGCCTATCACCCATTCCCACTCCCCGGTGCGACTGACAGGAAGCTGGATCTGCCAGCCTTTGAGCGTGGATTGATCCTGCTGTCTCTCCAAGGCACCAGGCTCCTCGGAACCGTGGAGGATGATTTCGGTCATTGCTGGGGGCGGATCAATGATCCTTGTAGCTGCAGGTTTAGGATTAATCGGATCTTCCGAAGCATCAGCCTGGTCAACTGTCAGTCAAGTTCAAATCCACAAGTCGCTGGTTTTGACACATTCATCACCGACGATGTGATAGATGCTATACTTCCAATATTCCCTTTCCATCCTAAACTGTATCCCTCCCTTGACCAGCTGACTCCGCTGGCGGAAGGTTTGCTTGAGCAGAGAACAAACCAATATCAGATGAAGGTCAATGACTTTGCTGCTTTACTCAGCCTCATAATGAGGCTAAGAGTCTATAAACCGACCTGGGGTCGGGACTTTCATTACGGCTCCTTCGAGGATTCCAGTCTGGAGAAGGAAGAGTTGGCTAATATCCTGGCCCGATCATTCTGTCATGGCCAGGACAAGTACCTGGCCCCCGACTTAGTGCTCCGAGCTTTAGATATCCTGGTAAGGATGAACCCATTCCTTGCCATCTACCTCTCCCAGCTGTGAAGCTAACAATATTGCTGGCACCAGCCAAATCTAGAGCAAGAGTTTCATCAGCTGTGGGCAACACTTTTTCAACCCTCCACATCCACTGGGATACCTAACTTAGGAATCGAATCGTCAGCAGACACCACTATGAACGGAATTCTTCGTGCAGTGTCGTTGTTTATCCCTCCGTTCCAGGCCCATAAAAGGTCCGAATTGTTACGAAAAGTGAAGTTGATTTCCTTCCAAAAATGCTATGACTCGATATCATCCCAGAGCTTGACAGACAGCCTTGATCTGGGCCTCATACTCCAGCGAACCTTCCAGGATTATCCGAACTATCGATCGTACCTTGTCCTTCTCCTGGGACATCAAGCCAGGGACTCAACAAAGGTAGTTGTGGGCGCATATTTCCCAAGCTGTACGCAGACTCCTGCTGCAAAAAAGGGAAAGAAGCCGGAAGAGATAGACGAATCGAGAATCGCCCCTCCATTACTTCTATTCCAGCTTCAGCCAAGCTTCAGCTTGTTTCGATGGAACGGAGAGGACAGCATGTCTTTGTCTCAAGTAAACGACAGTGCCTCAGTGCATACCGACCACCCTAACTGCATAGGGGATCCCACTCAATCGAAGGTGGGAGTGGAAATTGACTCTGTCACAGGCCAGGCTACCTTTCTGCGAGGCACAGCTACCACCGCCAATCGGATGTCAGGCATGTATGAAGAGGTCACTACTAGTAGGAAGGATGACGGGGCAGAGACCATTAATGAAGATCAGCAAGAGCGACGAACAACATTTACACTCACCCGCATTGCCATATTCAACGTGGAAGGTGGACCAAATTACGATTATACTTGGTGAATCAGGCAAGGCCATATAATGATAAAAGTTCATATTCAGGGAATGACATCAACGTGTATATAAGAGCAGATAGCACTAATTATATACCCCCCAAGTCCCTGTGGTAGGTTTACGACTACTACTGCTGCTGCCTGTGGTAAAGACAGTATGTGTGGCACCCAGTAAGACCCTACTCTTTAATGAGGTCCGATCTGCTGTGGCTTTATCAGAGATTTAGAAGAGCAGATTTATAATCAGATCTGAAGAACGAATATGAGCCGTGAAAATCATTTTATAAGTAGAGTTGATATCGGGCCAGGTTGGCGCAAAAACCAGTAGCGTACCCCGTGGGCTCCTAATGCAATGTCTGACGGGCATTACCTTCTGATCCCCTGGAAATGCTGTTGTCCTTGGAAGCCCGGCTCTGTCTGGTTTGCGAATCGTGTCCCTTCCGGGCATTGAGATGCTCAGTGAATGACCTTCCATGTCTTTGAGATTTGGAGACATGTTGGTTGTACCTGGGGACTTCTCGGAGTACTACTGCGTTTAATCTGTTGAACATGGCGCGTTCACCATCTAGCCACTTGCTTGGGTCTTGCCTTGTAGACTCGCTATCTCCCCACGTCATGGTTCCCATGTGAAGTGGTGATGGCTCCCCGGGCGTGATAAAATGAGGAAACAAGACCAAAATCGGGTACTCAGGGAGGTCCGTATCCTTCCCTTTATTAGACCTCCAAACTTCAGCAGATCGGGGTACATTAGTAACTGTTGTCACCCATTTAGAGCTCCGTTGCACTTTGCTCCACAAACTCGCGGCATCTTGGAGAAATCGACGAAGGTCTTCCTTGAACTCAATGCATTCGGTCTCTAGTAAAGGCTCAACCAGATTGACGACCTCGGAAACAACATTTTCAATGTTTTCCTCTACCTGTCTCCGTTCATCTGAGCTGAACGCCTTCACCAGAAGTGCACGTAGTAAGGCTTTCTCCTGAGATGTAATCTGATCGCACTGGTCAAGGGCATCACTCTTTGGCATTCGGCCAGCCGATGCTTCAACAAACGTTGACCGGAATATATTGCGGGAGAGGTGGTTGGATATCATGCATTGCACGCAGGAAGCACGGAGCGTTGTTGACTGACTCAAAGCTGGGGTGGGAAACATCGAGAAGGGATTTGGAGTTGTACATTCTTTCCACTGGAGGTACTGAATGGTATCGATTACTTTCTTCTTTGGGCTTGGTTAGAGATCTGTATCAAAGCATAAGATGAGCCTGACAGAGAAAATACCTCGCAGGCATCGGGCGGAAAAGCCTTGTGAAAATATCTCTGAATGATATCGCGCAAGGCCGCCTCGAGGTCTTTGATGTTCTGAATCCTAGCCTACATGAGCCTAGAAATACCCTCAGCGGAATATATGAAGTTGGCACATACAGATCAGGTCCAAACTCCTCCAGTTGAGTTGCACGTTTCAATTCTTCAACTTCTTCTTGACTCTGTTCGAGGCGCCCCTGTAACCCGGTGATTTTCGTATCTCGTTCATCCAGTTGGGTACGGAGCCGGCGAAGCTGCTCAGTTTGATCGTGGACTTTCCTTGATAAGTCTTGTAACTTGGCGTCGAGTCTTGTTTCTGCATCCTGTCTTGTCTTTTCTATCTGGGTCCTTGCTGCTTGTAGCTGGGTCAGAAGATCATTCTCTTTCTCTACCCAGCCCTTAACACGCTCCTCCACATAGTCACCAAGACCTGCTTTTTCATGCAATAATAATTGCTGCTTCTGGTGCTCTTCCTCCAAATGTCGTTGGTGATCCTCTATCTTGGAATGTGCTGCCTTGAGTTCGTTCTCAAGCTCTATATTTCTCTGTTGTAGTTCTTCATGGTTTTTAATAGATTTGGAATAATTGATAGTGTCTTCCGCTGCTGCCTGCAGAGCCTTGATAGAGGACCACAAGGATTTGTCCTTTGACTTATCTTTTGGCGCCATTCCGAACATATATTAATGACTATTAGGTGTCCCGTTTTCCTTCAGATACCGAACATGAGGGAATGTACCCTTTTTAAACCATGACCTATTATTATGAGAAGTATGCAAAATCATGCCTCTAGGCAAATCCCTTTTATTCATTCATTCTTTCTTTTCTTTTCTTTTGGGACCTGTTACCAAAATCATTGGATGCGAGGTAAAGGTTGGCATTGAAAGTTCAAGATCGCATGACGCCCCAAATGCGAAGGCATTGGCGGTGAAAGTCTTTCTATTTATCCCCTTGCGTTGCGAACATAACATGGAGTAGTAGCCCTGCGATCGCCGTAGCATATATGAGTATACATGAGGGGAGAGAGATTGGCCATTATCTCTGCAGCTATAGATGGGCACATCCTTTGACAACTTCGACGTTGTTGGATAATAACCATGTAATTAATTGATTACCCTAAGCTCTAAGGAACCTAGAGAATAGTTTGAGTCTACATGATGTCCAATTACTATAGGGGCGCATTCCTTTTGTATCATTTCCTACCCTAGCTTTTGACGCCATTTGCCTCAATTTATTTTTCTATAGCATTATCACCCTGTTCTTATCAATCAATCAATCAATCAATCAATCATGACTCTTTGGAGCTGCTCGAGCCTAACTACTGAATATCTAGCTATGTAGGTAAAAGAGAACTCCCTGCTCTTATCCTGCTCCTTTCTCCCTTGGCTTGAGGCCTGCCAATTGTAGTGGCTTATACTGGCTTTGTAGCAACGTTTTACCCTTCCTTAGCCTGACTACCCCAAATTTCTTGTACTTGATGCAATATAGTACCTGTATGATATAATATCGTAGGTTTCCTGAAGTTTGTCATTGGAGTTGGGGGCAATATTTGGTCTTGGGTGGATTAAAGATGCCACGCGTCGGGTGCTTCGTGCCGATGCAAGGGACAGGAAGGACACCCTTCCTCGGGGGTAGTGTGGGAGTGCAATCCAACGATTTACGTTCTCTGCCATACATAAATCTCTTGGCTTGCTGCAATTCTGTTGTGCCACTCTTCCCTAAAGAGAAGTTCCCGCCTGGTGAGTGTCTTTAGTACCAAAACAAGTATAGAGTTGCCAACTAAGGTCGGTCTCCGAAAAATATCGGCATGTTAACGCATACTACACAGCAAGCAAGACGAGGGGATAATGCCGGGAGAAGCGAAGAATATTATGCTAGTTGGTCCGTGATATTTTGGCCGAAAGTTTGGCCATCCCAAAAGAGTATGTACAACAACAGTAGATATTTATGTTGTTATTTTTCAGAATTCTACGATTGGTAACAAACACCCTGTTTAGTCGAGATAGCCAAAAGACAATATATAATGGGGCTATGGATGTAAAGATTTCATATCAACGTTGAATCTAGGGATGAAGGGTTCATAGAATCATATGCCAGACAATTAATTGCTGGAGGACCAGGGTTCACTGGATACAAGCCAACAGCCCCGGAGAGCCTTTAGGATGCCTTAAAATCTCTTCTGGGCTCATTTGCTCGATGGGAAATATTCCCATTTCTAGCAAACTGCAGCAGAGAAGAGGCTCTAGAATAGTCCAAGCAGCATTGCTGAATGTACGGAGAAGCTCGCCCTGCGACTTGTTGAGAAGACGAACAAAGAGATGGAACTCTTCCTCCGTGGGCTTCCAGAACCTGCAGTTCGTCAGCTCCGTAAACACCTGTGGTATACTAGACCTACATTATGTCTGAAACATTAGTACCCAGCCGACCACCGAGTTCATTGTCTAAAATCAGTCCCAGAATTCCCTGGCCGAAGGTCTCCGTTAACATATGAAGACGCTTGCCGACTTTGCGGAGCCGGTTGAATTTTTTTAGTTGGCTTTGATAGATCTCTGTACCCGGTTTCAGATCTGGAAAGATTTCCGCCAGCATGGTTTGGGTAACCATACTCTCGTCTTTATTCCTCGGGTTTCCCAGAGTCCTCTGAGGTTTTCTGAACGTATCTGATGTGCAATGAACATAGCCGGTGCTAGAAGAGGTATTATGACCGCCACAACCTCGGAAAATTTCAATAATATGGTACCAACTCATAATCTGAATGATGCCCGCCTCCTGTTCCAAGTGCTCAATTAAAGTAAGTCTGTGTTGCAGAAGGGTGTCTCGTAGACGACACGATTGAAGCCTGTCATGGTGTCTTGCTTTTTGTACCATCCGGCCAAGCGCAATTATTGTATGGGGACTTGCGATAGTGATCAACAGACCTACAAAGGCCTCACACAATCCTTTTTCTGATTTAATCAGCTGTTTGTGGATTTCTGGCTTAAAGTATGTGGCCTCTGGAGGCGGCAAGCTTTGCGATTCACATTTTGTTTTCTCGTTGGCTAGGAAATCTTGGAGTTCATGATTAATGTGAAAGTATCTTGTACGTTTGGCCCGCTTTCTCCCCTTCTGGTCGTTTCTCCCGGTATCACCAGGTCTCTTGGGCTCAGTGGTACGTGAACTCGGCGCTTCATATGGGATGGCAGAAGGCACTGGAAATGTCGCGTACTGAGGGTCACTCGGGGGGTCGTTGCTAAGACTTGGCAACTCTGAAACAATGTTACCACCAAAGGTAGGATCTATCCATGATATGTCAAAAGCGGCTAACATATTTGGGTCATTTGTGATATCCAGAGTAGAGATGTTCATCGATACCCCTGGGTCGTATATGGGGGGTATGTTCCCAGCGCTATCCCCAGTGTTTTGAATCATCGCCAAAGAATCATCGCAGCGAAACATTGGAAATGCCGGGGCATATAAGCTGCTATGAACAGGGGAAATAAGCATTTGAGGGTGTTCTAACCCGGCCATGACCTGCGATGACCGATCAATCGGTAATGATTCGACGGGTAGACCCGACCCTACACTAGGACATTGGCTTTTTGCACTTAGGGCAGCAGCGTCTGCGACAGCAGATACAGCTTCAATAGTTGCCTCTGAGCAAGTCTCGAGCAACTGCCGACCCGGCCTCTTGAAGATGCTTTTAGTGAATTGTGTTAGTAAGGTAAATCTCTCTGAACGCTCCATAATGTTCTTACCGGGATAGAACAAACAGTGTCGCTGAAATACTACCGGCATTAGTATCTAGGAGGACAGCTGCAACAATCGCATTCATTGTATTGCGAAGCACCGTCGCCGACTCGAACCCCGATCGACAAGAGTACTGGATGCACTTGCTGATGCCGCTCTGTTTAGCGGCAAGAACAAAGTGGTCCTTCTTGGTGAACTCCAGTCTCAACTTTGCCTTATGCTCTGAGGATATTCATGATTAACCTGTGTATTCATGTAGCGATGAATGTATATCATTATACTCACCTTTGCTTGTACCCATGCGCATGAAAACTATGTTGAGCACCGTGTCCACCCAGGAGGCGCCAACTTGCGCTAGCTGTCTATTCCCCTCGTGGTTCTCACTTTCCACACCCGCAGCAGTGAGGGCTTGACGTAGGTAGCTTTTGTTGGTGAAGTTATGTTGAATGATGGACTCCACTTCTTGAACCTGATCGGGGGAAGCCATTAGTATCTGTGAATCACCAAGGACTAGTGGATATGCGGCAATTATTCAACTGGCGTGAATATAAAGAGTATGTTTCTGAATATAAAAGGTTTTAAAGCAATTTCAGACTCTCTAGCTCTGCAGAAAATATGATATGGGGCTCTTTTATAGACAGGAACTGCGAATAGAATAAAATAGTTCACCGGTAATACATACTCAAGGCCTATCAGTTTACTGATAGTATATATTTGACTCAATGCCAACGATAGAGCAAGGGGTGTAAGTGTAACAAAATGGTCGAGGACTATCCAAACTTTAGCCCCTGGCTTCTGGCGTAGAACTTACATAGAGAAATAGAGACATAGACCAACCTTTCAACAAGTCCTGTGTTGTTCGGTGCCTCTTATTACCGAAGGCAGTAGGTGGTATGTTGCTAGAAAATAACCTCGTCCTAATGCTTTCAATTTCATTCAAGTCAATCTTCCCCGCAAGTCAATTAAGCGATCTCTAAGGTCTGGTATGATTGGCTCTTTATGATTCGCGAAAGCAAAGGCACTGCAGTGCTGAGCCTGCGCATATGTAAGGAGCAATAAAATCACCAAGAGAGCCAGAAGTGCTTCCTAACACGGCAATAGTCATGAAAGGAGCACGGCAATGGCTTAGTAGATACGAGGTATTGTAATCCTAGTGGATAAATCTGGCTAGGTTATGGTGTCTTGTTACCTTCTGTAGTGTTATGAAGGCTACTGTCTCAAATACTATATATACTCTCTCGGAGTATTTCCCAAAATAGAAGAACCGGTATTTAGACCTGGACTGCTAGGGCCTGGAATTAATTATCTTAGAAAACTATACAATACTGAATTAAGCTGTTATCTATTTATATGACTGAAATTATATATCTAGAGAGAGGAAATAAGCATCAGAAAGAATATCAGGAAAAGCAGAAATAGTAGAGTGTATATTTAAAAGAAAGACTTTCTAAATACTAGGAATCTAGATAATATACTGCTTTTCCAAGTACTTGAATAGCTTTATTTTTAGTTAAGATTTCTATATTTTTGGTTGAAATATCTATATGTCTAATATAAAGTGCTCTCCCTACTAAATTGTATAGTAAAGTACCTGACCAGCTAATTGCCAAGCTTACACTAGCGTAGACCCATAACTTTTGGAACATACCTCCGTAGATCAACCATATCTTCATCCAAGTAGAACAGGTTTATATAAAGAGAATCCTTGAAGATACAGCCCACATGTACAAAGCTCTATAGACCATGGATTTTGTAAACTGGTCTTGTTTAATAAAGCGCAGTTCACCCTGCAAACCCATGCACAGCTACAGGCTCGACTTTCAGCCCCTAAAACCCTCAAAATGAGGGTTTTCAATAAAGAACTCGGACTAATCATCAGGTGACCGGCACGGTATTTCTACCGAGAAAATAAAAGGCTAGCTACCGGTCATTTAAAACCTCTATCTTGATTCTCAAAGTCCATCGGGAAAGACCACACGGATGATAAGATGAGTCTACTCGATTTACCTACTGAATCACTCCTGTTGATCATTCAAAACTGTGAAGATGAAAAGGACATCAGCTCATTCGTGCAAACCAACTCTCTCTTGTATAACCTACTGTCGGACTATCTCTATCAAAAATATGCCCGGCGACATAACAGCAGTGCGTTGCAGTGGGCAGCGGAGTACGGGCTACCTAGAGTAGCCCTCCGCTCACTTAGCAATGGAGTATGCGTCAAACACCGCAGCTCATCCAGCCACACACCACTATATTTAGCAGTAGGAAACGGCAATGAAGAGTTGGTCCGCATCCTTCTTGCGCATGGAGCCAACACCAACCACCTGTGTCCCCCTCCGGACTGGAAGGTCCCATTTGAGACAGCTCTGATGAAAGCAGCATCTGCTGGACATGATGTGATAGTTCAGATGTTGCTTGATCACGGTGCCCCTATCGACCCACACAGGTCAGACGGGAAGAATCCCCTGTGCCTGGCAGCTGAGGCCGGGCGCCTCAGTACAGTCAAGTTGCTTATCACACGTGGAGCAAATCCCAAGCTCCCCAGGTCCAACCTAGGAAACACCCCACTTGCACTTGCCGTATCTCATGGGTATCCAGAGATTGTCGAGCTTCTTATCCAAAATGGTGCGATGGTCCGCCACCCAAATGTAGAGGGAAACACACTGCTTTCTGATGCAGTGGAGAAACAACATTGGGAAACCGCTAAAGTTCTTCTTCAAAATGGCGCCAAGGTCGATAAGAGGAACTCACATGGCTTAAGTGCACTTGATAAAGCCGCGATGAGTAATAGCATAGCAGGTGCTCGACTATTGATTGACCATGGAGCCCAAGTCAATTCCGATAGCTCGTTTGGAGGGACGCCTCTCTTTGCTGCTGCAAGACGAGGCTATGAAGATATGGCCAGGCTGCTAATTAACAATGGCGCCGACATCAACGCTCTGAGTGAGGTTGTACCACGGGCTTACGAGCAGCTTCCGGAATATGAGAAATTGAGGGATTTGTCACTGAGGAGGGGCGCCGACTCCGATTGCGCGCTGTCCTTTCCCGTGACACCGCTATTGATGGCTGCAGCAAACGGTCATGAAGCAATGTGTCGGCTTCTAATAGATAACGGTGCGGAGGTTAATTATGAGACCTTGATGGGGGTGACACCTGGATGTCTTGCAGAAGCCTACGGCTACCATGAGATAAAGAGTCTTATTGAGAAAGCTAATTCTGGCCAGGGTTTGAAGTCTACCGCGTAAGATGCTGAGATATACTTAGAATTAGATCCTGTTGCATCGGTCTGGCGCGCCCTATGCATATAATATGGGTGTTCCGGGCATTTATCTAGGACTCTTGGTGGCTAATAGTTGCGAGGTCGGTGTTCGAAGATACCTCAAAACAACTGCTGCGCAGCATCCGCTTAAAGATACCCTGTTCTAGACCTGGAGCTTTGCTTCTGGACGTATTGTGAACACATCGAGAGCCGTGGAAGTTGGCAACATTTATGGGAGCATTTACTGGTGGATTCGCTCATACTAAAGGTCGGGTTAGAATGCATGAACACATTAAGAAAATGTGGATACACTCTAACAAATAAGCAAATATAGCAGAGAAATACGAAGCACAGATACATTGACCGCACTCTATTTACGAGCTTCGAGGTTGGCTTTGATAGCTAAGTTGCGTTAGAAATATCATTTCAGTAAGACCCGCAATACTTACCGTCACATGAGCTCTTTGCATCTCCGAAAAGCATCCTTGTGCCAGGCATGTAGAACATCGGGTTGGGCACATCGGCTGCAGGTGTCAATCAGTATAATGAAATCACCGCATCACACGTATGTTACACTTACCATATCCACTAGACATGCCTCGCTTCATCACAATCACTTCCTTGCTCTTCCACGCGTGCAATACGGGCATACCCGAGATTGGGGAGTCGGGCTCCAATGCAATGGGATTGACTGTATCGTTTGCACCAATGACAAGAGTAACGTCCGTTTCGGAAAAGTCGTCATTGATTTCGTCCATTTCAAGTACAACTTTCCTGTTTCAGTCACGTTGCACTACCCTGGGACAAGGGACACTTACTATCGTATGGCACCGAAGCCTCTGCGAGCAGTACGTTACACTGCCCTGGCATTCGTCCGGCAACAGGGTGGATGGCAAAGCGGACATTGACCCCTTTGGCCCGTAACATACGTGTAATCTCGGAAATCGCGTACTGTGCCTTTGCCACCGCCATGCCATATCCAACGACCTACAGCCTGTCAGTTGCTATACGACAGCCAAAGAGCAATATGCATACAATAATGACGTTCTCTGCGTTTGCAAGTGCGTCTACGGTGTCATCAATAGAGGTTTGCGTAACTTGACCCTCGATTTTCTTTGCTTGTTGGGGAGCTGCAATCCCACCGAAGAGCACATTGGTGAGAGATCGATTCATAGCGACGCACTATGGCAAGTTAAATCAGCTGTGAAAGATAGAATGTTCAAAATACCTACCATAATGTATGAGAGAATAGAACCGCTTACGCCGATCAACGACCCTATGCTTGTCAAGAGTGGATTGTTGAGCATAAAGCCCTCCGCTACCAGGGCAAAGCCCGAGTACGCATTTAGGACCGTGATGACAACAGCTGCCCAAGGTTAGCAAGTTCTCATCGGGGGAATGAAAGGACATACGCATATCGGCCCCGCCAATGGCCGCGGTCGTGGTGTAGCCCTTCACAAAGCTGAGTGCCGTGTTTGCACCAAGGCACGTAGCCGCAATAACAGGAGAGCCTGGGGCCATAGAAACGAATGCACCCATTGTGGCCAAATTGGTGCCTAGCAATGTCGAATTTATCACATGTCGCCCAGGAAGAATAGTAGGCCTTGATGACATGCGGCCTGCTAGCTTCAGGAACGCTACAATGGACCCAGTAAATGTAACGCCACCTGCCATTGTCAGGATCCGGTAAGTCATTCATCATCCAAAAGACCTACCTATCAGAACGCCAAGGTATGCTGTGACCATGTGCAACGTTGAAATGTCTGCAACATCTGTAATCACACTACCGATACTTGTGAGGACCGCTGCTAATCCAACCACGGAATGCAACGCAGCAACTGTTTGGGGAAGTCCAGTAGGTGTAATACGGCGACCGATTAATGCTCCTAGATAGATGTGAGAAGATTCCCAGTATGTTAACCAATCAAAATAACACCTACCGACTACAGATCCGACACCGGCGACAGTGCCAAACTGAGCTAACACTTCAGGCGAAAACCCTACAGCTGCGAGGGATGCGAGTATTCCAGACGCTACACCCAGAATGCCAAGTATATTGCCTCGTCTGGCAGTTTGCTGCGATGCCAGGCCAGAGATCGATCCTATGTTTTGTTCAGAAGTTGGAGGGTAAGGACGTTGCGTCATTGCACTCACCAATGCAGAGGACACTGCTAATCAGATATCCGGCTTGTACCAACCCAGCCATGCCCGTACTAGCCGCGGCAACAAATCCTCCGCCAAATAGAAGAGCTGGTACTGCATACAACCATGGGTATTCTGGCGGATCAGTTGGACCTATAAATTATAAGCAGCTACTAGTATTTTGCTGGAAGCAGAAGCACCAACGCTTAAACATGTCTAGCATGCGTTTTGTGACCACAAATCCTCCAGATACATTGACGAATGCTAAAAGCACCGAGATAGCTCCAAGGAATTCTGGGATTGTGCTCGGCAGATAACCTCCACCCATGATGAAGAAGCCACCAATGCCAACCATACCTAGTGCCGGCTCATCAGTGCCAGTACAAATGCCTATGGAGAAGCTCGACTCACCCGATATTGCGTTCGTAACACTCATAAGCGGAGAATGAAGGGCAGGGGCGACTCCCCACACAGCACGGTAGCCAACAAGACCAGCAAGCCCGAAAGTCAGCATATTGCCCATAAAGATAGGGCCAGTTGCTTTTCCTAGTGCCAGAGTAGTTCCCATGCCAGCGGTGACCGTTGCCACATCTCGTGTTGCTTTTTGCCAAGGCGTCAGTGCCAGTTCCGTTTGTTCCTTTGCTGGAGGTGCGGCTTCTACTTTTGGCGTGGGTGGGGGAGCTGGTCGTGGTGCCGGAGGGAGTATTTCTCCATCGAGTGTGACGATTGAGCCGCGTACAACCTCGTCGGATAAATCAACACCGAATGACTTCTCCTGGGGCGCCATAGATAGAAGGTACTTCGTGATGTTGTTGGAATAGAGAGTCGATGACTGAGTAGGTAATCGCGATGGCAGATCAGTGTATCCTAGGCAAGTTAGCATCAGATATGAAATGATCCTTCTCGAAGTCCGAACAAACCAATCACAGTGACATCGTGGTACTTGGTCAATTGCCCGGGGACAGTTGCTTCACAGTTGCCACCAGCCTCTGCCGCAAGGTCGACAATGACAGAACCGGGTTTCATAGCAGCGACCATCTTGATCGACGTGAGCATATATTCCTTCGGCCGTGAATGGTGCCGAAACACGTACCTCTTTAGTAATGAGCTTCGGCGCGGGTTTTCCGGGAATCAAAGCTGTGGTCACGATGATGTCTACCTCACGACATTGTTCCATGAAAAGCTTCATCTCGGCTTCGATAAACTCCTTGGACATTTCTTTGGCATATCCGCCTTGGCCAGCGCCATCTTCCTGTATGTCCACTTCAATGAATTCTGCACCTAAGGATTGGACTTGTTCACGGACGGCTGGGCGAGTATCAAATCCACGGACAATGGCGCCTAGACGACGAGCCTAGAGTTGCAATGTTGGCACAGGGAGTTTCAAGAATAACGATGAACCTACAGATGCAATGGCACTCAAACCAGCCACACCAGCTCCAATGACTAGGACCTTACTAGGGGGTATCTGGTTTAATTTCCCGTTAGTACTAAAACTACAGATTGGACAAGTATAATAACCTTTCTGCGTAGGATTACCGTTAGCGAGTCTGCCCCAACAGGACCAGGGGGATACCTACCCAGCAGCAGTGACCTGGCCCGTCAAGAAACGGCCGAATTGATTGGACGCCTCGAGAATAGCTTTGTACCCAGCAATGTTGGCCATGGAACTATCAGTTACCCCTCACGGTCAGCGAGTGGTCACTATCGAAACCTCTTACGCTACGCACCTAAGGGCATCGAAAGTTTGAGCACGGGAAATCCTAGGAACCATGTCCATCGCAAACGCGGTCACACGGCGGGATGCAAGTTGGTCCACCAGCGATTTGTTCTGAGCGGGATACAGAAACGAGATGATCGTGCTGCCTTGCTGAAGAGCTTCAACTTCATTGCCAGGTTGAGGACCGCGGACTTTCAAGATGATATTACTTTGTGACCATACTGTCGCTCGGTCAACCAGAGTAGCCCCGGCTTGTTCGTAGGCTTGATCCAGGAGCTCGGCTGCCTCTCCAGCGCCGCGTTCAATCAGCACGCGCGAGAAGCCCTTTTTAAGTAACAAGGCAACATTCTGAGGGGTAATGGCGACGCGACGTTCATTTGGATATGTTTCCCGAGGTACACCGACCGTTAGGGAGGCGTATGGAACGACCGGAACTGGGGACGGAGAGGAAGAGGTGCTCGCACGTCTCTTGGCAACCTGCGGCCATCGCGGAACGGAGGGTCCTTCGTAGGCGTTACACTGGTATGGCACGTAAGGGGTCCGAATTTGTATAACTATCAAACCGAGGGGCGTATTAGCGATTACTGCTACGGGGACATTGCTGGGCAAAAATGTTCACTCACCCGAGTGTTGAAAGGCGAGAAGTGATTTTCCTGGGCGGGCGATGGAAGCCGCTCGACACGGTCCCAAGGCCGACCTCAGGGTCAAGGAAACACTCATGCTTGGTAAAGGCGAGACAGAGTGGGTAGTTGGTTATGGAAGCGAATGCGGAAAGGCCTCATTCCAGTCGAGGCCAGCTTCGTACCACCCCAGGGTCGGCAGCTAATCTTGGGTAGAGCATCAGACCCTTGATCTGAAGGGAAATGAGATAAAGCAAGTCGGAGGAGGAGGAGGAAGACAAAGGAAGCGCATACACCCCCTCCCATCTATAAGAGGGGCCGGGTAAAAGTGAGTACCTGATGAATGAAAGGATTAATTACTATTAGTCGTTCGGCAAGGCATCGACCGAGTTGTTGTCCATGAACGAACGCGCTTTCCCCCCTTTCAGCAGCCGGGCCGGTGATCACGTTTTCCAGCATTCCTGTGAATCGCCGTGTGCATTGGCATGCTTCTCTATAGGTTCGATAGAAGGAAACGGTGGTATTGGCTCATGCAACTAAAATAGATTGGGTGGACATTGAGGGGAACCCAACGCGGGGAAAGCAAGTCGATCCACGCGCCGTAACGTGGAGAAAGATGTTGTTCTTCTTGGCAGCGTTCAATATTTTCTCCACCAGGGAGATCAATTGCTCCTAGAAGTCACCTGTCATGCTTATCCTTCTGCCCGGTTGGCCACGGACAGGTCTCGTGATACTGTCCTTGTGTTTCTCGCAGGCATTGGAAGGAATACGGCATATCTTCTTGCATTGAAATAACATAAAACACAAAATAAAACAACTGGCGCAGTGAACCCTGCGGGTGTACATTTTGATTTTGATCTTACAAGTTACGAACCCACTTCAAAATCTCCATCATACAAGAGTTAGACACACAGATGTGTATTTAAACTTAGAGCCCCGGTCATAGATATCTGTAAACTTCTATACAGTCAACACAAGCGACGCTTTACAATATCCCATGGCGATAATGATGTGGTATCCCGGACGGTTTCAAGGGTTATACGGCGCCTCCCGCATCAAGTTCTGCATTCAAAATATATAATCCCCGAATCCACTACAACGGTCAGTCCACTTAGCTATCAACCAGGGTTCTTGTCCTCCTTCAATCAAATTTGACAACCACTTGGTTTCATCAGCCTCACCGCCCGGTATGTGTTGTGCGATTCATTTATACAAAACCAATGCTAACTCTTTGATAGGGGTCTACCTTTTGAGACATGGCAGTGGTTTACATAGGAACCAATAGTGTATGGTTCATTTCGCACGGGACAAGAGAAGAGGTTTACCTTAACACCAATCCAACAATCATTTCACGGTCGCGTTTAGTGAATATACTTCTCTCTCTCTGACCATGGTTGGAGACTATTACAAGTTACTCTGCCATGTTCCCTTTTATGATGAGAGTCACGTGAGACAATATGGCACATCGGTTGCCTAAGGCTGCAGTTGATCTCGATACAGACCTGTACATGCTGTACGACCATAAAAAAACAAAAACTGCTATCAGTTTCGTTTGTCTCAACAAACAACCTCAAGAGCAACAGTGACCGGACCACCGAAACGGCTCTTTGGCGGCATCGCACAGATTTCCTTACGACCAGTGGCTCGACTCCACCGACGGCGGGGCAGAGATGATGCGATGACGGCCGACATCTGGTTTGACTGTCGCCTACACAATCATCAGACTACAATACATACGTATATGCTGACATTTCAGGGTAGGACCTAGCTTGACAATTCTACCCTTTCAGACACCGGTGAAAGACGAATCACATCAGGCCATTAGCTTATTCGAACCCTACATGAATGGGCCGACCATGGCGTGGTAATCTCTCTTAAGGTTCTTTGAAGTAAGGTACAGTGCGAGACCCACTGGCCTCAAGTCCATCCACACAGCGACTCTGATTGGCATTTTCATCCCTTGGCTTCCTGAGAGTGGGAAAAGAAGGAAATTGAGCTCCAGCTGTTTTTTGACCCTCGGGCTTCCTAAATATCAACTCTTGCGGAGCAGTCATCTCCGATCGGCCTCAAGAGATCTCAATTTGCGGTTAAAGATCACCAAGCGCAGCTGATACACTTGCGCAAGAATCCCTGTCAATTTAGAGGCACTGAGACCCAAGACAACCGGGAATTTTCGCCATCTTTTCTAGTTCGCCTTAGCGCTTTTTTTTTTTTTTTTTTTTAAACGTTCTCGTGTCTTTTCCGCTCCCACGGTGGGGTCAACAGGTTCCTGACATTTTTATCTGTAAAACTCAATCGTTGGGAGGTCACAATAAACCTCGTGTTTTTTTTTTTCCCTCTTCTTTCTTTTCCTCTTCTTCTGTCCTCTCTTATTCATTCGAGTCGCAGATTTTGTGCACTTCCTGAGATAAGAGAATCCGCAGTTACTGGCCCTGCGATACTTGCTGCCATGGCGCCCGCTCAGCAGCAAGCCGATCTCCTCGTTGACCAGGATGCGCATCCAATCGTCAACGAGGAAGTCCGAAGCCAAACAGAGTCGCAGGATGATGCAGCCCTTCTGGTGCGTGTTAGAGATTGAATTGAATCTCCTATGTTTGCATTTCCCAATGCATAGAAGATTACTATCCTGATATCGCTATGGCAATTACTAACTGTATCACCAGAGAACGATGGGCTACAAGCCAGTAAGTCTTGGGTCAATTTCCATATCAGTTGTAAGCATGACCTCATAATTTCAGGTCCTTCATAGAACATATACATTTTTTGAGAACTTTGCAACCACGTTCGGTGGGTCAAAGAAACCCTATACAAAATATCCAAATGGCTAACCAACTTATTAGCTGCTCTTTACTTCGTCGGTGGTGTGCGTGTTACTTTCAGTACCGGTATTGCGGCCGGTGGTAACTTGGCCTACTGGTAAGGCTTCTGGTATTTTTCGTGAAGTACCAGTTACTCACCCAAATCAGGACGAGTTATCTAGTTACCATGGTATTCACCTATATCACTGCTGCGGTCATTGCGGAGGTATGCTCTGCCTCCCCATCTGCAGGTTCGATTTATCTGTGGGCGGCTGAGGCCGGTGGTCCTCGATTCGGCCGACTCTTCGGCTTCATCGTCGCATGGTGGAGTACTACCGCATGGACGACCTTTTGCGCCAGCAACACCCAAGCGGCCGTGAATTACATGCTCTCGGTGAGTCTTATTGATGAGAACTCGCCTACTCCAGCTGAACCCAGAATGAGCGTACTAACCAGTCTCATAGGAGCTGACGGTCTTCAATGTCGACTTCCCCACGGACACATCGAGCGTGAAGTTCCGTGCGGTGCAATGGATCTGCACGGAGATCCTGCTGGCACTGGCTGCCATCTTGAACTTCATGCCACGTATGTTCAGACGCCTAATGCAGATGCCTCTCTTAACATAAAGCATATCACTCACACCCCAACAGCCAAATACTTCCGCTATGTGTTCTGGTTCTCATCCCTGGTCGTGTTGCTCGATTTCATCCTAAACATCATCTGGCTCCCCATTGGAGCACACAACACCTGGGGTTTCCGAACCGCCGAAGAAGCTTTCATGTCGACCTACAACGGCACCGGCGCCCCGCCAGGCTGGAACTGGTGTCTGTCCTATCTCGCCACAGCTGGTATCCTGATCGGATTCGACGCATCCGGCCACGTCGCTGAGGAGACCAAAAACGCCTCCATAACCGCCGCGCGAGGCATCTTCTGGAGTACAGTAGTGAGTGGAATCGGAGGTCTGGCCACCATCATCCTGTTCCTCTTCTGCGCGGTAAGTCCAGCACACTCGCACACTCTGCAAAACACATTGAACATCCACCCAACTCACACACCCCATAGCCCGACCCAGACACCCTCTTCTCATTCGGCTCTCCGCAACCATTTGTCCCCCTCTACGCGGTCGTCCTCGGTGAAGGCGGCCACATCTTCATGAATATCATTTGCATCGTCGCCCTGTGGCTCGTAAGTCAAACCCCCTACTACAGTACCCCACTGATCACACCTCACCCACCTAACTAAACCTCCAAAAAAAGAACACCGCAATCGCAATCGTAGCCGCCTCGCGTCTCGTCTTCGCCGTAGCCCGCGACGGCGTCCTCCCCTTCTCATCATGGGTCTCGAAAGTCCACAACGGCCAGCCCCGCAACGCCGTAATCGTCGTCTGGGCCGTAGGAGCCCTCATCACCTGCACCCTCCTCCCCTCCGACGTGGCATTCACCTCGCTTGTCTCCGCCGCCGGTGTCCCCAGCGCAGCCGCCTACGGGCTCATTTGTCTCGCTCGTCTCATCTGCACCCCGAAGCGCTTTCCAAAGCCCCAATGGAGTCTCGGGAAGTGGAGCAAGCCGTTCCAGTTCATCGGCGTATTCTGGAATGGATGGGTTGTTGCCGTTCTCTTTTCGCCGTATGCGTTCCCCGTTACGGGGGCAAATCTGAATTGTATGTTCCTCTAGTTTTTTTTTTCTTTTCATTGTGGTTTTTGATGTGTGGTTGAGATTGTGGGGGTGGTTTGTGAACGGTTGACTAATTTTTGTGTGCAGATGCTCCGATTATCATGGCTGGTGTTACTATCTTTGCGATTATTTCGTACTTTGTTATGCCGGAGGAGGCGTGGTTGCCTCGGAACCGGATCTCGCATTTCATTGATAGCAAAGGCGCCCAGGCGACTGTGGAGGAGGTGGAGCGGCCTTCGGGCGAAGATCAAGGGACCAGTAGTGCCCGGCTATGATGTGACTTATTTTGATCACGGACAGGTTGTGTCCGGCACTCGGTGAGCGGTGTTAATAAATTCAAAAAGGGGCCAGTGATAGACTTTGATGGTTGATTAGAGTGTATATTATAGCGTTGAGGTCTTTGTTATAGATCATAGCATTCCGCATAATCATGCTAGCATCGTGGTTTGCACATTGATTCTTTTGTAATTTAATTGCGATATGCCAATAGTTGGTCGATCAATCGCCGGGTCATCTATGTCTATTTTGTAGAAAACGCCCCAAGTCTATACACCGTTATGTTCCAGGTTTAATGTAATTCCATGTTAGAGGCACCTGCAAATGAGCAAGGCTAGATTATCCAGGAGCGAGGTAGCCCCCCGCAGGATGATCCCAACATTATTAATATTTCCACGAATCAGAATCATAGGGTCCGGCCCTGTTTGATGGCTGTCCGTGCCCTAACGCCAGATTCATCCCATAATCAGAACGCAGATTCCCGACCGTCGCTAATTAAAATCAAAGATTGCGAAGATAGTACCCTCAGCCAAGCGAGGGAGGTGGTATGGGTAGCAGACGATACCCATCGTCTTCTGTAGCTGGTGCTCAGACTGCGCCAGATGGATCAAAGCCTCGTTGGTCGTATCGAGTGCTTTTATGCGAGATTACGGAAGGAGAATCGAAGACCGAACGTCCTCCATCCTGTCTATCCACCCCTCCGGGAATGCGCGCTGCTTGAACCAGGCCTTCTCCAGTTCTTCAAGGCCCTTTTCAACGTTCTGTGGAGAAACAATTAGTATTCATGTCACTTGGTGCTGGGGGATCGTTGCGTCGTACCTTGAATCCAAACCGTTGTAGATTAATCATGGTTTCCCGCACGAATTTCTGCTCACGCTCATTACGAGTCTCACGTCCTGCGATAAACAAAGGCCACAGAACTGCCAGCTGGCCAACGTCTTTGGCAAGTTTTCCAATCAGATTTAAGATTCGCGACGCAAGCATGTCTAGAAGGGCTCGTTGGGGAACACGGTCTGGGCGGTCTGCTGCTGCGACCTTGTGCAAGTAGAGAACGGTCGCCTTTTCGTACGACTCAATACAGCCAGCATATTCCAAGACCTGTGGGTAGGGATATTGTTTCAGGCTCTCCTCATCGAGTTCACCCACTTCTTGGATGCACTTGGGAGCATTGAGCCGCCATTGGACTAGGCGTCCCATCAGATCCTGGTACAACAAGTCTTGCTGATCAGGGGGCATCTGCCCCTCGCTTTTTGCCTTCCCGAAAGAACTAATGGCCGCTTGAATCTCCATCATCTGAGACCAACACTGGCGAAGTTCCACCAGAAGGGGATTCTCAGCGGATGCATCCGTCGACAAACTTGGGATACCCAGGTTATATTCCCAGCCGCCACCATGCGTTCTCCAGTAGCTGCCCTCAACTACAGTCCCTTCGCTAGTGGCACAAGCGCCTGCGACGTCAAGGTAAGAAAGGAGAGAAACGAGAAAATGTCGAAGGGGATGGTTCATTTCGGCTTGGCGTTGCGCCTCTTTGGCCGGGTCACTATTGGGGAGGAAGAGTAGACGATATATCTCACGAGCACCTTTCAGATGAATGTTCCAGTTATGGTTTTGGGAATCCATCATCTACCCAAGTCAGCTTTGATTCCGAGCGCCATCGCCATGTGCCCCTTGAAAGGCTATTTTCAGATGCCGGGCCAAGAGAAACTGAGAAGCGACTTACTTCGAAAAGAGAGAGTAATAAACAAGTGGCGAGGTCTGTTAATTGCAGATTCTGGTCGGGCTGCGTATATCGAGTACGGAAAGACTTGACCACCTCTCCATATTTGCCCATGGCCCGTTGAAAGTGTAGATTTCGTTGTTGACCTCTAGAAGTGTTTGCGAGATGTAATGCTCCCAGTGCCTGCATAGCGTTGGCCATGGTTGGTGATGCCCGGGCCAGTTCGGGAAAATATCGTCTGTAAGGGTTGATGTTGATTGAGTTATCGTAAATCAGTAGCAAGGTTGCCACACTGTCGATAAAATGAGTATAATAGCGACCGTCCACGCAGTCTAATGAAGACGACATGAATACGGCTGGCGAGATGGGTTCCTGGAATCGATATTTTATCGGCTTCGATTCCGGGATAGTGGTTGGGGATACTACTAGCGCATCGTAGGACTCGTCCTCTTCGCCGGGTTCAATTTTGATCAATTTATTGCCATCGGTGGGATCCAGGACATGCGAGATAGGCTTCTTTGCCTCTCGTTTCTTTGGTGGTGAGCACGAAGACTCCGGCGTTTGAGGTGGGCCATAGACCTTGAAGGTCATTCGCCCCTGTGTGCCATCACATTCTAGACCCAAGCGAGTACAATTCTTGCACGACGGTGAAGCCTCGTCGCAGCGAACATGACGTCGACGGCATGTCGAACAGCCGGTAAAACCCCGGTGATGCCATCGGCGAACCCGCTTTCGTTTCTCAGGTGCGGGCGCGGATTGCGGGGTTGCTGAAGGAGGCTTTGCCTGTGCGCAGACGACCGTTTGGATCTCCATGAGGTGAGATGGGATTTGTATAGAACAAACCGTGAGGTTGAGACATAAAGGCGAACGAGAGAATTAGGTCTAGCCTGAGCGAGGGATAGCCAGACGATAAGGAATACGGAATCAACACCACATTGACGGGAAGAACATTGGGGAGGGTGGGAGATGAGACGTAAATATGTCGGAGGAAGAATGGGACGAAACCGAGAGTGAGTTGGAGGATATACTAAAGTGTGTGATGATAAGAATAGTAGTAGTAGTAGTAGCAGGAGTACTTGTTGTAATAGTCGAGGTCGTAGTTGAAGAGGCAAAATGAAAAGTTAACTTTCGTCAGAGACTCTTTTTCAAAATTACCTTTAAATTGCAATTTAATTAAATTGGGAACTCATTGGAACCTTCCAAAAACAGGCGAAGAGACTCAATCATTGGTTCCAGTGGGGTCTTTTGCAGCGTTTGATTGGTTTGACCCCGTTTGGATTTGCGGGCGACCGAAAATCCTGGAGGTGAGAATTTAGCAAAAAAAAAAAAAAAAAGAGAATGTCACGTTTCTTGTCTCCTCAACGCTTCAAATTTCCCACTCTTGGACTTTCTTGAGACATGGGGTCCGAAATATGCAATCTATCCTCGTTCTCCGTTTCTCCCTTCAACTTCAACTTCAACCACCCTCTCTTGTCTCAATTTCTCACATGCAGATGGATCATCCACACCATTCGAATTCTAAAACCCACCCCCCACGACTCGAAAGCGGAGTAACAAGAAATGCGACCAAAATGTCTGTGTGTCGGTGGTGTGGTCATATTGTGGTGTGTGGTGGATGCTTCCTCCGCCCAGAGTCTTTGGCCCAAAAATCTCCCACGACTGCTGATCGACCCTAGTGGTTGATCATATTGTTCCCTAGTACTGCTGCTTTACGGAGTACATGATTCCCAATCCCGCGATCACTGCAGTCGTTAGCTGCAGGCAACTGTCTCCAGTGTTAGTGGGAGAAATAACCTTTCATCTGCAGGTGAAAAAAAAAATACCTCATCGTGTCTGCCCAATGGAACGGCCGGTTACTCTGGTTCTGTGACTTCATCCGTGACTGCATAGTCTGGGCCACTGTTTCTCGGGTCCCCACAGGATCCACTTGCCACGATTCCAACCGATAGTGCTGCTGGCCTATAATTTGGTGATCATCCCAGAGCTAAGGATTTGGTTTCCCCTGGCCAGTAGCGATCATGGTCATGGGGAGAAGCCGAGGGTGTGGTCTCCCAAAGGATTCACGCCGAGAAGCGAACTAATGCTGGCTATCACTAGCGCCAAGTACTGGATACATCCACTTTACTAAAACGAGTTGTCACCTCGTGCCATTTCATTCGAGAATCCCTAGACCCGCCTCCCGCGTGGCCTTGCCTTGATCGCTACAACTGAACAATGGCATTTATCCCTGTTAGTACATTTCGAAATGGGAAAAGATAGCAATATCTCTTGCAGTCAAAACTCCGATCGACGCGCATAATCTTTCTGTAATATGTGACTGGGTCCCTGGCTGCAGTCGAAATCGCCCGCGTTAGTCCGCCGCTCTTAATAATCAGACTATCTAGATGAATATTATCCGTGACCGAAGGACTGCTATAGGCATCCATGCAATTTTGATGCTTGCAGAACGATCGAGTTCAACCTGCCTAGCCTTTTGCTAAATAAAATCTAGCGGCATTCGAGAACCATCTTCCACACAAGCCGCGGTTACATTGGGCGGGTTCCGCGGTACCACACCTACGCGAGGGAGTTTTCCTCCGGTTGCCTCCTAGTGATTTTAGACCTGGAATGCCAAGAGCGAGCATTCAACTCTATCATGCAGGTAGACAGTCATCCGTCCTTGGTACCGTCGGGGGCTCCCACCGGCACCGGCTTTCGTTCGATGGCTCAAACTGAGGATCGACCAGATCCCGAACCCTTTGGGCATAGCACGGATTGTTTCACTTTTCATACAAATGAAGTGGGACGATAAAAAGGATAAGATTTGGCTATGCCATACGTATGTCAGAGGCTTTGTAACTTTAATTATCCAGAGTCCCTGAGAACGTGAGCGAGATTCGAAGATTAACAATCAAGACGTTGTCACTTGCGACGGTACGGAGGACTGCTGATCCTGCGGCCCGCTGCTGACCGTCAAGGCTTCGGTGAGCGTCGCTAACTTTGACCCAATCCGTGGAACTCCTGCTTTCGTTGGCCAATAGTCAAGTCATTTGGCAATCATTGCGTCAGGGTCGGTTCATGTCTATAATTCACTCCTATTATTTCCCACTATACCACGATCGACGGTATTTGCATTTACTCGGCAGATGGCCACATCTGGGCCCATGCACACCCAACTTGCGGTATCGTGAACTCCGCCGTGCCGTAATATCGCACGACCTTGATGGTCAGGATCATCACAATAGAGACTCAGTCTCCGCTCCAAGATCCCAGAAATATGGATCAACGAAGGTTAAAAATCCATCAGCCACTCTTGGCTAGGTTCATCATTCACGAACCAGGTCCCCTTCTCTGCCAGAGGCGTTGATCGCCTGGGCCATCCCGCGGGCGGTCATGCTTTCAGTTCCGAAAATCCTCCGCCGACCCTGCAATATTAAGGTATACGTTGTAAAGAATATAGGATGTCGTTTATAGCTCACATGCTCTGGGCTACCTTCGCATATGATAGATTCCAATCTTCCAGAAATGGTTTTCCGCCGCGCGAATCATATACTAGTGGCTCATCCCCTGCACCTTTCGGAGACTGTCCGTACGAATATGCGAGATCATCGTGGGTCACAGCAACAACACTTAAATAGGCTTTCACAATTTGGGTCTGTGAAGGCTGATTACAAACAAAATCGATCTAATCTAACTACCATAATTTCGGCGAAAAGGGTGTCTGCCCATCCTCAACCCAAAACAGTATCAGGAGGGGACAGAACCAAGAGCGCACAAGCCACCGGAAAAGGGGGCATGCGCTTATCTATGCTCTTCGGGGAAGTACTATCCCAGAACCAAACTACAACTTCCCCGAGTGTCAGCCGACTCCACTATTTTCCGGAAGATCCTGGAGTCTGGAGGATTATTATGTTTCCTCACGTGCTCCACAGGACCCTATTCCAGCGGAGTTACCATTTCCATGCTGCTGGAAGAACAATTCCACTGGAAGATCTTCCTCAAGTGGTTTGGAACGGCTGATACTGATCCTGGACCAAATCCCGTTCCCATGCCATCGATACATGCGTCGCCCTTCCACCAGCGAACGTTGGGATGTGAACTGATCAATTATGCTTCCATTACGTATGTCCACGTATACCGTTCCCTAATTTACTATGTTTATCACACCTCTTTAGGACGGTCTCAACCGTCTATTATCCTATTACCCGCCAACAAAGAACACAAGTTATCCACCAAGCCACAAAGCTATTGAAACATGAAAATGGCTCTATTCTCTCATCATCGAATTTCGGCAGCCATCGGACAATATCGGAGATGACCACAAAGGACAATAAGGTTACGACTTTTAATGAATGGAACCACGGACCACCATGCTCCGTGAGAAGGTAAATGGAGCTGACATGAATGGCTTCAGTTGAAAAAGAAAAGCTTACCCTCCCAACAACCCCACGGACTAACGGCACCGGTGCAAAACAAGAGGTCTGAGAGCTGAACCACTCTTTACCGGACCATGGCTACGGATGAGATGAGATAAGATTAGTCCTCTGCAAGCATCCACTCAGTACATTTTTGACTTGAGTCTAATGAATCATTTGTACGGAGTAAGGTAACTACAAACCGTACGGTAGGAGAAAGAACCGGGGATAGCCTCGGGTTTGTGCATACGCATCGCATACCCGGTGATTGACCTCGGAAGAGGTCCGCGGGTATTATATTCGGATATTATGCGTCCCAATCCGTTGAGCTGACAGGGATTTTGAAAGAGTCCAGTTCTCTACGGTGATTGTTGAGTTGGATATATTATCTTATAGTGCTCGACTAGTTGCTAATTGGTACAGTTGATCAAGTGGGTGGTGCTGATAGTTATTTATAGCTACTGGCTTATAGGGATGTGCATACCTTTTAGATAAATCAGGTAATAGTAATTTTCACCAATAGAAACTATCGTTCGTGTTCTTTTGTCTTGGCCATACTACCACAGCATCTCATAAGGGAGAAGGAAATGAGAGAGAAATATTAAGGCCACCCGTAAACATGTACGACAAACTCCTCCCTCTAAGAAACGAAATAAACAGAATGGAGAAAGAAAGAAATACCACAAAACAGAAAACAAGGGAAGGAAAGAAACCCTCTCAGGGACCAACCTGAAGCATCCTCGTAGCAGACCGAATCAACCCCCCCATCGCAGCTAGAACTAAAGTAAACACCGCAACCCAACCAGTCCTACTGGCTCAGTTTCCTCCTGTCCAGAATCCACTGCTTGACTATCATCGGGTCCGTCCAGTCTTCTTCATCTTTTAGCTCAAGTAGTTGCCGTCCCTAGTAAGGGCCACTCTTGATATTCTGGTTCGCCGAAGGGAGAAGCCCGGCCTTCCAGGTCGATCTCTTCTTGTTTTCGGGATTTACAGATTCACCTGGCACAGCTGATATTGCAAGTGGGGGAAGAGGCAGAGGGTCTCGGCGGCCTCTGTGAGGAGGTTTCGGGGTTGACTGGACTTCAACTTTTCCCAATGTGCGTGGTTTAGGTGAAGGTTATTTAGATTAGTGAACGTGGAGGGATAAGGAAGTTTGACATCCTGGTCTAGGCCACCTGGGCCATGACGAAGAAAGGGTGTAAGGTGCATATCTTTGGCTCCTTTTGTGATTCGCTAATCATGAGTGGAGGTGCTCTTGGAGGTGCGTGTGGAGTGTTGTTGGCCGTTAAAAATGTACGATGGATGGACTTCTTCAGTGTTCGAGCTGACTTCAGTTGTCAATGGGGACTATCAACCCAATATCTACTTGGATGGTATACATAAAGGAGCAGTCGACGGCTTGATGAAGACATTTGATAGATCGAATCGTAGCGGTTTAGCAGATACGAGGAGAATAATTGCAGCTGGGGCCGACTCCGAAGACACCGTCTTCCTTACGGAATATCATCGGATATCGCTGTGCGACTTCCTCCGATGATGCGTCTTCCTACCCTGGACAGCCCTGAGATAAGCCTGCAACATTCTGTGTAGAAGTACATCTCTTAATCTATATGGGACACATTGTTCTCCACATTATTCTTGGTACTTTAGAGTCACATTTTGTCACTAAATCTGTCTATTCTACTTATCCGTCTCTTGCCGATGAGAACACTCTGAAGGCCGTATGAGCACTCCCACAGATGCGCGTTCTACGCACCCAAGCCAGTGCATGTTTCTCCCTGAGCCAAAGTCTTGATCCCTACTGAACGTCCCATCCCTTGAATATTAATGTACTTCCACTGTTGCCCGTGAAGGGTCGGTGACAGGCTTGAAAACCTTTTGGCTTTTCCTCCCAAAACGTTCTCTAGTCGTCTCGAACAATGGGGCACGAGGAAATGACTTGGGTATATATATATATATATATATATACCCAAGTCATTTCCTCGTAACTACACCCATTCTTCTATATCTTTGTAAACATATGATACGTACAAGAACGAAGAAGCTATATATTTCTTCAAATTTGAGAATATTGTAGATAGACTACAAGTTAAGATCTGTGGAGAACGAATTCAACGACATAATTCTATTTTGACCATGATGTAGATATTGTCTACCCGGTGGCGGACTAAATCGACAAAACGGTCACAAGGATACATTTCTTTTTTTAACCACGCAACCATTTTTATTCCCATGAAGTGCTGTTGATATACTGCAGGCTTAAATTGCTCATGGTTCAATCGATCTGGTTGCGGTTCGACTTTGAATGATGTGATTTCACATCTTTAGATGTTCTGCATAGCGCCTCAGTGTTTGAGGGTATCATGTGCCTGTTAGTTATGATCCGTAGGAGGGTTCGTTTGGACCCATGCGTATCCTACATCTTCCAATGATGCTTCTCAATGCAAAATCTGCGCGTTGAAGACAGCAATTCGCAAGGTCTGTGGAAATTCAATATCTTGGCCACCGTAGCGCAGGTGCTAGGAATACGTTGAACTATCTCTATCTCGATACATAGGCTACGTGACTAGCGTGGAAGCAAGCTAGCCCTAGATCGAAATGCCCCGTGAGCGGTAGTGGATGCTGTTGAGCAAGTTTAACCATGCTATTGCATAGGATCTTCAGGTATAGACCCGTTCCTTATGGCGGCCCAACTACTTGCTACGTATTTAACATTAATCACCTGTGATCGAGCTGAGCGAGCTCTACTTTAGGCTATGCCATGCAGATCTGACTTCCATATCACAGATGCCGTTAGTAATTTGGTTCCAAGTATACATGTACCTGTTGGCTCTTTTGCATCAATTTTTCTCGTCTCTGCTGTTCAAAGGTACTAGATTTGAAGAGTAAATAGAAAGCCTCTCAACCCTCCTCCGTGCACTCATCACATTCTCAATATATAGCATAATAATCATTACTATACCGAACCCTCTAAGCCCTACCTTAGTAATGCATGGTCACCTTTGACTGGGCTGACTAGACAGGGAAGCCCATCAATATCAACACATCGCAACAACTCACTCCATCCTAATAACCAGCTCCGGATAAATATCCTCGTTATTTCCATTCCCCCAACCCGCGCTGCATAGTCGGCCTCTCCGCGAGACGATCCACCCACTGCCCCAGATAAAGTAAAGCCAAAACCTCATCCTCTAAGAACCCAATAGACCGATACGTCCAAATCCAAGCCCACGCATTGATATCAACGATACTATACTTCCCCGTCGCGGGTGCGGCGAGGTACTCCCGCGCGTTGCCTCTATGTTTTACTGACAGACTCACCTCTAGAACCTGGTAAAATGCGGAGAACCTCGTCTCTAAAGCGGGTCGTTGCATGGAGAGGAAGAATCTCAGTACTATTTTACACCTAAAACTAGGTTAGGAGGATATAATATAAACATGCGAGGATCAGGCGTATGTCTCCGGAAATAATTATATTGTCCCTGGATTGGTTTGTTCTGATGCATGCCAGAAGATCAACCATTGATAGGCTTCGCTTTGTTCGGTTGGGTCCGAGGACCAGAACTGGTTGTTCTGGTCGACGCTGGAGAAGAGGTAGAGCAGTTCTGTCGAGGATTCCATAACCAGGCGCGATGGGTTCCTGGTGTTGTCTCTTAGGATGGGGTTAGTTGGTTGTCGTTTGGCTTTTTCTAGAGCAGTAGATGAGTTAGATACTTTGGATTGAGTTGGAGGAACCATGCCTTTTTCTGTTCCTTTGTGCCTAGGTTCAATGAGACTGGTTGTCTAGTCGAGGCCGTAGATATCCTTGAGTTCTTCTAGAAAGACGTGGACTTTTCGTCCGTTTGGGGTTAAGGAGGTTATTAGGTGAATGACCTTTGCTCATGAGTTATTTTGCATTGTGAGGAAACTATTAGAGGAAATCGATTGCGAATATTTGGTGACTTACCTTGGCCTTTTTTGACGGGATCGGGGTTTTGTCGGCGTAGAAAGAAGACATTGTTTAAGCGGTCTCGGCCAACGCTTCGATAAAGCTGTTATTCGTTCGTTGGCAAGGCGGGGAATGAAAAGAACCATTATAAGACAGGTAAATCAACACTTATCCTCGCTATCTTGAAGCCGACGCGATGATTTACTCTAGTGGCGTCATTATACACCGGAGTAGAACGAGGTTACATCTCGACTCTACAGTGTGACGTTAGCATCGTGCCCTACATACGAAATTCGTTATAGGATATAAGACAAAGTGCCAGGGTAGCTCATGGCATTATCTGGCGTAAATTAAGATTCATCCCGTATAGCCTATATAAGATTCCACCCATCTATATTGAAGTGTCATGTCGTAAAGATCGTATGAAGTTCAATCAAAACCTCGTCATCGTGGCCCTAGTTGACTTGCGGACGGCAAGCCTTAGGCAATTCCAATAATGCCTGGTAAGAGAGCGTCATAAAGGTCGGACCCTAATGCCCCAGTTACGGGACAGAAGAAAGCGCAGATAGTAGCGACTGGACAGCCAGTGTGGCCAGCTAAATATTAAAGGTCTCGGAGGGGGCTGCTTCCCTATAGCCCGCAGGAGATCACTCAAGTTTAGATTGTACGCAAAAAACACCTATATCAGACCATATAGCCTAGGGCTTTCATTCAATCCGTGGCGCCTCGTGAACTCCCTCTGTTGCGGATTTGTTGCCAGTTTCAGCACCCTTGGCCAATTCGGTAGGCTCAGAGCTGTCGGATCTCGCGGCCAGGTCCCGCTCGAGCTGGGCCTTCTCCTCGTCGGTTGCATCAGTGACGTGAACAGCAACCTCTTCTCCAAAGTTCTTTGCAATTTCCTCGAGTGTCAACCGCGCAGTCTCGGGGAAGAAGTAATAGATCACTGTGTAAATGTAAGCGAGAGCGGGGGAGGCTGACGGGCATGATGACCTACCTGGAATGAAAACAGCTGACCAGCAGATGATGACCAGATAGTATTTCCAACCAGCATTGTTGAAGCCCATAGGGGCAGTCTGTAGCAAAATGAGGGTGGCTATGACCGGTTAGTCAATTGCACAATTCACAAGCACGTATGTAGGCTATCTAAACGCACCAGCAAACTGTCCAAAAAGCGAGAAACCCATGCCAATTGGACGGATTTCGGTCGGAAAAATCTCAGAGACGTAGAGATACATGGTTGTATCGCAGAAGGTTCTGTAAGAGATAAGTAGTTGTTCGATATAACGATCAAAGTACTGGCTGGTACTAACCCCTGGAAAGCCAAATAGAGGTAAATAAAGAAGATTCCAAATCCGTTTCCAACCCTATTCGTGGTACCTGCATATTCGGAGGTCATAGCAGCCAAGCATGAGGTGGAGATGATAATGCCAACAAAGCCGGTGATATACATGCCACGCCGTGAGTTGACCTTGTCATGAAGCCAGGCGCCAAGGGGGTTGTATATAACACCTGGATATACTGTTAGCGCACATCCTTCAAGCACAACCATACCCTCTTACCAGCTGTGGTTAGCCAAACAGCACTGAGCAGCAAAGGCATGCCCCCGGTCATGCCAAGGTTGGTGTATAGAAGGACAGCATAATTGTTCTACGCAGGTCAGTACATCCAGCACAACCTTGGCCTCTGAAAGCTTGATACTCACAATGATCAATGGCCCACCAAATTCAGCGCCCCATTGCGTGAGGAAGCCAATTGCCATACGCTTTCTGTATGACTTCTTTCGTAAAACTGCGTTCCACACATTGCCATAAGTGGATAGCCTCTCTGCTTCAAGGCGGATCTGCTCCGCCGTCTGGAAATATTCCTCCTTAGCAACCAGATTGTCGGGGTCATCCGGTGACTGGCGAAGCTTCTGAAGCACAATCTTAGCTTCCTCATGCTTCCCTTTGGCAATAAGCCATCGAGGGGAGCGAGGGAGCCATGGTGATCCGAAAAGCAGCACGAGTGCTGGCAGGCATTGGAGACACAGGGGAAACCTCCAGCCGAAACTGCCCAATGTTCCTTCAGCGAAGTAGCATGCATAACCGACCCAGCCAGCAAGCATGTAACCGAAAACCAGGAAGATCGCATGATGACCGACCAGCCAACCACGACGGAAAGCACTCGACATCTCGGACAAATACATGGGACAAACAGTCACGAGGATACCGATTCCAAGACCGCACACAAACCGACCGGCTTGGAACATCCTGAAAGCCCGTTAGGAGCTCGTCTCTGGGGAAATAAAAAGAACTATGACGCAATACATACTTGAGAGAGTTGGCGCCTCCTTGAAGCGCCCCTCCAAACATCGAAAAGAAAGCACCCAGCTGAATATTAACCTTTCGACCAAAGTAATCGCAAGACCACATTATGAATAGTGTGCCAACAGCACCTCCCGCACTGAAGACGCCATTGGCGGTGGAAATGGCTGGTGTCGTAATCGAAGCATACCCCGGTTCACCCTCTTGTGGAAGATCGAAGTAGGTATACCACCCTGGTTGACCGATCGTACTGGAGATGATCGAGGAGCAATAACCATAGGTCTATAACGGGGCCAATTAGAATCCATCGCATTGCCAGGCAGGCATCCAGTGAGGCAATGCTTACCATTGAACCAACAGCGACGAAAATAGCGACCAGTTTGTTATAAGTGCTGGTCTGGGACCCGAACGTACCCATGATGGACAGGTCGCTTTTCCCTTGCAGGGATTTGCACTGGAGCCGAGTTGGAATTGTTTCAAGGAGTAGAACAAAATATGATAGAACAAATGCGATACGGAATTTGACAGGTCAATTCATATGACCAAGGGCTCTTCACTACACAAACTCCGTACGTACAAATGTTTGTGTCCCTTCAAGGAGCTCCAGGAAGGAAGAAGAAAATTTGTCGAGATAGAACTGCGAGCTACCGTGAACTAGCTTCACAGAGGATCAACACACCAGCTTCGAGACTGAAATTTTCGACCACCACTGCAGTAGTTAGTACAACGAGAGGAGAACAGCTTTCGCCGCTACCCACTCCTTTATTGCATTAGTCTCCAAAAACTAAGAACTCATGGCGGAAAAGCTGCAAGGCCACTATTCAGTGCTAGTAGGACGCATGGCATGGTGTGCATTGGTGAGGGTGGACCGCGGAGAATGTTTGGGGTCCACCTTCTGTCAAAATCTCGAGCCTGAGAGGTACGATTTCTGAATTAGGTGCTTGCTGCATGATGAGTCCGGCACTAAACCTTGAGATGGTGTGTGGGACATTTTCCTCGTCGCCTCGTGTATTTTGATAGTCTAAGTAGGGATTCGAGGCGTCAGCGGCAGAAAACCACTAAACTGTGTTCGGGAAGACCATCGCCCGTGACTTTCTTTTTTCTTTTTTTTTTTTTACTAAATATTGGGTCCTCCTTTTTTTTTTTTCTTTTTTTCTTTTTCTTTTTTTTTTTTTTTTTTTTCTTTTTTCTTTTTTTTTTTTTTTTTTCTTTTCTTTTAATTAATTTGTGTCTCTGAAATCTCCTCCACCTTCCCAATACTCTCACATTCTATGACTACAATTAAATGGAATGATTCCTTTGGGCCGTCGACACTGACCTCTATGCCCATGCCACCAGTGCACTTGGGACCACAGACTTGAAAACGATTATTTACCTCGTCAGCGTCCCCATAGACTGGACGTACTTGTTCTGAGTCCTCCGTCCTCCGTACGAGTTCCGGCCAATTTATGCCGGGGACGAAGGAGGGAGGCTAGTTGCCGATTACCGCAGTGATTGGCATGATCCCTTACCTCGCCATTCGCTCATTCTGGTGCATGACTATGCAAATCCCATACCGTTTGGTTGCCCTTAAAACTTGGTATGACCGGGTTTAAACCTACTCACCCAATTGGCAAATCCCGTCCCAGATGGTTGGTTATCATTTCCTCCTACGAAATTCGGTACACGTCTGTGCTCTCTTAAAAAATCCACACACGTTCCATATGCTCCACTTGATGCTTGCACGTTGCAAAAGTACGTTGACCGGCTTGTGCCATACCGTTAACTGGGTCCCCGTGTGGCCCTAAGCATTTTTATTCGAAGCTGTCGCCTGCTCCCCGCCAGACGCCGTCCCACCATGATATTTGCGCCCCTCCAAAATTCATTTAACTCAATGATTTGGTGGCCAAGTGGGTGTCGAATGCACGCATTGAGTTGAAGAAAGCTGACAGCAAATTTTAAAACTTGATAACCCTACCGCATCACCGCTGACCTGCTACATGTAAAACGGACCTGTCACGCTATTTCCTGTTATCTTCTTCCTTTTCTGAAATATACCTTGCCGCGTACTTCAGTTCGCTTCTTTACAAGTAGATTGGATCGCTGTTTGAAAAAAAAAAATCATGGGCAGCATCTCCCCCTTCGATATCCCTTTTGACGAGCTTGCCAACCCCAAACAAGTGTGGGTGGGAAAGCCTGGTAGTTATGAAGAAGGGCTTGGGAAGTTAGCCATTCTGACCCCTGAAGTGGTGGCTAAAGCCGCTTCGACCGAAATCAAAACTGGTCAGAGAGTTACCATGGGGTGGGATTTAACCAAGTTGAACTATCCTAACCTAAACCGTCAGCCATGCCAGCACAAGATTGTCCCTCTTCTGGGTGGAGTGGCCTATGATGATATTTACACCATGAATCCTCGTGGGTTTTCACATGTACCTGAAACGTGGTAGCGGTCACATCTAATAGCCCGAGCATCTAGAACAAAGTAGTCAGTGGGATGGGCTGCGACACTTCTCTCAAACTGTCCCTGGCCAGACGGAGCGTGTGTTCTACGGCGGTGTGACATCGGAGGAGATCAATGACCGTAGCAATGATCGAATTGGTATGCAGCACTGGGCGCGGGAAGGTATTGCAGGTATGGATCTTCTCATGGACCCTTGATGCTTTCTCCTGCACCCTCTCCGAGAGTATGAGCCTCATTCTGTGGTCATAGGTCGCGGGGTATTAATTGACTACGCCGCATGGGCGGAGAAGAAGGGAATCACATACAGCACCTTTTCCACTCATCAGGTGCGACTATCAGACATCCAGGAAATTGCGAAGGAGTGCAACATCACGTTCCAGAAGGGCGATATCCTGTTTGTTCGTGTGGGAGTAACCAGGGAATGGGACACCGTGATGACGGATGAGCAAAAGAAGCAATACTCGGACAACCCGAGCCCGGAACACGCTGGAGTCGAAGCCACGACAGACATGCTCCGCTGGCTTTGGGACTCTGGGTTTGCAGCGATTGCCAGCGACGCTATTAGCTGGGAGGTACGAAAAGTTCCCGCGGGACGCATGTTTCGAGACCGCCGGCACTAATATAGTTGTGATAGGTCTATCCACCCCAGTCTGATGTGTTCCTGCATGAATATGTACTCGCAGGATGGGGAATGCCAATCGGTAAGTTGAAAGTCTGAGCGGCTTTGGGAAACCGTTGATGGATCGACTCTAATTCATGTGATAGGCGAACTCTTTGACCTCGAGGCATTGGCACGCATCTGCCAGGATCTCCAACGATGGAGCTTCTTTGTGTCGTCTGTGCCGTTGAACATGCCCGGTGGCGTGTCATCGCCACCGAACATCATGGCTATCTTCTAGATGCATCACCTCTGCCGAGATTGGGTCCAGGCTCCGCAAAAGGACCATCTGCAACATCCTGGATCGTGCATATGTAGCGCATCTTACTACGGAGAATTAATAGCACGTATTATAGCAACGGTCACCAAGAAGAACAAAAAAGAACAAGATAGGAGTGAAAGAGACCACGTTTTCAAAGGTTTAGGGTAGCAAGGATCGATCGCCTTGCTATGTCTATGTCAAAGTGCATTACTACTGGCCCAAGTCCTCCCCATTGTATGCTTCATGAGAAATCTTTGTTGGAAGTGTTGCCTCTAGACAATTGAGCGTGCAGCATCCACATGGTTGCAGGACACACATCCACACTACCCCTGTAGGGAAAGATATCAGGGGGGTCCAATTTGCCTGAAACTAGTCAAGTCCTGTCCTATCAAGCTCCGAATTACTATGACTAATGCAGCTGGGCAGGGTTAACTATCAGATGGTCGAGCTGCATACGGAGATTTCCCGAAAATTAATATAATAATATCATATCATGCCAGTCCCCGTGCTTGGCTCTTGTCATAAGACAACGGACTTCGGTTAATCGGGAATGCGACGAACTCGCTCAGGATGAAGAAAGAATCCTTTGCCAGTCCCTCAGGTGCATCCATTTTGTAGGGCCACCCCGACATATCATTACTCGGTAGGGTTTAGTTTTCACGGGTTACAGCCGATTAGCGCCTCCACTTCGGGCGGGAAGTGGATTCCGTTACGGTTCCAAAGAACCTAAAAGCCGGTAGTCAATGGAGCGTTTTAGGTAACATTTGACTCCTGACGCTTGGGACACGGACACCGAGAAAGGTCCGACCTGCGCCGTGGTTCATCTTCGTTATTCGCTCACGGACCCGCCTCTCCTTCCACCCAAATCTCGACACTCTTCTATTTGGCTAGCAGAAAAAGCTTTCAGGCTAACGGTTCTCTGCCAGGATGTCTTGGAACTCTTGGCTGTCTCCATGTCAGGTTCGACCTTCTGTCAGACTTGATTTGGATCACCTAGGAAAAGCAACAACCGGCAGTCCTCCCCCATCAGGACGGCTAAAGTCCACCAGTCCGGCCCTATGGGAGTGAAATCTTTAGAGGGTTCGTTACGATACCTCTATTCTGGATTGGATCTGCATGCCTTGGCCGCATATTCTCGTGCCAATCATATATCGAGATCATGCAAAGCATCAGTCGATCCATACCACTGTGTGTGGCAATTAGCATGTCAGTTTAACAGCCATCACCGTTTGATTTTTCAGTCTAATAACTGTAGTGGTCTCCTGACACTATTAGCATCACTAGTTCCTCTCTTTTGTGCCCTTCCCTTCAGGGGCAAATCCTAAGCTGGGGGGTCCCTAATACTTAGTCGGCGATACGGTTTAAATTTTATGTTAGGTTTCAATGTAGATTTGATCGGTCCAAGCTTTGACGGAGTGTTCTCCTGTCCCCTCTCGTACTATAACCCTAACTCCTATTTCTTTAATACCCTGTCTTAATCTCGGGCTTAAACCCTGTCTAGTCAGTTGCACTCACTGCAAAAGGTGGCCCATGGTGCCAATCACCCAACATGGCTCTCGGACAGCTCTTCGAACGAGACGATGCCAAACCTATTGACAGGACAGTGCAGAAATGGAACACGGCGACTCAGTCACTATGCATCGCCGTAATGACTCTGTTCTTCCTAATGCGTGCATACACCCGAGTCTTCCTTCTCAATGGCTTTAACAAAGAAGACTGTGAGTGACATCCTTGCCAGGGAAATAAAGGTTTGCATGCTAACTCCACATAGGGACCTGTTTGGGTGCTTGGGTAAGTCCTTGAATCTCTATAAGCAATGATCTGTGCTAAAGTCATACGTGAGAACAGCTCCTTGGAGTCTGCTACTCCATCATTGCGCTCATCAGTAAGTAATGCATGATTCACAACCCTGTACCAGTCTAACCACCAGCAGTGGGCGCCCATGGAGGAGGTCTACACATCGACGACGTATCCCCCAATGACCAGATTGTCTTCCAAAAAGTAATACAACAACCTCTCCAAATTGCTACGCCCTACTGACCTCTCCAGACCGTCTACGTAACCATGGTCATGTACGGACCAACCGCATACCTGACCAAAGTCTCACTCCTCTGGATCATGACCCGAGTATTCAGTCCATTCCGCAAAGCCGTGACCTTCATCTACATCTTCCTCGGTGTCATGCTGGCCTACTACATCCCCGCCGTTATCGTCAAGATCCGAATCTGCGACCCGATCTCCAAATTCTGGGCACCCGATCACCCGGGCACTTGTCTCAATCAGCGTTCCATTATCATGGCCGACGCTGTCGTCAGCGTGGTCAGCGATCTGATCATCCTCCTTGTCCCGTTACCGTTAACCCTGGGTCTACAACTCCCCACGAAGAAGAAGATGCGAGTCATGGGTATTCTGGGTGCAGGGGGTCTCGCCGTTGCATCGAGTATCATCCGACTTATATTAATTGTTTACACGGGCCAGTCGAAGGATGGCACCATGGCGTTTATGCGGATTAACATGTTCGGGTAGGCATCCATGGACCCTTGACCCGTATATCATATTGCCAGTACCTATACTAATGAACCTCTACCAAACAGAAACGCTGAAATCGCCATCGGCGTCATCTGCGCCTGTCTCCCTGCCCTTTCGGCGATCCTCTCCCGCGTCTATCACGAATACTCCAACAGCAACAAAGCCACCGGCGGAACCTCTGGCCACGAGCTAAGCAAGATGAAGAACCAGAGCCGCAGCATGAAAACCGACAAAAGTCGAAGCCGCATGAGCTATCTGGAGATGACCTCGGACCAGGACGTTCTGATGCATAATGCTCAAAGCGAGCCGAAGGTTGAAACGACCGTTCACGGAGATCGGAATTATTATGGAGGCGAGACCCCTGGTGGATCGCTCGCTATCTTCAAAACGGTTGATGTTGAGACTTCTGTAACGAGGAGGGAGTGAGGCATTTCCTTGTCTGGATTATAAGGGTACAACAAAAAAAGAAAAAAGTGAGAAGCTTATTGGGCGCATCTGGGTTGGCTACTTTACTAGGGATTTGATGGGCCTATCTTTGGGTCTTTTTACGATGTTTTCTATGATGATTCTGTATAGGTACTATAGAGTAAATTTAATGATATTCGATACCCAATTTGGTTTTCCTGGTGTGTTTAGAGGTGGATGAGAAACTGGCTCTACTAACAAGCGATCGCTACTTGATACTCTCGCCACGACCACGAACATTTCGTCGTATTCGTCCTATCCCCAAAAAGAAACATGAAAATGACTCCCTAGAGATATAGCTCCCCATGCCAAGCCGTCACTACAGAGTATAGCCGGTACATACTATACAAACCCACAATTCCACCCTACATCACCCTACACTTCACCAATCTCCCAAGACCCTCCAACAAGGAGCACGGAAAATGTATCCGGACACGCACCAAAAACTTTCCCATCATCAAGAACAACCATCACATCAATTTCCCCGAAGTATTCCCTTAAAAAAACAGAGACGACAAAAGAAGAATTCCCTCAAAAAACCAACCTCAAACTTAATTCCTTCACATTGAAATTACTGAAGAACCTTAGTTTCCATTCTAAAGTTTGAACAGCGTCCTAAACTTCCATGGTTAATTTAATTCCGATCCATGTCTATTAACCTTTAAAAAGTAAGATTCTAATCTAATTTAGTTCGTTTTGGGGGCCGGAAAGAGGAGTAACCTAATATTGCTTTCTTTTTTTTTTTTTT